TAGCATGACGTTAAAACATACGTGAATGAATACGTTAGTAGTTCGTACTAGGATTAGAGAGACGGAAAAGAAGAGACGAAGAAAAAAAAAAGAATAATGAATAAGAACTCAAAGCACATACTTTTAATTGATTTTTTCTTCTGACAAAGCTCATACTTTTTTTTTCTTTGCCAAAAAAAAAGAAACAAAAAAATCAAAAAAAAAGGAAAATGAGAAAGTAGAATACCCTTTTGGGCCTGAACAACGAATGAGTGAGGGACAGCGGCAACAGGACAACAGGAAGAGAGGTCAATGCGCTTTTTTACTAACAAATTGTTTGGCAAATTATCATTTCTACCAAACTACGAACACCATAGGGCTAACAGCTGTTGGGCGCTGAGTTAAGAAATTAATTTTTGGCCTATTGTGAACAAAAAAGTCATCTTATCAGCTGCATAGAAACAATAACAAATTGTTTTTTTCTTCTTTGCTTGTCGTTAACAGAATGACATGTAAATGAGTAAGTAGGTCATCAAATCATTCTTACTTCTTCGGATATTCCAATTAAGCTTTGAAATTCCGGAAAACGGTGTCACGACAGATTGGACACGAACACGCTTTAAAGAAGTTGCTTCATCTTGCGCTTTTATAATCAGCATCACTATGAGATCATATGAGAATGAAGATAAAGAGAATCTTTATATGCTCTTACATTGAAACAATTTGGAACGGAAAAGATTCTATCAGACAGTTCCTATATTCTAACTTCTTATTACATTTCTTGCATGAAAAGAAAAAATTATTTCGTTTAACTTTTCAGAATAACATGATTCATGAATGTGACGATGACATCAAGCGATCGGTGAAGCATATGGAAAAAATAGAAAAGAAGAGGCAGAGGCTCACCGAGGGTGAAGCAAACTGAAGAGACGAAAGCATTTGCTTTTGTCCGAATATGTCCATCAAGAGCGGGAGTTCCTCTCCCGATTTTGGGCTGGCACGCCTTGCCTCGGGGCTGTTAGATTCTTTCCCGTTTTATTTTTCATACATTTATATATTTCTGTACTATATTATCAAAGATGATTAGGAACACCTTAATCTTCAATGAGATTTTCAAAATTTGATCAAAACCTCAATGGACTGACTAGGAGAATGCGAAACTAAATAAGCATGAGAACCAGTACATTCATTTTACATAAAACATGAGAAAAATATTCAAAAATTATAAAAATTGAAATAAATATAGTTAATAAAGATATTAATTAAGTAATATGGAAAGGCAAAAATCTTGGAGGTATGGGGAATCGAACCCCAGACTTCTCGCATGCAAAGCGAGCGCTCTACCCCTGAGCTATACCCCCACATATTACTACTTCTAAATAGATGCTATATTGACAGTTGACAAACATGTTTGATTGGCAATGAGAATGACGAAGGAATGTTGATAAATGAAGAGACAGAACTTATAGTTGATAAAAACACTGAAGAGTATACGTGAGAAGCCAAAGAAAGAAAGATATTTAAGCTTCAAATATCTTTAATATGCTTTTTGGAATATCATTCTAGTTCACAAATATAATTTATTCATGAAATAGATGATGGTATAAAAGACTAAAAACTCAAAAATGAATAAAATAAGGAGCATGCTCATCATCGTCTTATTTATCTTCGATTCTTATTTTAAAAAAAGTTTATGTGAACAGCAATAGAATGAATGAAAAAAGTTATCCAAAGAGACAGATTTCAAATGGACTTTAATAGTTCTCTTAGATGGATTGAACTTTAACGATTCTATACAATTAGATTTTGAGATTTGCAAAATCTGCTTCAATTCAAGTGCTATTGGAAGGCATGTGTCGCATCTTTCATAAACAGAATTGTCGCACATGCAAGCTTTTACGGTTTCTTACATTGAATATATCGTAGTAGATGGAAAAGGATTGAAGTTATACAATTGGGTTTGGAAGACATCAAAACGTTAAAACACTTCAAGCACACTGCCTCTTCATAATCATCTTCGATGCTTGCGTTAAGCTCAGGAAAAAAGTGCTGCCAGAGAGAAGAAAAGTAACGAAACGCAGAAAAACGAATCCGTCATACAGCTCACTTATACGAATGTGGATTGAAAAAATTTCGTTTCCTATCTGTGCTAAATATAAAATTAATAAATAATAAGAAAAATATGTGTTTATATACATATTTCATTCGTAATCAGTCTATATACCTTTGGGTGAAGACGAAGCGGACGGAAACACTCAAGACGATTTTCGCGCACAAAAACATATTCAGCTTCTGTGAAGAAGCACGTGAAGAAGATTTCCTCTCTTCTTCATCTAATTGACTTTTTGAGTATTCTCTATCTCTAATTATCTCAAATCATTAGAAGAAATTATTTGTTTCAACACAATTATCTTTTTCTTTTGCAACAAAAAGAAAAAATATCTCTGAACTAACACAACAGCGTATCATGATATTGCCAGGAAAGTTTGACCTGGTGGCATTGTGGAATCTTAATGATTTCCACGAATGATAGATTCAATCACTCTTGTCTCATTTTCTTAAGGTTTCAAACAGATTTACTTGTTTCTCACAAGTTGAGGATGACAACTTTCATAAATTCTGGAAAATGCCGAGTGTTTAAACAGATGTGCAGAGCAGTGCTAACAGTACCCTTTCTTCCCCCTTCCTCACTACTGAAAATTCAACTTCAAAATGAACATTGCGAGTTACGAAGGGAAAGAGCAATATCGCAAGAAATCACTTAATAGTTACAAATCATGAAAATTGAGGACAAAGTAATGTATTTGATGCAAAAGCACGAAAACAAGGGATATGAAAAAAAAATCTTGTTGTGTTCGTTCATATTCGAAACACTTGTTGTGCATAGCTTTTTATGTAGTTTGAACTTTATGACAACAAATACCATAAAATCCCTGTACGAGGGAGAAATCATTTGATTTCTCACAACTGTTCTACTGATAAGAGAGGATGTTTCAAAAACGATAACATGTTGCATTCATATTCGGAAAAAAAACTGTTACTTGCAATGTCTTCAGCTTTTCATATTATTCCATTGGACAATTTTTAATTCATCTACTATCTTAAGTCTTATATCTGATCAAATCTTCCACCTACAGATTCCGTTGAGCTCTTTAGTTTTGTCATCATTGTCTTCTTCTTCTGTCGTTCATCTACTTCTAGAAGGTAAACAGCAGTTCTTCCGAAGAGGAAGACGCTGCAGCGCACAGTCTTGGAGTGGTCTAATACTCTGATATCTTTTTTTTGTTCTATTTAGATCGGAGGCTTTGTAGTTGAATGTGACTTCTAATTTTGCCTTGAGTATCTGTTACGTCATAAATCGATTATTCTAATTAGCTCGTGTGACGTGAATTATGCAGGTAGGGCGCCATGATTTCATTTACATGTGCTTACTTGCTCACGACCGGTTGGTTTATTTTCAGATAAATGAAAAGCCATTAGTCTTAATTGTTCTGTACTGTTCAATATTATTTTTCCAAACATCAGCTTGAATTGGCTTGTTATATAAATAGAATGCATTTTTATCAGCGTGGTCTCAAAAACTTTTATTGCAGATGTTTAATTTGGGTAAAGTTTTTTTTGGGAACAAAAAAAGGAGAAGTAGAAAAAACTTGTTTCATTGTGCAATAATCGTTTTAATGTGCTGAAAGGAAATGTTTGAACAGTTCAAATTGTTCAATGAAGACATACAGTATCTTTGAATTGCAGAAGATAAAACATCAAGTTATCACAACGATTCTTGCATAATTGTGCACGCTAATCCGATCTGAATGAATCATTAGAGAGAGAAAGAGATCATTCAAAGCTTTTCTCCGATAAAACTGTTCGATGCGATAGTTTAAGGATAGTTTTTTGTAAGTTTCAACAACAACCCACAACACACTCATCTCACTTTGTTTCTTTAAGAAAGTACATGCAATGATATCATCGATGATTTACTTTTGAAAATATTCAAGCATAGGCTACTGTACCGTTTTCTAATTCCAACATTCACGACGACGCTCCAAGTTCTAAAATCATTGACAATACGAGTTGTGTCAGAGACAATCCTTGAAAGCAAATTGGTGCTATCAATCATTTTCACAGTAAAATTGTCGTCAGTCATAGGAAAACTTTCTTTTTTATCGCAAAGGGTGACATAGTTTGTCTGTATCGTTTTGAGTAATGATCACCCACATCACTAGATTCCTCCAATATTTTCCGAGACAAACATCCATGAAATTTAAAAGCAAAACAGCAGACGTGCTCATTGCCCTCCATGTTTACCCTGACTGACAGTCACCCACAAGTCTTTAAAACCCAACAAACACATACCAACTGAAATACTTGATAAAAAAGCCAAATTTTTATTAACTTCTGAACGTTATTCCACATGCGAATTTGGCCGAAAAAAATATGACAGAGAACACGCAAATTTGGAAAAAATATTCAAAGATGGATAGAACGATAAATCTAACAACGTAGGCCAGAAGATGATGATGATAATGGAGAGAAAGGGAAAGTTTGTTGTTTTTTTGAAGAGATAGATGAGGGGATGTGTACGACAATTGAGAGGAACCAGATGATGACATCCTTTCAAATCCAAATATAGTCATCATTTTGAGAATACGTACGTTAAGTTTGCCTACAGAATAGAATAAACTATAACAAATGCTCAACCTGTATCGTATTAACGTAAATAAAACCTGTTAATTTGTCAACAACAAAAAAATAATAACAAACGACGTTGCTCGTCGCCTGCTCGTGCTGTTGCTAAACCTCAGCGAAAAGAGAGAACAATCGTCTTTATGATACAATAAAGTAACTAGTATCTAAAAAGAACATTCTATTATTAAAATGGTTATATTAGATCGAGAAATCTCTTATTAAAGCAGATGATAATCAACAAGAACTCGGGAATCGAAAGAGGTGATCGAGAAAAGTAGAGGAAATGAAGACAGGATATGATCATTCTATAATTTGCGCTAAATTTCTGCCATTCGTTATAAAACGAAGAATTGGAAAAGAGACATCACAGCCGCAGATAATATGCCTTAAATGGCATAAATAACTTCCATGTTTTAACCCTAAACCTTACCTGCAACTGGTAGTGTTACTATCCATGACAAACTGATGTTGCGGAAAGTATGCCATCTTACAGAGTGGGAAGCTTGCACAAGACCTACAGCTACAACTGAGCCAACTTTGCATTGGGTAGAAGAGATGGGCAAGCCGAATTTGGATGCAGCTAGAACTGTTACAGCTGCTCCAAACTCGATAGCGAAACCTCTGTAGAATATATGGTTAAGAGATGTAAAACGAGTGCTTACCCGGGTGGAGTGATTTTGGTCAAATTTTCTCCGACTGTGTATATCACCCGATGTCCCAAAAGCCATAGTCCAATACACATTCCAACGGCTCCATATAAGAGTAAGTACCATGGAGTACCAAGAGTTTGGGCAGCAGAACCTTCTTGATATATGACAACGAGAGAAACAAGTGGGGCGATAGCGTTACTGAAACAAAACAGATGTAATGTGAAAAACAAAAAATCATATGATAGAAACAAGAAAAAAAACTCACCTAACATCATTTCCTCCATGAGCAAATCCACCGAAACAAGCTGTCATTACTTGAAGAAGTGAAAACAAACGAGCGGCTTGTGGATCTTCAGGTTTGGAAGAACGGAAGAAAGAAGTGACGGAAGAAGATGGAGCAACCACATTAGGAGCTGCAAAGAGGTGAGTTTTATATAATGTGGTCCCTTTATGAACACTAACCATGACAAATTCCATTTGCTTCTTTCTCCTTCAGTCCGTTATTTTCAAGTTCTAACAACCCAGCTTCTGAAAATGTCATTTGATTTGAGAGGAAGGATAGATCTTTGATTTCTTACTATGTCCTTCTCCAGTGTTCATTTCTACCAGAGGTTTTCCACTACATACATCTCCATCCGCACGTTCTAAGAAAAGATGTAGTTAGAGAGAAGAATTTTATGAATGTTGTTTACCTAATATGCTTTTCTTGAGCCATGGTCCTACGAAGAACTTGACTACAAGAGCAACAACAAGTCCGGCACCAGAAGCGATAAGTAGACAAGAAGAGAGCGTCAAATTATGGAAACCAAGATCTACAAGAGAACAGAATCAACATCCTCCAAACGAAAGGGCGAGAAGACACACAAAAACGTTGTTAGATAAGAACTTACATTCTGATCCCTCGTAGATGATCGCAAAAACGTTAAAAGAAAAACATAAAAAGTACAAGAAAGGAAGCATGTGTAGACCGCTGTTAAGAGGTCGACTCTGAAAACCAAAAGATCATCACAAAAACCAAATGGAAAGCTAATTCAAAGATTAATGAAAATTAAATTGAACTCACTCTTCTCAAAATGAAATGATCAATGGCTACGTAGAATAAGATGGAAACTACTCCAGAGAGGAGAGGAGACACAATCCAAGATAAGACTTAAACAAAAAAATAGTTTTGTGTTTCCACAATTCAACTTACAAATTTTGTTAATTTTTGCCCATCGTATGCCATCTGTTCCTTTCAAAACGAGTGAAAATCCAATAGTCGCACCAACGATCGAATGGGTAGTGGACACAGGCAGTTTGAGGGCTGTTGCAAGCAACATCCAAGTACCGCAACCTGGAACAAAAAATAAGTAATTTGTCAGAAGATGCGACTGCTTACCGGACAGGATGGAGATCTGTCCATACATGAGTTCGCGTTCACTGTTATTATACACGGAAAGGTCTAGAACTCCTTTACGCATTGTATCTGTCACTTTGTGCCCTAAAATAAAAATTTTGATTCAAAAGTCAGCAGTCCGCCATACCCAGCAAGCAGGCTCCCATCGTCTCAAAAACGCTAGCCAATATGTAAGCTTGAGTAAGAGTGAGTACCTAAGAACAACTCATGAGCAACAGACACCGTGTTTCTCTTACTTTGCTACCAACGCTGGTACCAAATGAATTAGCAGTATCATTGGCTCCAATAGCAAATGCAAGGATAAATGCGATCAGGGAGCCGACGGCAAGCCAGATCAGCATTTCACTTTGAAAAGCTGTTACAGATTCAATCATTTTCGACCTGAATCAACATATTTAATAGTAGAAGCAAGAAAAGAAACAAAATTATACGACAGAGGAAGATATCATAGAATGTCTGATCATATCAAAGTCATCACGAGGATTTTATGAAACACAGACAAGTCTAACCTCCGATAAGAATTGTGTAGAAATTGGATGAGCCATAAATAAAAAAACACAAATCTATTAATAAACGTAATAAATACGTAAGAACATATCAAAAAGCAAACAAGCTATTAAAATCAGCTGACGGCAGTGATAAGCTTCCGGTCAACCTCCGAAACTTCGAAAAAAATCAGGACTCACCACAAAGAAAACTGTCAAACACGAAACTCGGTTGCTGGATGTGCGAATATTCGCCTATGGGTAGGCGACCAAACGAATACAAAAAACACGACCTGACAGATTCGTGTCCCGAGCCTTCCAAATAATTACCCCTGAAGAAGAAAAGTTTAAGGAGCGCTTGAGCAGAGATCTCAAATGTATAAACGATACACCAAAACACGAAAAGAATTTAGATGCACACAACCAGAAAGAACGTGAAAAGATCGCTAAAAATGATGCGTTTGTAAAGGAGAAGAGGCTGGACAAAGCAACGACACCGATGACGCCGACGACATGAGGAGGAGCCTTTGTTGCCTTCGTCAAATGAAGAGGTGGGAGGGCGAAAACGATCTCTCCCATCGAAGAAGTTAGAGAAAAAATTTCGTTGCGAAATGCTTGCGAATGATTAATGGCACAAGTGAGCAGAGAAACGATACGGTCTACAGAATTTGATCTAATGGTGATGAGGGCAAAGGACAAGTGGACTCCCGCAATGGGAAAATGCGGCAAGTTTTTGGGGTTTGCAGCGAACTATACAATCCTCGGATCGGGAAGTTACATACGTAAAAAAAGCAATAAAAACTTAAAATAACCATTGGGTAATAGTTGTAAATATAGGAAAGATGTGAACTGGTGACAAGATGATCATATAAAGAACATATACTAAAGGCATAACATAGATAATTACGACCAACGCTAACAACTTGAACTTGAAAACATATTAGAAGGTGAATCAGAGAAGGACAAGAGGATAGGTTAAAGCTCTCGAAAACGGATATGAATTAGCAAAAGCGACGTCAGAACGTCCCCAAAAGTGAAACAATAATTGTTCTTATCGACTGCAAATTCAAGGAGCTCATATTTACTTTGGAAGAAAGCTCATTCGCAGTCGATAGCCTCCTTTCTATAAGTAAATTTTCAAAGACAAAGACACATTGAAAAGAGGTGACTCTTTTTTTGTCTCATTCAAACCCACTGAAAGTTAATGTTTTTTTTACGAAAAAGAAGAGACAGAAATCAGCTGACTGAGTCAAACGTCGCAGGTAAAAAAACATCCACAAACAGAAATGGAATCAAGGAAGACTACGCAGAACAGTTGCCCCCTATACTATGCTATGCCATTGCAAACTTTAAATGATGACAGCTGTACGAGAAGAACAACTGCGAACTAAAGAGATACTTTGATTACGTTTCAAGCTCTATGAAAAAGGAAGCTCATGAGACAGCAAATGGGCCTAAAGGAATCAAAGCAGCTCTTTGCCAGTCAATAAACTTTGAGAAAACATTAACACTGGGGTGAAGCTGGGCTGATTCAGGACAGCATTGATCGCAAGAATATACTAAAAGTACAGAAAGAAGCATAATTTAGCTAGAAATTTCGAGATTAGCTCATACTTGTGACACAAAAATGAAAAACAAACGATGTCTGCCACAAAGAAACAGGGTAAAGCTAAGGCCCGAAGCGCGGGAGCAGTCAGGCTGTTGAATGAGAGCTCTATCATGAAACACGAACAATGAGACTTATTGCATAAGTCGGAAATGCAAAAAAAAATAAATAGAAAGGAAATTTTGGGATTTTTTAAAGTGGCTAAGAGTTGAATTCCGCAGCTGCTGAGGGCGAGGCTTTCCAGCCAATATTGAAATAGCGCTGAGAACCGAGAGAGTGCACCGCAGAGAGCAAGGGGCTTTGGCAGACAGCCAGGCCTGCGCCTTCCCCATATGACGAAATTGTCTTTTCGAATCTATCACGTCAAAAACTAAATATTCAATTCGTAATTATTACTAATAAGCCTGCCATGCGGCCACCCAATGAGATATTCTGGGAAAGAGACGGGCAGGAATAGTATGAATGATAAGAATGATAAATAACGCGAGAGAGATAAGGTCAAGAAAGATAGAACTAGAAACTGAAAAACTAAAATTAGCATAAAATGTAATTTAATGACAAGCTTCTCATGCTAAATATCTTCAAATTTATCTCATGGATCTTACGGTAACTCATTTTCTTTATATCTCCAAGCAAATTGGTCCTGAAGCGTTAAAGAGTACGGTAACCAGCATAATGGCTGTGTCCGCTAATTATCTCTCATTTTAAATTGACATATGTCAGAACGTGCTGTAATATTGACCATCCTTAAGGCTTAAAGTTTCTAACCATTGATAATTTAAGAACTATGTAGTATAATATTGCTCTTATAGGAAGTCGGCCTGTTCATCATGACTAGTTTTCTCGATTTTTTTCAAGTTAATAAGCATAAGGTACTGAAGACGCGCGAGCGTTTCATGACTCATACGCTGAAGATGCGAAAATAACTGCCGATTTTCAGACGTTCCGTCCAAAGAAACGGTTCCCACAAGGCACTTTACGATATCAACTACATAAGCAAGCCGAGGCTACACTAAATTCGGGGGTGGATTTGCGCGCTGCAGTTCGCATGCCTTCTAATGAAAACTTCGATGATTGGCTTGCTGTGCATAGTAAAAAAAACTGTAGATCGAAAAATAACATCTGATGAATTTTATAGCTGTGGATTTCTTCAACCGCATTAATCTGATGTATGGGACAATATCGGACGCTTGCACCAAGAAATCGTGCCCCACAATGTCCGGTGGATCACGGTGATAAAAAGCATCGAAACGAGAATCTTAATGTTGATATTTAAGCTACGAATATCTTTGGCAGGATGGTTTAGAATACAAAAAGCCTACTCGATTACCAGCTCCTGATTATATCCAATTTCTAATGGATTGGATCGAAATACGAATCAACGATGAGAACATATTTCCCTCATGCACAAGTAAGAAACATGATTGAGTTGATAGTCTAAATGTATACATCTCAACCATCCAGACATTCCATTCCCAAAAGATTTCCGGCAAATATGTAAAAAAATTCTGACAAGATTATTCCGGGTGTTTGTGCATGTATATATACATCACTTCGAGAGAATCGTTGAATTAGGAGCTGTAAGTGGATGAAAGGAAGACATAATTAAAAAAAACTGCTTAAGGAACCTCATGCAAACACATTATACAAGCACTTCTATTTCTTCGTGACTGAATATGGCATGGTTTCGTCGAAAGAACTTGAAGCATTGGTTTGTTTATATAACCTTTTGTTTATCAATCAATCAATCTTTCATTATTATACATTTTACAGAAAGATATGACTGAGCGTTTGCTTGAGTGTGGGGGAAACAGAAGAATCAGACCTAATTGATCTCAGATCACATTCTCTTACGAAGAAACATGTCAAAATCTTATGTGATTTTTGCGTAGCATTCTTAGTTCCAAGAACGTTTCCTTTATATAGTTTCATACAGGTTGTGATCAATGCTTAATTCACTTTTTGCAAGCATTTTTCTGTTCAAAATCTCTACGCAATTGTATGACAGGGTATGTCAATATATGTCCTAAGTTCAATTTTATGCTTTAAAATAAATGTGATAACTTTTTCGCCAAATTACTTATGCAACTGAAGGGACCTTAGGGAAAGAGTAAGTCTCTGGAGAGTGGTTAGGTTGTCATGACGACGAAAGCGTGGACTTGCTCAAGCCCATAATAAGCTTCTTCTTCGTCTTCGCAGACTTAATGCGCTTTTTTCTAATCAACAAAATTATTTAATGACGATTTCTGATGCTCTCAAATGATTCAAAAGGTGCGTTTCTATTTGCAACATATTTTATCTACAATTTGAAACATAACGTGATAGCTGTGAGTGTGTGTAAAAACGACCATTATTGATTACGTCAAGTTCACACAAAAAAAGAGGGCATGTGTTTCTGCATTAGTTGAAAAAGCTAAAGCTTGCTAATGAAAAAAATTTAAGCTCGTCCGACATATTCACGTCTGCGAACATCACTCTTGAAGCTAACGCCGGGGGATAGCAAATGCAAGTTATATTGTAAAGGAATCACTTGCAAATACTGTACTACGGATGGAACAGACACCAAGAATCAAGCCTTACGAGGATTATACTCCACATGGTGAGTCTCATAAAACTTCATCATGTCAAAAAAAAATGAGAGAAACACCAACGAACATAGAGAGCAAAGTAGGCTATGCTGGTAGAATTTAAAACTATAGAAAGCGCTATTGTCTGAGATGGATGAAAAAAGAATGATGTCCTCAAATGGAAACACATTGTCCTTTTTGAGTAGACTTCCTTATCGTGCTTTTGTTTGGATTTCAATTGGTCTCACAGTCTGATGACCTATCGATATCATCTGGTAACACAAATGAGGAAAAAGAACAGCAAATAAAAAAAGTGAGATAAAAATAATTTTCGCGAAAAAATTGTAAATTCAAGGAAAAAGTACAGAAAGTATGAGAAAACATTAACGATTAAAAAATTCCGATTCGTGAAGCCAAATCGAAAACAAGTGAATAATCGGTATAAGAACATAGGTTTAGAGACAGCCTGTCTAGTCTCGTCCTACATTATGTTAGAGTAGACAAAATATGTGAGTCAGTTTATGAATGATACAATGCGAAAGTCATCATCATCAGAGTAAACAAAGCAGAAGACGATTCAAATCTCATTCTAGCCATATGCTAACTAGCAGCAAATATTTTTCCTGCTGTTCGCATTTCAAAAAAAAATAGCTCAAAAAAAAAGAGAGAAGCTGCGAAATGATAAGAAAAACAGTCACTCAACTAGAACAAAATGCGTCAACAACAATCAACATAATTTGTACAACAGTATTCATCAGTCATTGCAGGGTAACTGACGAGATCTTGGCTATGGCTCGATTGTTTGTCACGCATTTCGAGAAGTTCGATATTATCAAACAGTTCCACGAGTACGTAAGTATGAAATCAAATATACATCTGTATACAGACGTTTTTATGAAGAAAGTCAGACGGCAGAGACATACGAGAATACATATCAATGTGTCTAAGCTTATCTGTTTGATTAAAAAACTTTTCTGCAAAAGAAGAGAGAAACTTTTTGTAAACTTTCATCTACAGCGCTGGAATCAAAGCAGTCATCAATTTGGAGCAGCAGGGAGAGCATGCGTTTTGTGGGGCCGGCTTGAGTTCTTCAGGGTTTAGTTATGAGCCGGAAGAACTGATGAAAAACAATAGTAAGATAAACAACAACCTAATCATCTGAATAAAACGCCTTAATACTTAGTATTCTACTTTAACTATCCTCTGCCGGACTTTGGCAGCTGTTCAAAGGAACATCTGCTCGACATAGCCAAAGTTGCCAAGAACGCCTTAGCTTCAGGTATCTTAGAAAAATTTGCAAGATCGATTAGCATTGATTCTTTTAGGAAAACTAGCAATTCACTGCCACGCTGGACATGGTAGAACGGGTATGGTAATAGCGGCAATTGTTATGTACACAAAAAACATGACAGCGTTCGAGTCAGTCAAGTTGGTCAGAAGCAAAAGGTTTGTAATCGTACCTGCTCAAGTATTTCTTCTCTCCTCCGGTTTCTTTGTACTTGACGTCATGACACTTTTCACTGCTGAGTGACTCATTTTTCAGATCTCAATCCGTTCAAAGTATTTCACAAGTCGATACTCTCAATCAGTTTGAACAGCTGATTTTCGAGAATGCAACTAAATATCGGAACCGCCAGTTCAGTTCGATCAAAGAATTTGTTAAATTCAGTACATGGTTACTGAGCAAAGCAGAGTCCCGAATATATGGCCTTATTCCCAAAGTGAGTCGAAAATAAGAAAAGCGAAAAAAAGGGGAGAAAAAAGCAATAAAATACTGAGCATACAAGGGGTGCTATCAAATAAGGACAATAGTAGCAAAAAGCATATATACATATTCATGTGGAGAGTATGATAATCGCAGCTTTCTTAAATCTTGCTCAAGCCTAGCATGCGGCAAACAAAGAGAAAATTAAATCCATATGATGAAATAGAAATAGAAAAATTCATAATAAAACAACAGGCGATAATTTCTAATAAGGGTGACAAATGAGAAATGTAAGCGACCGGAAGTAGGCGCAAATTTGAAAATCGATAATCTTAGATGTATCGGATATGGTAGATCAAACTACATTCTCAGGAAAACGTTTCAAGAATGTTAGTAACGAAAATGATGCAAAACATGGAGTAGTGAATGCAACCGCGTTTTGTGAGAAAAAACAACTAAATGACAGAAAATGAGTTTACACGTTTTTTACGTGAAATTTGAATGAGTTCCGCTTTCAAATTTAAAAGCTCCCCGTTCAAACGTGGCAGGAATTAATAAATAATAAATTTCTTTAAATTTTTAGGTTGTCTACGTGACCTGCCCAAAACTTTTAGAAGAATTTTATGACGAAGTTAGGCTTGAATTGGCAACTACCGAAAACTTAGAGCCAACAAGCTTCAAGTATCGCTTGGGGGCGAAAAAAAATGATATCATGTACGTGTACTTGTGTCTTATCCTAATGGTTTTTTAATTTCAGAATTAAAGAGGAACATCTGCTTCTCTTGAAAAGTGAGCGTTTACGAGCCATAAACGTGGGAAGGACTTTAAACCAGGAAGAAAACGTAATGTCTCATCACAGAGACAATTCGTAACCAGAATTTCAGATTCCGGCTTATGTTACGCTTGTTGGAGTTCTGGATGATTTTCTTATGAATAACTTTCATCAGTTATGCAGTTCAGCCGAATTAATTTCTTCGATTGAGTCTGAAGACTGTGAAACTGTAAAGGATTGGCAGTGGACACTCAATTTGTTGATCTCAACAGGAACCCAGTTACCAACCGAACTACAAAGCACTTTCGCTCAATTGTGCTCCATGTGGTTCTGCAGAAAAAGCGATAGTGAAGAGGCTATTCACAATAGTATTTTGAGGTTATCCCGAATTGTTGTAGAATAGCAGATTCAGTTTGAATGGCTGTCAATATTTTATTTTTGGTTAGTACGGTGTTGCGGATAAGATTTTCCAAGCTATAGTTATTATACAAATTATAAAATGCATTCACATATAATATAAATACAATTATAAGCTTATGAGCCAAATTCTGAACAATTGGGAAGCGTAATACATGCAACTTAAGACGTGGACCGGTGGGAATGTACAAAAGCTATTGAATGTTTAAAACTACCTGTAACATGATCGATGAAACTTTCGAGTTGAATTCACAAGAAGAAAAAGAGTAACCCATATCGTGATATTAAACGTTACATAAAATAAATTAGAGGGAACAGTCGTCTACAAAACTGGCTTATCCTCCTCCATTACTTGAGATTCCATCAAGTTCAATAACGGCGGCTCATCTGCAGCTTTTTGAATGAAGTTATATCGATCTGCTACGTGCCGCGAATACAAATTTTGAGCTTCTTCGATGGTACGAGGGCCAGGGGCATTTATTGCTCTACTCTTAAAGTTTCAATCATCAATTCATTTCACTAAATGTTTTATCGAACCTTCAAACCAATGTCCATTACGTGATTCATTTGACAGTGTCCCGCACAAACGGAAACTTTTTTCAAACTTAAAAAGTTGGGGCAACATCCGAGAGCTCTCAACAGAATCTAGAAAAAATGAATAATTCAAAAAAAAAAAGATGCACTTTACCATAAGCCAGGCTGGAAACTGGGCCACTTGCTCGCAAACAGGAACTCTCAACAAAGTGTGTTCACTTCTCCAGCGATATTTCGCTACCACATTCGGAACATCAGAAGAGCAGTTGAACAATTCTCTAAGCTCCTGGCGAAAACTGACACAAACTGAACTGTAGAAATCCTGCATAAATGGATAATGCTCATATTTCATAGTTACAAGGATTATACCATAGCTATCATTTGGATTATCGAAAACATAGGACCACTTGGATAAGATTGCTTCCGATAGCTCTCAAATGTTGGATATCGAGCATGATAACAGCCCAAATTTATGTACACAACGGGCATCCAGTGATCTCCTATTAAAGATCCCGTTTATTCAAATTTCATCAAAGTTTCGAAACCTGTTAACCACACTCGAGATAAGAAAAACCGACTACGAACTCCTTTACGTTTGCTAAACACAGCGCCCGGCGTGGGGCTATAATATTTGCTCAAATTGAACCTATCAGTAGTTGCTAAAACAACAATTTTCATAAAAAGTTCAAGTAGGAACGCCAATTACCTCGTAAAGTTGGAACGATTGCTTCACCCACGAGTGGGATGTTATATCTAGCTGCGTAACCACATGGAAAAATCGACAGGGACCTAAATGATGAACGAGAATAGGAAAAGCTTCAAAGAAGTACTGACCCAATGGAGTAACAACGGGTACAGCATGTGTTGGATTCCTGACCAGGGAGAACCCAGATACAACGATCAGTTGCAGCTGTGATTAATGCCGAGAACATGCATCCCCTCATATGGCAGAAAACCTGAATTTTAAAATGGATTCTAGTTCGAACAAACAGGATTACTTCAACATATTGAAAGGGATGAATTCGGGGTCGTGGGCACGGGGAACATAGATGGGCATCAGTCAATTTATGCTTAAACGAACATAATTTTTACTTCAAATTATTGAAGAGGAAACTCACTCGGACATCGATAATATCATCGCTTCTAGCATAATTCTCCCAGAAGGTATCATCATATGACAAACTTTCAAAATCATCCCATTTCAAGGGGATCAAACAGTATTTATTTTTTTCCGAATAACCCACGGGGAAGATATAATCAGAATTTGAATGTGCTACCAACTGAAGTTAAGATTTGTGATACCGAAAATTGATAAATAGCACGTACAGTTATAATGTCTTCGTTATCCAGACTTCGAGTTTTAACTTCGAAGAAGTAAGGACTCAAGATTTTACTAACATGACCTGGGAAGAAGCCTCGACCCATTCCTTGATCACGCACTTCTAGAATCATCCCAACCTATGATAATGTGTTTGATTGAAAAAAACTCAAAACTCTCTTACAGAGACATTGTGCTCTTTTAATCGGATTTTGTCAAATAGTAGTGGGCATAGAGGGTTCTGACGACATCGCCACAAATCTTGAAGAGCATACCGTTCGTGATATTTGGCCTCAAATATGATCGTAATATGATACCGCAAAGTTCACTAACAGTTTGTTCAGATTTGTGAGTTTCCTTCCATCCTACTTCGTGGCAGAAAGGATCCAAAATATGTATAGATCCTACCTGGAGAGATATCATATTCCCTGAGGGAAAACTATACCACTTACTCTATCAGTCCCAAAATATTGGAACAGAATGAGGCCCCCCATGTTGGCTTTCACTTCACCGAAACTAACAATGTTTGGGCAGCTAGGGTCTTGAACTTCGAAAAATTGTCCTATCTGAGAAAACGATTTAGATTATTGACGCGGTGGGTACTCACTTGAATGAGATCATTTAATTTTACAGGTAATTGATTTTGATATTGTTCTAAAACTTCTATGCTCAGCAAAGGGTATTTCTTTGCATCTTGATCGGACATATTTCTGTAACAGACCAGTGAAACTCTCACGTGAACAAGACAAATGACTTACGAAACAAACTTTTCATAGACATCTCTCTTGGTAACAACATCACGCACTGTTAACCAAAGACTATCGTAAGGTTTCTCTACGAATTCGACCAAGACATTTCCACCAACACAAGACTAACATAGTTACATTGTATATTGACTAATGAAAGCTGAGCTTACTAAAACTTTCGCTACTCTATGATCTCCTCCTGTATAAACTATAATATGCACATGATCTGAACATATCCGTTCGAGAACAGTTTGCTCTACAAAATCTACATGTCTAAAAAGGCGTTGGTCTGTACATGGATACACTCCACATTTCTTAATGAAAACTAGCATGAGTAACGAAGTTGTTTGGGAAAAAAACCTCAGCATAAGATTGCCAATCAAAAGTTCTATTATAGAAAGTGTCGACATTCCTATCAGGGATGAGATCAGTCTATAAGAGAATATGATAAGAGATTTAACAGAAAAAGAGAGGATTCACTTCAAACTTGGTTGGATCCATAACACCACATAACCACACTTAAAGCTGAAACTAAAGCTAAATATAGAAATGAACCACCAAGTAACGACAAGTATGAATAAGGTTTGCCTTGTGCGATTGAGAGAATGATAAATACGTTTCTAACGCAACGCCACAAATTAATATATTATTAGAGAAAATATGGTACAATTAAACCTCACTATTCAAAGTTACAATCGGCATATCACAGACAAGACTGTAAAGAGCAAAATTGCAAAAAAAAATGACTAACATAGTAGGAAATCCTTGGAAATAATTTAAAAAAGCAATATATAAATTTACAAACAAAAATTATAAATATCAATGAACGCGTCACAAAAAAAACTACTGTATTGCTAGACGGGCTCTGTTGAAACGTCGGCGAGAGGTTTGAGAAGGAAGAGGAGGAAAGTGAAGTTTTAAGTTTTCAAACGTTTCTGATGACTCACCTCAGAGCCTATCTTTAAGAAATTTTTTTATTATTATAACCTACGAAATAAGTTAGCGACCGTATATTGTTTTCAATTGATCGCAGTTTGGCGTTGCCATCTTCTGTGCTCTTGCCATCAGCTCTTCATCTCGTTGCCACCTAGCTCGATATATCAACGTCTCTTCTGAATATGATAATCAGAACATTATCCATAAATAAATACTCACTCTGGTTTTGCTCCTTGTAACAATTCATCCGTAGGTTATTTATGTGATCATCTTCCACCTGGTTTTCTATCTATAGTACAAAGAGCATGAGAAATCGATGTTCAACATATATTTTCACCTGTTTTATTCGACTACTATGAGATTGTACGAAATCTTGGCGAACAAAATATGGAACTTTGAGTTCGGCAGTTAATCGTTTAATGGGATATTTACTGAAATCATCAGTACTGTGAAATATGAATGCATATTTATATACCTTGATTGCGTTAGAGAAAACGGAGGATCTCCGACCATGAGTTGTGCAAAAAGACCCATAAAAAGAATGAGAATCACTGGGAGTAGTTGGAGTAGTGGTCCATGAAAACTCTTGAAGAAAAATAATGAAAGTCAAGTTTGATTGATAGTATCTCACGTCATTTTGGTTGTGCATCTCCTCACGATGCGCATGGGCATGTCCGTTGTACCTTTGCCTTCTTCTACTTATAGGATCAGATGGATAGCCTCCACCAAAGAACATATTGAAGATTTCTTCCGGAGTATATTCAGCTGTAAATCGTCTTATGTTCGAAGGAATCGATATTAAAAAAACCTTCAAAACCATGACCGTAATCGTATTGGAAGAAATCGTCTCTTCGTCTTGACGTTGCTGGAGCACCAGACACGGATTCAGCTCCATACATATCATATGAGCGTCTTTTCTCAGCGTCAGAGAGAATGGCATAAGCATTGCCCAAAGCTAAAGAAGTATATTTAACTTTGATCGATAACTTAATTGGATGGAATATAAAACTTTGAAAACGACTGATGAGATGCATAATTTAGAAAAATCAATAGGATTTCATTCATCACATCAGCCATGTGCGGAGACAAGCGTCGATTCATTTCGAACTCATGTGACTCAAGGAGCGGTTACATTAAGTGTGAGTGAGCATAGTGTTTTAATCCAAAGTAGGGAGGACAAACCTTTGAAGGCTTCTGTGGCATGAGGTGCTCTACACTTGTCCGGATGGAGTTGTAAAGCCATTTTGCGATATTCTTTCTTAATCTCAACTTCAGTAGCAGTCTTAGCTACCTTAACGACAGAATGAATGAAAAACAATAAACCGAAAAGTACAAACCTTCAAAATCTCATAATAATCCTTACAATGACGAATACGCTCAACTACTTCTAGTTGCTGAAAGGAACATATATTAAAAACAATATCACATGAAACAGTTACGTCTTTCGTATAATCCACACCTAATTTAGGCGTTCGGGAAGAAGATCTCGATCTTTTATCTTTATCGGGTACTTTACTAGGAGTTGGTTGAGCTGCAGGAGGAACATTAACTGATGATAAGATTACATTTGAACAACCTGCTCTCGTGGGGGCTTTAGTCGGCTTTCTACTTCTCAATCCTGGTTCCTCATAGTGGTCATCATGAGCATAACTTCTATCTTCCGAGTCTTTTGAGGAAGATTCACTACTCGTCTCCATAGCTTCTACCTTTTTCAGGAGATCTGAAACAGTTGCGAATTTAAACATATCGGAAATGTAAAGGAACGAGGAAATAAGAGAAAATTTGAAGTGAAACGATTAGACCAGACATATTACAACAGAGGTTGTATCTGTTTCCACTTTTAAAAATTAAAAAAAAGGAGAAATAAATAAGTAAAATTATTGTGTAAACATACATGATATGTCTTGTAAAGGATCCAACTTTTTGGCCTTCTCCAAAAATCTTCGAGCTTTCCCCACATCACCAGTTTTGATAGAATCACGAGCACGGTCCATGCAGACCATGGACTCTGCACGATTTGCTGCGACGGTCATTTTAGAAAAAATCTCTGAAGGAAAAAAATGTGAAGAGGAGGAACAGCACTTTAACTCTTACAATTGTTTGTTTAAGAACAGTTTTTATATGCAATCATGAACCAATTCAATTACCTGCAAGGAGAGAGTGTAAAGTGTGAAGTAAAACAACGAATAGCGAGAATGAGTGACCGATGATAACTTTCTATAAACAGAAGTGGAGAAATTAATGTCGAAAGATACGTTCTTAAAACAAAAAAAAGAAGGGCGAAGCGTAGAAAACAAAAGCCTGAAACGATAGAAAACGAGAAAATACTTCAAGATAAGGAAACGTCATCATGAAATATCGAGATTTCTGAGGATATCAAAGGAAGTTAATCGATAATGTACCAAACTTATAATTATGAGTCATTCTTTCAAAAAGTTATCAATATTACTATTCCAAACTTAATGTAATTATATAAATCAATAGTCAATTATATAACAAACCTGTTAAACTGGTAAGCGGCAAGCACCCAGCTACGGACAAAACACCTTAAACTGCTCGGCAGCCCACTAAGGCTGAACATGGCGGGGCAGCGTGGTAGTCGAGCCATACGCAAAAAGAGGGAGACAGATGCTACTAACGCTTGTATAAGTGCTTTTTGAAATCTGTATTATTAGTTGCTACTGTTGTATGGTTCTGTATGTAAATAGATGTAAATTTATTTAAATGATATTTCATTTTGTTTATTATAGAGATGTCTGATAAGAAAAATTTGAAAAGTATGCAAAGAATTGATCCTTGTGCTGTTAAGATACTGGATAAGGTAATCCATCAAGTTTTCAGTATAACTTGTAAACTTGACTTGTTGTTTCAGGCTGCTCATAGTGCATTGTATAAGTTTCAAACTGACAATAGATCATGGGAGAAAACAGATGTATGCGGTACTATGTTCATTTATCAAAGAGCAGATAAACCATATTATAGGTTCTTAGTCTCATTATTCTCCTATCAAATTATTATTTTTAGTTTGATGATCGTTAATAGACAATCGCTTAGTGATTTTATAGAACCAATTCATGACAATACTTGTATAAGTAGAGACAAGAAATTTATTTTCATGAGAAAATCGGACGGTTAATTCCGCTATGCAATTCCTTCATTCCCTCGTTATTTACAGGTGAAATAAATTGCGTCTGGGTTTATGATGAAACAGAATGTTTACGTATTTTCAAGTTGTTAGAACGGTTAACGGATGATCTCAAGAAAGGAAATGTGAGTTTTTTTTTTTAATATAAATCATATTTTCGTTTAAAGATTCCCTCAACAAACTGCGAAGACGATAAGATATTCAGCGATACTCCTGTCCCACCTCCTACAGTGCCAGATAGCAATAACTTACTGAAAATGCTGAAAGCAGCTCAAAGTTCAAGTCCAAATTTGGTAAATTAACGCTTGAAATTATTCAAAGTATTAACTTTCTTTTTAAAGTTCAAGCAAACTAGTCAGAGTTGCTCCGAATCATTGGAGAAGGAATGTTCACCAACACAAAATTTACCAGTTCTCTTACAAAAACTTCTGATACAAGAACAGCCAAAAACAATCATCAAGGTGATACAATACTGTTGATAGCATTTAGTACACAGCTTTTTTTAGACACCTGCTACTATTATGACCGCTGATGAACTAGAAAAAGATTTGTGTAAAGATCTCAATAATACAGCTAAGCCGAAACATTCAAATTATCAAGTGAGCTTTTTTACATAGGATTAATGACAAGATTCAAACTATAGGATTTTCTCAATTCGTCTTCTGCTGTTTCTCTTGTTGCCATGTCTACACGTTCAGTACACGGAAGTGAGGCTGACCAAGACGGCGTTGAGGTAAATCAATTTGGACTTGTGATACTTTAGTATATGTTATTTTTTCTTCAGGTAGAGTCTGTTGTGAGTGGAAAAGTTGCATTGGACGACCCGAACTTCGCTGTTGGTTCCGGAAGCAACACTCCTCTTCTTGATAAGTCACAGGTCTGAATACAGTGGCTTACCTATTATCTTGATTGATAACTTTTCAGTTCATAACAGCTTTCTGTTACTTGATGCAAAACGATGATGAGTTTGTGGCTCAAATTCATCAAGCTTACACTGATGCGATAAACCGTCGACTTAGATTGGGAGGACGTTAATATTATAACCTGGCATGATATGACAGAGTTAGTTGTTGGGTTTTTTTCGAAATTCTTCTTTTTGAGCTACGAACGCATTTCGTTTCTAAGTCAGTAAAGTTTAAGACTGTACTCGTTCATGACATTACTCGATTCTTGTTAGTTGTATCATACAATCTAGCGCTTACTATTTTTTTCAAAATGTACATAATCGTTTAATGGAATTCGGGTTCATCTTATCGGTTTCAAAAGTATTTCATTGTTGAATTCTGTAAGTATGTTTTATGTGTGCTGATTGAATAGCGTGTATCATTACTATTTTATTATTACTATGTGCATTTTGATTAGTTCCGATTTTCAATTTTTTTTATTCTTGTTCTACATCGAAGACTCTTCTTCTCCACTCTCTGTGTGACTACTTTCTGTAGCTTCATAGTCATACCATACCATATATAGGACTGATAAGACACCAGACGTATAAATGAACGAAATCCACACAGCAATCAAACTGAAAGTTTCGATTGGTAATCCCAGTAATAAACTTTTTTTCCAACTAACCTAGTCATAAAATAAAACATCAGCTTATGATGCTGAGCATATCCTAAGTAAACGAAGGAAAAGAATGACAGAAACAAAATTATCAGGAATATATTCCTAGTGGATAATGGAACGGCACGATAGAGAACTTTGTCATCTGGAATGATTTTTTTACTGTTTCCCGCATTCTCCATCATCTGTCTAACCATTATCGTTGAGATCGTTGAAGTTGGATTTGGGTGGAAGAGATTGTTCAGACATATCACACAATCAAAATGCTATTTGTATCCTTATAAGCATAGTTTTCAGGCAGAATGGAAACAAATCTGGAAAGAGGGGATTCGGTAAAGCCGTTGAAACAGCAAAATGTCTAAATGGCATTCCTACTTTGGTGAACAAACATACGAAACTAAAGAAACCGGATCAAAGAAAAAACGAACGAATTATGAATGTTTTAATAGACGAACAAGCAGTTTGGAAGGCTAAAAAACTATGAATTCCCTCGTATTTTCAAGGTTCTGGGAGATGAGTAGTGAAGACATGGATGCTATAGATCGAAAGGAAAAACATCCAAGCCAACGATGAAACAGTTCATCAACCTACGGCTAACGGGAAGTTTCTAACAAAAGGGAAATGAAGGATAAGAGGAGATGATCAAATAAGTTTTCGGGAGATACGACTCGTTTTGTTAACTTCTCGAAATTCTGTCCTGATTCATCGGAGTCAAAGAGATGGATGATGATATGAAAAGGGTAAAAAAGGGACAAAAAATCAGAAAATGGAAAGCACAGTGACCAAAGTGTTTTCATAGGATTAAGTAGCTGAGGTGAAAGCTATAATAATGCTGAAAAGGGAAACGAGGTATTATAACTGGACGGATGAAAAAAAGTGAAAGCTTTCAGAAGCAGGACGACAATTCCAAACAAAGACAAATGGTTTCAACAAACAATATTCATCTATTCTTCTAACGATACAAAAAACTTTGTAGTGCAGTCAAATTCTTCGAACACTATGAAAAGATAGTTTGGATGAGAAAGAAGAAGAAAATGAAGAGTAGAAGCTTCGAATATGATATGGGTTTGGTAGACTTCCAAAAGCTGACACATATGAGAATGACGTAGAAACAAGAAGATATAGAAGACAAAAGTTTATGTACATCTCACCAATAAAAATGTATGTCTGTCAATTTATGTATTCTTTCATCGAATCGGCACTGAAAAACTCGTCGAAAATTCACTTTCGATTACTCCTAAGCTTCTTTTTGTCTCATCGTTTTCTCTTTTTTTTCTTACCTCTCCACCCACACCCATTCTAGCACCTTCCTCAATCAATGACTCTTCACTTCTTACCATTTACTCAATACATCTGAGTAAATGCTAATTTTACGACAGGGATTGACCACAGCCTTAAGCGGATTAATGGAAAACTCGCAGAAACGCCTCAAGGCACACCGCGGATTCGTCGAGGTCGAAATCGGCGAGACAAAGGATTAGTTAAGAGATCATTTCGATTTTAATACATGTCATAGAAATAGTTTTAAATCTTCAATCATATGTGAATTAACTACATTCGAAGTTGATTATTCAATGAGAAGTAAATAATTACATGAATTTAGTTTTCTTGAACATAAAATAACTTAATTAGTCAGAATATAAATAAAAAAGAAAAGGACGACAAGAAGCAGGAACAGGAATTTTCAACTCAAGTGTCGATCACCAGTTTAAAAGATGTTTTACTTGGAATGAAACGTTAATAGGGCAGAACAAGGTACAAAAAATAATTTGATAGAACAACATCAACTGGATTGAGGTTGGAGGATGAATGTACAAAAAAATTTGAGGCAAGCAATAGCAAGACGGAAATCTGATATATCTGGTATATGTTGCTTTTTAGACAGTGAATCAACAAAGGCAACAGGATTAATTCGAATAAAACACGTAGAAAGAGGCAAATCATAAGATGATCAAAGGCATCTGATGACTTAATCTGAAGAATTTCATTGATTTTTACTGTTTGTCTCATCGTTGTCCAAAAGAATAGGCGGGTAGATGAGACCAAATCAGCTAGCGGATTAATCACATGAATCTTAATCGCTTAAGTTGTTAAATACGATAGAAGTAGAAGTAGAATCCATAAAGATCAACAAACTTTGAAGACATCTTGCCTTACATACAAGAAGCTGTTAAAAAGCAACTTATAGACAATGTCCAATGATACTTCATGTTTATGATCTTCTAGGAACTTGTAATAACTCATCATAACTATAATTAATCATCTTCAACAAGATATCGAAACTTTTTTTTTCAGAAATTAGCATCATGCACATGAGATGGGTTCACGTGAGAATGTTTCACGTTGGAAACTATTTCATTGTATGCATGCATGACAAGATGAAACGGTTGTGTTTGAAGGTAAACGAGATTATTCCACTTTATATATTTCTTTTGCTACTCCGAAAAAATATTCAAATTTAAAAACTATTTTGTAATTGAAAAAAGCCGGACTGGATAATGTAATACTATATAGTTATAATACAGTTATACTGACCACTAGTGCGGAAAATACGAAAGGAATGGTCAAAACCGGAACAAGACCCATAAAACTAGAAGTTAATAATGATATTTCAAACAATTTATGAACTAAATATTGAAACTTTTGCCTCAACAGATAAATGGTTCCAACAATGATATTGTCTCGCCACTGTATTGATCGATTTTCGTTGTTTTTCTGTTCGGAGAAGCAAGACGTTAGAGATAACTTAGAAATAGAGCAAATCATGAAAAGAGTAAAAGAGAGAATTACAGATTGTGAAAAGAAGTCATTGAAGGGAAAGATGCAAAAAAAAGACAAAATATGTGGAGAGACATCATGTAAGAGAAATGGATAGTCGATTTGGGGCAGACATGCTTTGACGATCCGATCCTCTGATGATGATGTTGGTGAAAACCACAGACACGATAGCCATTGAGAAAAAGAAAGAGAGAGGAAAGAGAGAGTGGCCTTTTACGGAAAAAGAGTTTTATAAGAAATAAAATGAACAAAGAGTGTGAACGAAGAGATATGCATATATTGAGAAGAAAGGAAAGGATGGTAAAAGGAGAGTGGAAAGAAGGGATAAGCTAGTGAGAATCTCTTCGATTTCATAAAGTTCATGCAATAGCCAATTGAAATCAAATTAAAATGAAATCTTTCGAATTGTCGAGATTTCAGCAGTTTCACAAGCAGTGGAGGCAGCTATTCGCCGATTTCTAATCAGCGAATTAAGCTCCAGCAGCTAGGAAGGCTTAATGAACAGAATGGCTAAGCTTTAGCAAGCTAACAATTTTGGGCTAGCGAAACAAGAAGCTGATAAAGCATTTTAGGTAATTGAAGCTTGTATGAAGCTAAGTTAGCCTGATTCAAAGTAGTTCTCATCTAATACGAGAATTTTGTGGTAGCTTAAATGAAATCATTGGATGGGCTTTGAACGTTGATTTTCGATTAGAGCGAAAGGCCAAATGTTCGATTCGATTTAATGATGGGAAAATGTGGCGAAATTCTCGAAATACTTGTAAGGAGACGAGCCATAAATTGCAAAGGTTACAACCTTTTTTCATTTAAAAACTTGATGGCCCAGACGAACTTGAAGGCTAAAGGTGGAGGAGGATGCCTAGAAATTCAAGAAGTTCATTTAAAATACAGATTCTATTCAAAATAACGTCATACTTGGACTTTCAGTATGGAATTTAGCAATGAACTTGATGAGGAAATAATTGAAGAAAAAAAGTTCGAGCGTTCTCGCGATATCGCTCTCGTACTACTGAATTTCAATCAATCTCGGCAGGAGATAGCATTTTGAAAGCGGGTTCAGAAAATTGAAAATGTCTTTTATTAAATGAATTTCTGTGAAAATGAATAACAGGATGACTGCCTGCTGTCATCTTCCTTGTATGGAAAGCAAAAAACCTGTTCAGAATCAACGAGATTACAACAAGAAAACGAGAAATACAACAACTCTCATAGAGATTTTACCTCAAGAAGCATATGAACAACGGCTAAGTCCAGAGACGACTCAATATATCCAGATTTAGCTTCTAATTTACATAACTTCAACCACAACGTACGATAATTGTTTCACTAAAGTATGCTATAACTCATATCCAATGCTGATGGATGTTCATTCTCAAGAACAACGGATCACCACCCTCAACCAAAGAACTCAAAATCGAATAGTTTTCAAATAATTTATTTCATATCTTACAAATACTTCAAAGAATATTATTATGAAAACAAGATGTTCCATTGTGAAATTATGCACTTCTTATAATACTTTTCTTTACTAAAACTCCAACCAGTTGCTTCATATATATGAACGACTTATAATGCAAACGCCTGGCAGTAATGCGTTCCGTTGCGAACTCCACAGAACTCCGAATCGTGACGAATGAAGTACGAGAAACGATGCTGGAAGAGAAAAATGAATAAAACAATCTTGGGAGTAATATATTAGGCTTTGTTCCAATATCTTAAGATTTCCCGCGCTCTCTTTTTCATTTTTACAAGTTTAGAGTCGTGATCGGTTGCTCTGTTTATTGATTTTCTGTTGATCACTTTTGTTTTTAAGATCTTCTGGTTAACTTTGGTGATATGAGTGTTACGGGTCTTACCTCCGAACAAACGACTACAAATGGTTCGCCATGTTGTTCCAAAATGGCTGATAAACTACGTCCTGATTCTTCTGGTGTGTCTTTCATGTTCTGAAATCATAAATTCTATTTTCGTAGGTGCGCTATTTCTGGATACAAGATAAGGGATTCAGTGGGGAGGAATTACCTGTACAATAAGCTGTCTCAATTCAGGGCTGTTGCACAGTATGTCGGTATCTTTGGATTCCATATTATTGAATTGAGGTGGTTCTATCGATCTGAAAGTTAATGTTATTTTTTCCCAGATACTTGATCTCAGGACCTTTTCTTTCGACCACATGAGGACATACATCCACATCCACCACCTCCTCCACCGCCAAGGAACAAGGAAGATGTAGTGATACTCATGGAGAAGATCAGTAATAGAGTCAAGAAGTTCATACTTGTGTTGAGGATTGAGTAAGAATCTAAAAAACTTGAATAGTTGCGATAGGTTTTCAACTGGGGCCTTTATATACGTATAGCTAACCACGAAATAACCAGAATAATAACTTGTAAGCAAATAAGTTACTGGATTTTTATAATAATTTAGGCAAAACATTATTTTTCTAAATAAGAAACTAGCTATCGAATGAGTATTACTTGGGCTTTTAGAAATCCGACTGAGGCGCTCGGATCAGAATTACTTAGAGCGACTTGGGCTTAAACTGTTTATATACTCGTCATGTAATGAGGACATATAAAGTAAAGGTCGCAACCTCCTTCTTCAATAGTTAGTTTCTCAATTTTCATTAAATTACATAATTTCCAGATTACACACATCTTTGTTACTTTTCATTTCTGACCAACTTACTTAGAATATCCTATTGTATTGGTAAGTATGCTATGGATCTCACATACTTTGAGACAATGAACCATAAGAGAAAGTTGAGAATAAAGGTCGTTATTCAACTGACCTTATTCCAGAAATTTTTAGACAAGGATTCGAAGAAGGTTACGCAACTCTCAAATTGAATATCGTAAGCCGATTATTTCTTTTTTCTCAAAGTAATTTGATTGCCAATGATCAAATATTGGTCCGATCTCTCGGAAAAGGAATCCAAACAACTCTTTTTTGAATGATTTATTAATTATTATCAGCGAATAATACAATTGGACATGTAATATGGGTGACAATGAAGTAATGTGTCGTGATCACTGAGCAAGCAAAAGGTTATTGAAAAAAGAAAGTTTCAGTTTGATAAGAGGGAGTTGCTTGAGTAAAACTATGATTTAAGACTTTTGTAGTTCTTGCAGTAGTTTGATAACATTTTAATAATAAATAGATTAAGAATTAGCTTTTAGAATTCAAATGATAATGATGTGAAGAATAGATCAATTTCTACTTCCGATTCAGATCATCAATACCTCTTTCATACCTTATTAGCTGTGACGTAATTATGAAGTTTTATAACCTGAATGGAATTCTGAAAGTTTCCTGTAATCGTCTTATCTTATCTTGTACAAAGCTAATGCGATTTGTTGTTTACATCGGAAGCATTTTCAGCAGCTCAACAGTTTTTTTTATTATATTGTAGGATTGACTACCAGAATCATGAATATTACTAGGGACGAACTGACGATCATATACTTAGCATGTGATATGACTTCGTAATTAACTCTTCACTCGTCATTCATTTGTGTAGCCAAGAATGATTCTATTGGTCTGTGTGAAAACGGAACCTCTTTCCTGTTGGGACCTCACCATTTTCTTTTTTATTACTATTGTAGATTATTGTATATCTTATATTCATTTTAATTTTGACGTCATTAGGATTGTCGAAGAACTTAAAGTCTACAGAAAACGGCAAAATGGCTTATCGACTGCTACTGATAAGGAAATTCAAGCATTCAAGAATGGACGTAGAGTTGTTTCATACCTTCTAAGGCTATCACTCTGTCAACCTCCTTTTGAATACATTTTCGACTGCATCCGCCTCACTCTCATTCATGCTTTACGTTATTTTTATTTTCGTTTGAATGAATTTTTTTTGCAGTAGTCACATTTTCTGAATATCTGAAGTTATCAGTTTCGAATCGAATTATATTATAGTCAGGGAATGGCTCGTAGCCATATTCCGAACATTATTTTAGAAGAAGAAGATGAAGACGAGGATAATGACTTACCGAATAAAGAAATCGTAATCGAGCCAGAATCTGTCGATTCTCACAAAATCAATAAATCATTATTGAGCGAAAATACCTATAGGCACTACACGGTAAGTCCCCATTCTCATTTGCTGAAAATATTTTTATGAATGATCATGAACATCAAGCTTAACATACAAAGCAGTGATTTCGAACCTTTTAAAACTCTGGATTTCTTATCAAAATGTGCCATCGCTGAATATCTATAAAACTGGCGCAATGAAAAAGCAAGAGTTTGCAAAGAAGTCATCATATCTTTTTATTATGTTTTGAAACTAAAGATGCAATACGTCAACTTGTTTCCAGACGCCTAATCGAACTTTTGCTCCGTATGAACGTCGCGACTCAGGTGCTGTTTTTTCCAAGCCACTTCTCACTGCCATTCCTCCTTTGGAGGAACGATCTGATTCTATAGTATCGGAAGAGAGCCAACATGATTTTGCTATTGCACGTATTGAGGATATAACTCTAAACCAGATGCTTGAAATATGTAAGAAAAGGAGTCTAAATGTTTCATAAAAGAGTTTCAGCGACACTAAGTGAGAAGCAATCTCGTTTTGGAACATCAAAGAAGTACCTAAACAGTTTTTCCATGATGGAATACGTGACGGTCCAGCTCCAACTTTCATCGAACGAAGTTTAATTGAATACATAACATTTCCGATTTTTAAAATCAATTTAAGGAAGTAGAAGAAATTAAAAAAGAATTAGAACTGTTAACTCATTTAAGACATAATAATTTGGCGAGGTAAAGGGTTGGCACTGTTTGAATTAATCAACTTCAAGTTAAGATTTTACGGATATCATATCTCATCCAATTTCACTGTTACAATGTTTCGTGCTTTCATGCCTTCAGGGACTATCGCCGATAAAATTAAACAAGGTCCTCTCTCAGAGGAACAAGCTTTGAGGTTCTATCGTCAGGCCTTGCAGGGATTGAAATATTTGCATGCAGAGAATGTTATTCATGGAAACCTCAAATGTATGTTGCAATTACAGTTCCATCATATCATCTATATTCAGGTGCAAATCTTTTGGTCACTTTATCAAACCAAGTTCAATTAGCTGATTTATCTGTAATCTGTGAGAGTGTATACAAAACATTTGTTTCATGTAATGCCTGTTCAGTAGTTCCCGAACCAGATGCTCACTTGAGACGTTCCCTGCTACACTCGGCCCCGGAACTGCTCGAAGATAGGAAATCTCTTCATAAAACAACGGATGCAACTGATATTTGGTATATTACAGTTACTTTTTAATTTGAGAAAGATAAGAAAATGTAAAACTTACCTGCTCAATGCAACCGCTCAATGCTCCTTTCAAATTATAAATGACGATCGGGTCGAGAAATCAATCGATACCATTTCGCACTCTCGCACATCCAATACTTTTACGTGCTTCAAGTTTGAAAATAATTTTATATTATTTATAATCATTGACTAACTTGTTATTTCCACTGTAGGGCATCAGGATGTGTTCTGGTCGCAATGTTAACTCGATTCCTACCATTCCAAGATCAATTCATCTTAATCCATTCAGCAACCGAGTTACATGAAGTAAGTTCTTTTCATTTATGAGTTCAATCATCTATGTTTTTTGTCTACAGAAGTTAGTAGTTGCGAACCAGTTAGGTACTCCTCAGCTATCATATACAGCAGAAACTTTAGTACCAAATTGTAGTGAACAGCTGAGTTCTATTTTAAATTCTGTTTTCACTCGAACCTCTAGCCTTCGGCCCACCGCTGCAGAGGTTAGTTTTTCACGTTTGGTTCCTATCTATTGATATGTTTGTTAGCTCATTGAAAAGTTTTTCGAACCTTCTACACGACAAGTATCGGAATCCTTCAGCGCTCCACGACCAACATATTTGAAACACAATGATCTTTATGATGAACCGTAAGCCGCTCTTCCCTGTTATTTCATTGCTTCAATTAATTTAGAGAAGTCGATACTCCTGATTTTTATTCACCAGAGGATCTCCTGAGCCGTGGGTTAGATTCGGGGCCTAAGTTGGAGGAAGTTGTAAGTCCACTGTTCTTCATACTAATTGATATTGGTAAATCAAGAGTTGTTGCTGTCAATGGTTGTCTTTCGTCCTTTCAAGGATTTGGTACTTCTTCCGATTTACTTTTCGTTCCATTGGAATGGTTCATTCTCTTTAAGTATTTACATTAACAAATAGTTTTTAGTTCATTCTCTCCGCTTTATCATTGGCTCTCGTTGCTGGCACAGTAATTTTAACGATCATCATTTTCTATAAGGGTATCGGGTTAATATGTGGATGCAACTTGAACGAAGGTTCGTTGAAAGGAAGTTGTCTGTATGGATATGGTTTCTTTCAAGGATTTATTGTTCTGATTGCTTTAATTCTCTTACCTGTTCTCATTCTATTGATAACACTCTGTTGCAATAACACTATGGAAAAGTTCAAACACTCTAAAAGCGAAAGTCGGTATGTTACGATTTTTATTTGAAAACATATTTATCATTTTTTCGCAGATTCGTTTATACTCGGCCGGAGCATGATGTCATTTTGTGTGGAGTGATTGTAATTGATGGTAAAGGACAGAGAAAGCCGAGTGTGAGGAGAAAAGTAAGAAAATCTCGAATAAGTCTTCAATTTCTATGAAATTCTTTTTTCTGAAGTTGGCTACTACCAGCGAAGAACCTGGATGTGTTGACAATCTGCCGAAAACAGCTTTCAGTAGAGGAGTTGCTAGAATAGCTTAGACGCTCTAGGAAATTTGTATCATATTTTTCATTATATATTATCTCTGTTCTAATTATTTTCTGTACATAGATGTATGCAGAAGAAAAAAAAGATGAATTGATTGTTCGTTAGATGAGTAGAGATGCAATAGTGCTTACAGGTAGAAAAATGTCCTGTCTGAGAAGAGGCTTAGGTTGAATAACATATATGGATCAATGGGGTCTCCTGATAAAATCTACCATCTTGTTAGATTCCCTCTCCAATCCGAGAGTGAGAATCGTCTTTTTTCTAGTTTGGTTACGTTCATAGCTATTCGGCTTTTCATCAAAATCGCTGAGTAAGGCTTATTCGAACCTGGGATAAGTCGAGATTTATGTTTTTTCTCCTCTTTTGGGGAGAGCGCTTCCCTTTTATTTAATAAGGTTCAGTGCTGCAACGATGTGGAACGATGAGATTTAGCGATACAATCTTTCCGATTCTCTCGAACTGCCCAGTGGGTGGAATGAGGCGATATGTCCACTCCTTGTAGTTTTCTGAATCTCCTTGATATTCATTTTAATACTTGAACTTTCTTGTTTAGAGATCAAAAGCAATTCCCTCCCTCGAGCTATTCGATTTTTTTGTCATCGATTAAGCGAAGAAAAAGCATCTGCTTGCAAGAGTTGGTGATGTTTTTCTATCGCGGATATCCTCGATATGCAACTTTAATAATTAGTTGTTTAATTTTTCTAGGAAGTTAGTGCAGAATTGTTTGTTTTTTAATTTATACGGATTATTAGGTATTGGTATTCTCTTCTCTACGAAGCCTCGTATTCTAATTCTGGAAGACGGCCTAGAAGATCATGAAGTTAATTATTCGGATGACATTCCAGTCTTGGCGCCGATTTCTAGAAACAGTAATAGTTGCAATCGTTGCGTCTCTTTCTATATCATCGTTAAGATCCTAATTTCCCGGGTATCTACGTAGCTGAAGCTTTTCGAGTGAAAAATGACACAATTCGCTTTGTCTTTCTACAACATCGAGAAAATCAGTAAGTGACTATGCTCGTCTAGAATTCAGTACGCTTTTACAGGAAACAGTTGGAAGCGAAGGTCCAAGGGACTGATTGGAACTTAGTGAAGGCTTTTTGTTATAACAAAACTTGTGATGATATTCTGTTCTGTGATATAGCGACTCGTATTGCCATTTTGCGAATTGATCCTACTTTAGAGAAAGTAGATAACATGAGTTTGGCAGTTGTAGGAAATTCTGAATATTTCAATATAAAAGTTCGGTCAGTTATTTTCTAGAATTCATTCTTCTAATTTTTGTCTGTTTGAAGAGATGTCCGTATTAAGAAAGAAAATGTTTATCCACATAGAGTAGGAGTTTGTCTTCAACCCATATTCTTCTATTCTGATTGGCCTCTTATCATTCAAGTTCGTTTGCTTGTTCTGAAATCCGTTACATTGATTCGTATAGTTTTTTGAATCATGGTTAGCACAAGGAGCAACGAAATTTTATTTTTACCTGCACAGCTATACAAAGCAGGTAACGCTATTTCTTTCTATCGGCTTCTAAACTTCATGTAGACAAAATTAGTTCTGGACTTTTATAAGCAGAAGCTTGGAGATAACTTGGAATTTGTCGATTGGTCAGACTTACCAGTTCACAACAGAGTAAGTACACGTTTCCTTCAAGACACGTTCAACTTCAATTACTTGAGAATCGTGGAGATTATAATGAAGATCCTAATAGTCGAGTTTTTCGCCATGCAGCCACTGCCTTTATGCACGATTGTATGCTGAGAGCACGGTTTTTTCCCTCTATATCAAACAATCACGGTTAACTGTAATATGCAGATCTCACGTGAAGTATGTGGCTAACTTTGATCTGGATGACTTTCCTTTTGCTGAAAATGGAGACATTGGAGAAACTTTAGATGAAATCATGTTGCATCAACCAATCGCTGGTCAAGTCGTAGTCGAGTGGCTTTTGGCGAAACAAACCTCGGTTAGGCCCTATTGAATATTACTTGTATAAACTATTTGCAGATGGACTGGGATAGCATCAATCGACCAATTGATGTTCCTTTATCGTTATCTGATGTGAAACTTTTCTCTAACAGTAGTGTCCGTTGGGATTATCGCGTTTCAAACAAAATATTTCATCGTCCTGAAAGAGTATATGCAATTCCTTAGAAACATTGACATAAGCCATCTGGTTTCAGGTGGTCGTATTCGATATGCATACTGTCTATAGAAATGAACGGTTACCGCTGAATAGAAAAAGACGATTTGAGACGGCATTTGCACTTAAAACAACAAAAATCTTCTGCCTTCATTTGAGGTTTCTTTGCTATTCACAGTTTTCTTTTAATATATCTGAGTTACAGGAGGTTTGAGCGCCATATTAGAGAAACTCATAATGTATTTGACCGAAAGTTCGACTATTCCTTACTTGAGGGTCTGAGTGAGAAAATGGAAAGGAACTTCAAGATTAGAACTTCCAACTCTGTTTTTGGCAGTAAGTTACCATATACAGTCTTATAAACTGTTTGTATGAAGAAAGTTAACTCATTTGAATACGAGCCACACTTTTTCATTTTCTATTTTAAAGTGAAACGGTTCGGTTGTGTGAATTTATGCTGTGTATTTACGCTTTGCAAACGTTGCCTTTTTCTTCAGAAAGATTGATTCTAATCATTTATCTCACCCTTTTCATTAAGACAAAACATTGGCTCCATGGGCCATGGAAGCACGTGAAATCATGAGGAACCTAGAGCAATGTAGGCGAGAAGCTTTTGGCAAAGAGCTTACGGGATCTAACAAAATGTGCCAGCAGAGTAGCTCTGGGTACATCTTGTACGTTTTCTGTACCGTATACAGAGCATTTTTTCAGATGTCTAGGAATGTTAATGAGTGGTACTGAGTTCGAGCACGTGCCGATTTCATGGCAAGACGTTGCACATACAGCCATATTTAACAATTATTTGGAATCAAATTGACGTTTTTCAGATCCTATAAGCATGGACGGGTAAAATATTCTATAACGTTGCGTATAAACTTTATTAAAAATTATTATAATTACTATTTCAATAAATAATGTTGATTTTCTTTCCTTGTTCTTGTTTTTATAGTTCTCCGCAGACGAACTCATGAATCAATTGAGGTACGGCCGAATCAAATCCGACGATATCCAACATGCCTGCATCTGATGGATCGGCGATCGTGAAGCTTGTGGCGGTCATTCCCATTACTATTAGTCGGGCATCAGTTATCCCGGAAGCTTCTCTGTATTTACGAAGAGCTTCGTATGGATGAACCTGCAAATTAAAGACTTCAAACGGTTTTCGAAAAACACCAACCGTTCCGTAATAAGTCTCGCAGTCGGTATACACGATGAAGACATCAAACTTTTTGTTATTTTCAGCAGCCCAAAGCATTGGTTGAGCGCAGTCGGTCGAACCCATCTGAAAGTATACTTATAACCAATAGGTTAAAAGGAAACACTAACCTGAAGGGTATCCATGTGGTTACAAATCTGATCTATCTTCCAATCTCCTCTATATGGCAACTCCTCCAAAGTATGGCAGAAACCAACACATTCAACCTTAAAAATATTTGTAAGTTGAAAAAATGTTTTCTCATCCTCCAGACCTGCTTCTCATTTTTCAAGCTGACCAGCGACAAAGCTGCACTAGCTGCACGACATGACAACTTCGTTCCTGAGATTTGACTTGTCATACTACCTGAAATTTTACATCCATTCAACTCGGAGTATCAACTCAAGTTCACTCACCCGAAATATCGAAAGCGAAGCATATTCTTTTATTAGTTGGGGGAGCATTTATGAAGGCCTTGTAGAAAGCATCTTCCAATGCGTTCTCAACCTACAACAGAAAAATTGATAAAACAAGGAACGGAAAAAAATACCAGTGGGTTAGGCTCCCAAGTCAAAGATCCTTTGTCTCCTCGACCGCTAGAGTATACAGACTTAGCCAGGATTATATTCAATGGATGAATACGAGCAGCTTTAAGCTGACTCTCATCAGTCAGCATGCTTACCACCTTTCCAACATGTTCTCTTCAAATGAAGAATTAACTGACACAGAAGTTATTTTTTCTCTTACTCGTCTAGAGCACTAATCGAAGCCAGTTTTCCAAGGTTTCTGATTAGAGCGGTCATGGGCATTTTGTCTAAAAGAGCATGCCAGACACTTTGGTCATTCAAATGTTCAGTTGGAATGTGTTCTCTCACGAGATCTAAAACAAATTAATTTGTAAGTTTAGTATCGTTATGAAACGAACTGTGTGTTTTGATAGCATGTACAACTTCTGGAACGCTGGTCTCGCTGTTGAGATTGATGTAGGTCTGGATCATATCCAAGCATCTAGAGAAGTAATGTTTAATTTTCAGGATAAAAAGGATTTCATACTTGCTGTCCTTCTCTTGGTCCAAATCTAGAACAGAATACTTGCTCAAAGGCTCTTCAGCTTCAAACTCTTGTGGGTTGAGACTTCTTTTTCTTGGACGAAGACTATCTGAATTCTAAACATTGAACAAAACGAAATCTTCGAAATTTACCTTTCACAATATAATGATAGATCTGCTCGACTTCCAAACGTTCTCCTTCTCTACACTTATGTTTCGAAGAGATAGGGTGAGAAAGACGGAATAAATCTCTGTGAGTATATCCTTCCCTCTTTTTATATTTAGTGACTTGCATGGCAAGTTTAGATGGTGGTTGGGAATAATACCTGCAAAACACTAGTTTTGAAAATGCCCGAAATCGATATGAACCAATTAGCAATCGAGGCTCTCATTTGTCTACCCCATCCTGTAGATTTGTTTGTTCCTTTACCATTAGTTGCCCTAGCAATGAGCTCGCAATTCTTGACGAACGCGAACAGATGTGTAGGAATACGGCAAACCTGAAATGAAAATTGTGTCAAATTTAAAAACTTCGAATTTTCTCACAGCATTAAGCATAGCGAATCCAGCGTTATGCATGGCTCTCAAATACTCTTGATACTCAGTATTTGTAGTTTCAAATCCTACTCGATATCTGAATAAGGGCTGTAAACTTGATGAACTATAACTTTGAAAACCGAGAAACTAAGGCGTATGCCATCATGAGAGCTCCTTGCTTTGGGTTACGGCCCGAAGTGGAGACGACATAGATCGTACGAAGGATCAAATGAGCATCTCCTAAAACGGGCAAGATATTTCAGATTAGTTTACTCAGATTCTCGTGTCAACTAACCATTGTCGATGATTTTGATCAATCCCATCATGTTATCCATAGTTAACTCTTTCTCCGTGCTGTAATAGGTTCCTCCGGTCGTTCCAAGAATCAAGAATCTTAGAATTTTGCTCTTATCTGACACTTCAAATACATATCCACCGGCATTATTTACGACCTGAAAACAGAATAACAACTTGAATAAATATATGAAACTATAACTACCTGATCTCCGCGGATCTGATCTGTTTGAGTTCTCGTTTCCTTGTATTCGAAAGAGAGGTCAGCCTTCTCCTCGGGCTTGGTGCTCTGATAAACTTCTCCCAATCTTAAAAAGTTTGGATTATTCAACAACTAAAAAAAGAATTACAACCTCTGCACTTCATCAAGAGCGAATTTGAGCTTATCCTGTTGTTCTGGGGTAAGATTTTTTGATTCAGCTGCTACTTCAGACATTCTCCTAAAAATATTTCCAAATCTTTAAAAAGATATAACTGTGAATAAAATGAAGGAATGAGACGTTGCCAGGGGTGCCTAAAGCGTCGAATGGCAACCAGATAATAATAAGGAGAAAAGACATTTCACAATTCAGGCGCAACAAAACAAGCTCCGCCTCTATGGTGCAATGCTATGAAATGAGAGTTGCATACGAGAGATAGACCATATCGTAGGAAAAGAAGCTGAAATGTAAGAAAAATGAAGAGGAGAGGGAGAAGGTAAGCGACTAGACTATGACAACGCGAACTGTCGAACTGAAATGAATGTAAAGGAATACTGTTTGGATTAGGAAATCAATAACTATGACTCATGTTTGCCCAATAATGAAGCAGTTGTAAAAGGAAATATCATATCAGGAAATGACGTTCTGAAAGAATTTGCGCTTTTGAAAAGTTGCTCGAACGACAATCAAAAGATAAACAATGCAATTTTTATATTTTTTGATGGGTTATCATGCAAATTGCCCATATCACTCCTCTATTTTTGAAGTTTATGGACAATTGATTGAATTTTCTCAAAAACGAAAAAAAAAGAAATTTAAAAATGATGATTGATCGCCAATGATCTTAGCGTCCACTTGGAAAGACACCTTGACCTTACGACTTTTTTACATTCATAGTTTCTCAAATGGAAATAACGGTTGTGTACGAGGGAGAAAGCATCCAATTACATGTAAGTTCCTCATTTTATATTATCATTACCCAAGAAAAAAAGTTATTTCGGTCACAATTATATAAAATTTCATTAAAATATCAATTAGGTGACGAAAGACTTTCCCATACGAACACTCGTGGCTCTCGCCCATGAACATTTGAGGAAGGCTGATGATGAGGAGAAAAACAGTTTGGATTTGTTCGTGAACTCAAAATCGATTGAATTTAACGATACAACGACCATCCAGGTTTAGTTTTAACCCGATTCTCATTGAAATACACACTCTCATTTGAGTTTCTTTTAATCATATGATTCGAAATCGCACCTTTTGTTTTCATTTACGGCGTACGTATAGGCGGAGATCGGTTGATTTCAGAGTTTAGGAATCAAACAGGGTGATGTCATTTCTTTCGGTCCTTCAGACTACAATAATGCCAAATCTCCATATGGTAGGTTATAAGTGGAAGTATTTCATTTTTTTTTAGTTTCACCACCACGATCTCCGTACACAACATTGGACAAGGTTCAAAAACAAGCACTTCAAAGGTAGTTGCGCCTAACACATTCTATCTAACAGAGAACACTTCAAGTAACTTGAAGACCGGTGTGGAGAATGTCCCCGAATCATTTAATACTACGGGAATGGCTTATATCAGACTAGCTATTAATGGGGTTGAAGTTTTAACTTTGGTTGATTCAGGTAATCATCATGCATTTGATTATACTGTTCATACTTTTGAAGGAGCTCAAGTTTCTATCCTGACTAGCTCAGCCGCTAAGAAATGTAAAGTCAAAGACTTGATTGATCCACGATGGAAAGAGAAAGCTGTAGGATTGGCGGGCAAGTCCGTCGACGCTTTGGGAACTATCATGTATTGTAAGATTCTCTGTAAGTGGACCAGCATATCTTTCCGTGATTTTAGGTGACATCAAAGTTGGAGAGCAGACACTTTCCGGTCCTCTTTCCGTTTTGAATCCATCGGTAACGGAAGTCGATTTAATTTTAGGATTAGATTTTCTATTCAGATATAAGGCTGTTATTGATCTTGGCGTAAGAGAAACATTTTTTTTCTCACATCACGGTCGTAATTTCAGAAAAGAAGAGTAACTTTCGATGATGGGGAACCCATCGAGTTCTTGACCGAGGAGGAAGCTCTCAAAATTTCTGCATTCAAAGTAGAAGAAGATTAATAATATTTTGAAAATTATGACAATAATTAGAGAGTACAATACAGGAGACGACCTGTACGGATTCATAAGAGTTTATTTTAAAAAAAATCTTACAATAGCTTAGTTCAAAGAGAAATCAATAGGAGACTGGGGCAGCTTGGGCATATCCTTGAGATGGAGCTTGAGCTACTGGTTGGGCGTACCCTTGAGCTGGAGCTTGAGCTACTGGTTGAGCGTACCCTTGAGCTGGAGCTTGAGCTACTGGTTGGGCATACCCTTGGACTGGAGCTTGAGCGTACCCTTGAGCTGGGGCTTGAGCGTATCCTTGGACTGGAGCTTGAGCGTATCCTTGGACTGGAGCTTGAGCTACTGGTTGAGCGTATCCTTGAGCTGGAGCTTGAGCTACTGGTTTAGCGTATCCTTGAACTGGAGCTTGAGCAATGGGTTGTCCGTATGTTTGAGCTGGTGCTTGCTGAACGTATGGTTGGGCAACAGGTACAGCATAACCGGGCTGAAAAAAAAAAACAAATATGAAATTTTTGGAGATGATGAATACTTGAGTAGCTTGTGAAATTGGGGCACAGCAGGTGCAACGAAGGAAAGAGTCGACAACAACCTCAAATCCAACAACGCTGGTCTGAAGATTATAACTTATAGTAATACATTGAATCATAGTACTTGTGGGATTCCGTGTAAACGAGCGCTGTTTTGGCAACAACGATTGCAGTTATCCTTCTTTTTGGTGAAACGAGTAGCATCGCAAGTGTACTTCATTGGACGATTGTCTAAAGGAAATCAAAATGCATGAACTACAGCGAAACCTACTGTGATTTCTGCGTCCACCATAAACTAAATAAGATACGTCTTCGGAACAGATATAATCTGGAATTTGAAATATGAAAGCTACAACAATATAAACACAAACTGTCTATAAGGAAGTTGTATGAATGAGGGAAATAACCATCATAGCCGAAATAAGGGGAAGATTGAGCTCCATATCCTTCAGAACCATATCCGTAACCTCCAGCAGTATCTTCTTTAACTCCCTTCGAACGAAGACATCAATATCGAAAAATGTGAGTGAGAACTCACAGTGCTGTTAGAAGATTCTTCCGTAGCAAAAGCAACAGCTAGGAGAGCAGTTGAAACAAACACAATCTTCAGGCTGTTCATGGCTTGAAATGAGAAAGCAAAACGTCCGTAGAGGATTTTCAGCTTTCTGCCCAACCCCTTAGAGCCACTGATCCGCCCAAAGGTAATGGAGGGAGGGCCATGAACGCCCCCTCAAATCATAAGATCAGGTGTTAGATATGATTTATTACAAAGAAATAAAAACAATGTAATAAATTCGAGAAGAATTGTATGTTGAAGATTTTTGTACAAAGAAAATTGTGAGAAAGTATACGAAAAATGAGTTTTCTGAGGATATCGCCAGACAATTCTGAGGAATCCTCAGCACCAATCGATACAAAAATACAAAAATAATTATTAAAACTTCTATAAATTATAATTAAAACGTATTAAATAATAATAAATTATCATAACTGGGCAATGAAAGCCCTACAAAATACAAATCCTTATTAGGATATTAGAAAGTGTCTATTACACGTTCTTTATTATGTTTGAGAAATTTCGAAACGATACCGCCCGTCTTACGAAGATTTGTTTTCTTTTGAGAAAAAAAAATGTTTTCAACAATTACAGGGTTTTTAGCGGTTCTAAACCGTAGATGTGAAGCGTCCAGCTTCCTCTTGGTAGCAAAAAAAAGATAAAAAGAATACGAATTTGGGCAGTGATATGGGTCAAACGAAGAAATAGAAGCTATGAATTCGGAAAATAGATTATGTATACAAATACCTGTGCAATATACTACTCATATTGGAAGTGATTATGAAATGACTAGGAAGCAAATCAGCCGGTGTGTTCGAATAATAGTCTTAAGAGACTCATTCGGGAGTTTCACCGATCGGATACATTTTTGTAGGATAGAAAAGTCTTCCACAAGTGTTACAAGGGTATGTCTTATTGGCAAATGTGTTCTTGGAACTGAAAAGAATACTTCAGAAGAATAAAACGGTATATGGACAAACCGCCATTGACGATTGCAAGGTCCGCAATTAAACACGCCTATGCTTCGTCGGTTTCCCTGATATGGCGTCGGTTCCTGCTCAGGGTTCTTCTGCAAACATAATAAACATTGCGAAGGATTCTCAAAAGTTGAAATTACTGTTGGGCAATGTCTGATCATATGACCTTTTTGTCCACATCTGTGACAGACGTAATCCCGGTAAGGAACTTGACGAACAGCAAGAAGTTCTCGACGCACCTGCAAAGTGTCAACGATGACTCATATGTGAGAAAGAAAAACTTACAGCTTCTTCAATGTCCTCCATGCTTTGATCATTGCTTGAAGATTTGTCGGAAGCAAGCTCACATTCCGAAACACTACCAAACTCTGAGTTTAGACAGGAAAAAGCCTGATATGGAGTATTTTAAACAGGTTCATAAGTTTCCAAAAATACCTGATACTCATAGCTTTGCACAAAAGGCATCAACTGCGCAGCGATGTTAAAGAGGTTTTCTGGGAAAAATTTGTCTTGGGCATACATGTTGATGATATTTCTGAAAAGAACAGTCAGAATAGCATAATCAGCTGTAAGCGAGAATAGAGAGATTGCATATGACACAAAGACTTGTGGAAGTAAATGCTGATTTGAAGCGGAAAAGGAATGCGTGGGTTTTGTGACGCGAAATACATCATATTAACACAGGACATTTGGAATGATAATTCATTATTATATCCTCTCTTATCGAAGAAAATGATTTACCTATATATGGATTGTAAGTGAGGCGGCTCTCTTATCGATTCAGCCAAATATGGATGTAGATCATATAATTGTCGCCACAAAAACGTACTATTACCATTTTTGGCACAAAAAAGGATAAAAATTGGATAAAACGGTTGAAGTACAAAAAGAAATAAGTGCGTTTCCAACGCACCTCTCGCATACACACAAAAAAAGCTTTTTATCTGCAAGTTACCAAGAGGAGACTCTTTTCGAAACGGAAAAGGTCGACGTTGAAACAACAATTGGAAAGCTATGATACATGATTTCACGTGCAAATTACCTTCCGCTACATTGATAACGAACTTTAGTTCTTCATTGGCAAAATAACAACAGTTTATCGTAAATAGCAAAATAATAATAAATGAAAACTAATTTGATGAAATGCGTTGAGTTTCATTTTCACAAAAATAACATACACACACACACACAGACAGGAGAAAGTTCAGACAGTCTTCGATGAAGAATGATGACAACTGCAAGAGACGAACGGAATGTAAGTATTACGAAACTCTTCGCAATCAACACAATTACCTCCGGCAAACAGTGCTAAAGGAGGAAAATATGATGATGCAGAGGATCATGCGTTTACAATATGAATTGTTTGTTCTTATCAATCATTGCATTTTATAAGTTCTCTCCTACATTGGCGACATAGGTGTATGAAATGAATCATTATCTAACCGATAATTTTTTGATTTAGATAATCAAACGTTTTTGATTATAATTTTAATCATTGTTGTGATATTATTTAAAACTATCTTAATTGTTCCATTTTGCACGTCATCATTGTGTGAACTAAAACTTTCGTAGACATGACATGAATGTAATGAAATAAAGCACAGCAAAATCTTATTGTTAATATTGGGTAAATTGGAATTCGAAAAAAAAAAGAAATAAGAAAGCAACCGCTCCATAGAGTCTGAACATTGGAAATAGGACGTTCAAATGATTTTTGGCTGCTAATGTGACGTCATCATATGTTAATTAATCGTTGAAAAAAATAATTACAAATCAACAAAACGGTCGCTAATTGTCACATTTATAAATTAGATACCAAATATAGAGTAAATTGAATATGAAATGTTTTTATAATAAGTTTAATTTTTGTTATTTTTTTTTCGTTTGTTCTGTTCAGGTCTCTGACTTCTATTCCTGATTTGATCTTTTGCTACAGCGAACTGTGGTTCACTGAATTCGTATGACTACTTATCATGTTCTAGGCGAATTTCGTAAAATGACGTTTCATAAAACATTTTGTTTCTCTTTTCTTGTTACTAAGAGTTCTGTTTGACATTCAATATAGTTGTTGTTTTCATCTAAAAATCAAGGCTCTTATACTATATTCTTTCCACTGACTCATTCACACTTCTGGTTCCGGTTCTCTCTCCAACACCTTTTCATTTTTAAACTTAATCAAATCCACGTTTCACTTCGTTTTTTCATTTTTTAATTTTCAGATGATAGAGCGGTTGCGCGCTGTCCATACATACACCATTCAGACACACACACACGCGCACACATACACGCGACTCTAGCTGAAGCTCCTTGTGGTTGGTTAAAAAAAAACTTTTTTTCCGTTATATATCAAAAATCTCAATGTTTGGTTGTTTGCCACTCCTCGAATCTTCACGTGTGATTTTCGCTTCTGTTCTGTTTTCTTTTTGTGTCAACTGTCTATTTTACTCATATCTTTCATTTTTTCGCATTCATTTTTTCTTTTTTCGCTATTCTTTCTCTCAGCTATTGCTCCGCCCGTTTAACGCTCTATCTTCAAATGCCCTTTTGCCTCTCTCCATTTGTCTTCAGTAACGTTTTTTCCGATGTATGTGGCTCGGTGTGTTGTGTTGATGATCTCTCATCACTTCAACGGTTTTTCTTTAACTTTTCATTTTCACTTTCTGTTCTCCTCAATTCTCTGCCACTTTGTCCTCTCACCACTCGATTGGCTTTGCTTCTCAATTTTCCAGTCAAAGAACCACAATGCGCATACACATTCATCTGCTCCCTTACAGATTTTATCAGCTGATGACGATTCTAAAAAAGTTATCTGATGTTTTTATACTTTCCGCTCATCTTTTTCTTTGTCTTTGGCAGCAGTCTGTCCAAGTCAATCTTTTTTGGATACGCATTGCATTGCAGTAGTCTGGACGTTTCTGCAAACTAAAATAAACATTCCATCATTTTCATTACGTTTCTCTAAGTTCTTTCAATATTCAAATTTAATTTGAGTTTTTTCTCCTTTTCATCCGAAACTCTGTTGCCGTCCGCCTTCTCTGTTTTCTTTCATTTAGAGAATTGCACATTCGACATATTCCAATCAATACGCGTAACTATGCATAAGCCTGGGCGGCCTAAGCTATTTCTTTCTTCCACTACATCCAATCAAATTTTAATCCTCCCGCATTTTTTATGTTAATTTTTTGAGCAATACATATTATTATATCATACTTTTCTAACGTTTGAGTTTCTTTTCCCCACTCATGACTTCAGAAATGAAAGGCATTGACTTCTTTTGCTCTAACCATTTCGTCAAACTTATTTTTTTTCTAAAACAAATTTCTGGCTAATCGATCTTTTCTCGCATTATCAAAGTTTGTTCTGCGCACATGCTGTAAGTCTCTTAAAAACTTATTTTTTCAAACTTTCAGAGACAGAATGAGTCTTCGGCTATTAAATTGGAATGGCAGAACCTTCAGTAAGTTGGTTCGGCTGGCATCAACTACCACTTCACCGAACGGTTCGTTTTCACTATCTCTTTGGACGAAAAAAAGGAACATTTCTACTCATTTCTCATTTTTCAGCTCCTCCTACCAAGCAATACGAACCGAAGTCTCCGGAATGCGCAAAAGAGATTGAAGAATGTTTCAAAAAACTTGATCTAACTTTCAAAAACACTGAAGAAGCTTTCAAGGTTTATCTCCTTCTATCTTCTTTGTTTACTCTGTTAAATATTTAGAGTAAAAGCAATTCTGAAGTGATTCGAGCTCTAGTTGTGCTCCGATTATGTGGAATTAATTTCCTGGTACAGCATAATCACCATATTTTGGGAGTCATGAGACGTGTATGTTCGGAAGTGTCAATCACCTCTCAAGTTTTCGAATTTCCAGATTCTCGGAAAGAATTTGTTCAAGAAGGTGTTGAAAAGCACATTTTATGGCCATTTCGTGGGCGGTGAAACAAAAGCTGAAGTAAGATTTCAAGTTGACCGTGCTCATCTTAAAAATCAACTTTTTTCCTCATTTTCAAATTTTGCTTTTTAAGGTTGAACCTGTTATGGGTCGTTTAAAAACTTTCGGAGTAAAATCTATTCTAGATTATTCTGTTGAATGTGACATTACTCCACAAGAAGCAGCTGATAAAACTGAAGGAAGCTCAGTAGATGCCAAAATCGAGCCAGTTGTATGTTTTCATGTTTGCAATGATTATAGTTAGATGCTTAGGCTATTACCAGTACTGTAGACTCAGAAACATTATCTTCCACTCAAGCAAAATACCGTTCTCACAAAGATTTTGCTGATCGTCGAGCTCATGTCGTAAGCGCAAGGTTTATTTCTGATCGTTTAGCAGTTTTGTTATATTCGTATTAATATAGAACCTACTTCTACGATGGTGAAGAGAACTGCGACAAAAACATGGAAATATTTATGGAATCCATAGATGCTGTTGCTCACGCTACTGGGGGAGAAGGCATTGCTGCAATCAAGATCACAGCTCTTGGACGTCCTGCCTTACTTCTAAAGCTTTCAGGTATTTATTTTAAAGCATTTTCATGGTCACATCGTTTGTTTTTAGAATCAATTGCTCAAGCCCACAATTTCTTCAAAACTTTAACTGGAATGGGACAGTTGCAGATGAGTCGTCTGAGCGAAGAAGAATTTGTTAACAAATTGAAGGTTTTAATTTCAAATTTGATCAAACTACTTTTTCTTTCAAAGGCTTTCGGAGTTAAAGCTGATTCAAAGGTTGTGAAAGATTGGTTCAAAACTGTTGACTTTGACGCTGATGGGTTCGTAGATTTCCATGGATGGGATAAGATCCTCGATGACAATGCAAAGTTAGGCGAGATGTTCAAAGTAGGGATGAAATGATCGATGCTATTTAACCATTAAGTGTTTGTTCAGGTTTTGAACGTTAAGTCTGGACATTTAGAACCTTTGATCACAAACTTAACTAGCACTGAAGAGATGGAGGTACGATGAACATAGAATATAAAATTCATAATGTTATTACAGTTCGCTAATATGGTCAGAAGGACAATCAAAGTTGCCGAATATTCAATTCAAAAAGGTGTTCGCATTATGGTTGATGCTGAACAGACATATTTCCAACCAGCTATTTCTCGGATTGCAATTGAACTCATGAGGAAGTGGGTTGTGAAAATATTAAAAACTTTATCTATTCTGTTTAAGGTATAATAAGGAACGTGGAAACATTTTCAATACTTATCAAGCTTACTTGAAAAATACTCTACAAAACCTAGAATGCGACATGCAATTAGCTCGAAGGGAAAATTGGCATTTCGGAGCTAAGCTTGTTCGTGGAGCTTACATGGAACAAGTATCATACCTGTTAAAAAAAATTTGCTCATTCTGCTTTACAGGAGAGAAAACGAGCTGAAGCTATCGGCTACGAAGATCCAATCAACATTGATTTTGAGGTACGCAACAGAAATATTATATTGAGTTCGAGATAAAGAGGGGTTAAGAGTTAAATAAATTATTTGGGGGACACACAGCGGAAGTAACCGACCGGTTATCATTAATTTACGGATTGAATTGATGTTTGAGCGCTCTGGCGTTCTCGTATTTTTCACGTGGGATTCACGTGAAGTTTTATTGCATTCAATTTGAAGTAAACTCTTTAGCTTACTCAGTATTTCTGAATTAACCTGCATCGTTTTAGCATACCACAAGAATGTATGAGAACTGTTTGACTCGTCTAGCGGACGAAGATACCCGACGAGGACGTGGAAACGTGTCAGTGATGATTGCCAGTCATAACGAAGACACTGTTCGGTATTAATGAATCCAGAATATGGCTTTTAATTGTTATCATATTAGTTTTGCTGTACAATTAATGAAAGAACGAGGAATTGCACCAAGTGAAAGAATAATGTGTTTCGCTCAACTATATGGTATGTGCGACCAGGTAATCTAGTGAGAATGTATGTAATGTATTATATCTATTATTAACTAGATCTCATTCTCGCTTGGACAAGCCGGCTATTCTGTTTACAAATACTTACCATATGGACCTGTAGAAGATGTGTTACCTTATTTAAGTCGTAGAGCTATAGAAAATGGAAGTATATTAAAGAAAGCTAATAAAGAACGGGTTTGTGCTGAATTGACGTTATTCCTTATAAGTAACTCTGATTACAGGATCTTCTTTGGATTGAATTGAAGCGCCGATTAATGAAAGGACAATTCACTTATAATCCCACAGCATAGAAATTAGAAATAACTATTTAGGAATAATACTAGCTCTTCATATTTAAACATATAACCACATTACGTTTTCAAAAGATCATCAAGTTAAACTTGACAGTTTTAATTTTAGATTCTTCTTCTTTTGCGTTATTTAGCGGGTGATAGCGTCTACCTTTCAACATTTTCCACATTTCTTTTATATTATACGTTAACCCCCAGATTATATTAAAATTTATTGATTATGTGGCATGAACGTTTTCTAATAAATGCAAGAACTTTCATTTTTCAACAAAATTGTTTCCCAGAAATGGAAAAATTCTAATTTCGGTACTCTTCCATCGCTTACAATATAGATGGTATGCATTGTACTCAAGAAGTGCTCTATGTAATGATAAGCAGTAACGCATTCCACATTGCAGTATCTACAGACAACCTGCAAGATATAGTTCTTTCACATCTTTTTTCATTTAAAAAAATACTGTATCCCATGGCATATCGCGGCTGAGCTTCTTTCTATCGACTCTGCTCATCAGAAGATTCAAGCAGGACTTTTTAACTTTGAACAACTCCACTAAATACTCTCAATTATCTTGATTGAACATTGAAAAGCTCACAGTCTAATCTTTTGCTTGTGTCTATTTGATCATCATAAAACTTTGGATTTTGTTGAGATATAACATCAGGTAGATTCTCATTTTCTGTGGTATCAAAGGTAATAACCGTCTGACATGCACTATGAGTCAATTGCCTTGCATTATTATAAGAATTGAGAGTGTACTAGAACAGAAAATAGTATAAATTTGGAGACGAAAAAATGAAAACTAACATTTGAGTTCAAAAGATCATCAGATGTTTGATATTTTCGATTTCCCACATATTTCTCATCTGGAGTAGTTACTTTCTTTGTTTTTGGGACGAGTGGTTCACAATTGACCATTAACTTCTTCCAAAATATGAGATCATTCATGTGAACAAATTTAAGTACCTTAACTAAAGATTACATTCATTCATGAACTTAACATACTGACTTTCGTTTTATGCTTCAAACTGAATGTGTGATAGAAAAAGTTAGATGGATTATCTAATGTGTTACCACATGCCCTGCATATCTGAACCACATTTATCTGGGAAAGAACCTCACTCAGCAAACCTTGCTCTGATAAAATTCATAAATTTTGAGTGCTTGTTGCGGTGATTTGATTCGAAAAGAAAGTTGGATCAGTTCGTCATAGAAACTGCTAATTGCTTCATCTACAAATTGAATATTTTTGGAAATTAGACTTTGTTAAAGATTCTTACCCACGTCGTGTTCATCAAACAATCTATGCAAAGGTACCATGTTAGGTGAAAAGGAGAAATCATCATGCATGTTTCTGAGAGCAAGGTACATTAAGAACGAATTATTGCAAGTTTATTGATTGATTGAAAATTCTAAGCAATCATATGTATATTTCATTGATTAACATGCAAGAATGTTATCGTTCTATAAACGGAAAGAAAGCGCTCAGTTATGAATCAATGAGCGCGGAAGAAGTACAATAGAGAAATCAATACACAGTCATATATCAAAAAAACAGATATGGTCTCTGAATGTTTGATTATGAAAGAAGCTATACTGGTTCGTCCCAATAGAGATGCTCCGATCGTATCTATATTATGAAAGAAGTTTGTTTCGAAATACGAGCAAAGGGGTGTATGTTATTAGAAATGAAGTCAAGCGATCTATGCTAACTTCATTCACATCGAGTTTCATAATTTCTGATCAGTTGCATAAAACGTTTTTGCTTTCCACTGAATGTGATAATTCAATTCGTGGAGTCTCATATAAATAAGAAACGTTTTTTTGCAGTGTAAGTGTGTGTGTGTGTATGTGTGCGATAGAATAAAGGAGAGAATATCCGCATAACGATAAAGAGAATGGTTTTCCTTCTGATCTACAGTATGATTCTCTATTTCATTTCGGCTCCCACGATCGTCTTCCCCATTGTCGCCATATTCGCTATATTCAAATTTTCCGATAAATATGATTTTGAGTATAAGCTTCTGAATATTCTATTCTATGTATGGTAAGTCGCCATTCCTATCCAGTGATAAACCAGAAACACATTTTTTTATTAAAGTTCGGCAATTTTTTCGTTTGTTCTTACATTGGGATTAACGCCATACATTCTAACTCCATGTTTGGGTGTCTTACCGTTGGGTATCTTGAACATGTTCAGTATCCCAACATCATCTCAACTTGTAATACTCATTTTATTATTTTGTGGTTAGGAAGAGAACTTATGCTTACATGCATATCTTAATGAATTTAGGAAAGTTGATGATTATAGCAATGCTATACTTCTATAGATTATCTATCCTGAATCTTAAAAAATCTATGTTGTATACTACATTTGTTCGAACAGTTATATATTTTCTTTTTCTCATTCACTTCATTCTAATCACTCCTTTTATTATCATGGAAGTTGAAAACAATCCACAAATCAAATCAGTTTGTCGTCAGGTTTTTTCTACTTTTATTCATATTGAAAGCAGAATGGTTTTCAGAAAGTCTTCTTCATCTCAGATGCTTACTTCTTTGATGAACAAACAATTATATTTCAGTCTATTAGTTCGAAACTACTTTCTGTTTTCTACTTATTCATTGCAATCTCATTACTGCTCATCGTTTCATTCATATTCATTCTGTTTCTCTACACGCGGAAGGTTGTCGGTGACAAGCGATCAGCTATCTCATCCGAAATATTGGATAAGCATACGGCATTAAGTAAAGTGTTATATGTTCAGGTTACCTACATGTCCCATTGACATATTAAATTTTTGCTTTTTAGACGATTCCCTCTCTTCTCACTCTCATTCTTATTCTGTTTTTAATAGTGTTCGTTCTTATTCTCGACATTTCGTTTTTTGCTATGAGCTGTGAGTTGTAGAGCTCCAATAGCTCCAATATCTCCGACTTTCCAATTATTTCCAGATTTTATTCATTTGTTTGTCATCTTCGTATCACTCTCAGGAACTTTCATATCTTGTCAGCACATTTACATGAGAACAGAATATAAAAGAGGACTCTTGTCATTATTAGGGCTTTCCAATTCTGTTTCCCATACAATATACGCCTCGTCTCGTCGCCAATCAACCATATCTATCATAAACACGTAATTGACTATTCGAAATCATTATTTTCTTGTACTTTCCGTTATTGTTACAACGCATACTACATACGACACTTCCGAGTAGGGTCATAACTTTGTTACTATGATACTTTAGTCTTCAGTCAGGTTAATTCTGATTTGCAAAGCTGTCTATGATGAAACAAAGAAATGATTCTAAGTGAGTTAGAACCAGCAGTTACCTCGGAACCGCAACTCTGAGTGTCAACTAAATTTTGAGACAGAAATATTATTATAATCATTTTGTATATAGAAAGATAAAAAGTTGTTCCGAAAAGAAATGAAAGGATCTGCCTGGATCATTTAAATTAACATGATAAGAGATTTTCAAATATTGCTCTCGGGTGGGAAAGAGCTACTGATTATTTCAGAAAATTATTTTCATCGACTAAAACTTGTGTTCTCGGTCGTGCTTCCAAATTTCGTACAATACATGCGCATATCAGCAAATCAAGCTGCTCATTTAGACTTGACGCTTCTACTGAACGGTTGATCATAACATTAATTTGCCACTCATCGGATCGAAGGTGTAATGATCGCATCACAACAACTCATGAAGGTAACCATGTATAGCACATTCTTCTGATTGATTCATTATTCTTCCGCGATCATCTGTACTAAAGTGATGCACTACGAACTCAAGTCGAAGATTCAACATGTTACAACATGTCAGTTGAGAAAAATGTTCAGTTTTTAGCATACAAAACGGCAACGAAGGTTTTGTCAACGTGTTAACTTGCAGCATATGAGGGAGCATCGGTTTAACATTCATATCTTCAGAATCATAGAAAAAATGTGAGAACAAGTTTCAAGCATATTATTCAATGTTTAGTAATCTTACAAATACGAAAACTAATTGCATATAAACAGCCTGGAAAAGAAGTTAGCAAGAATGTGAGTAGAAACTAGCATTGAAAGATATGATAAAGACAAGCAAAATTTACAGTAAAATGTGGATATACATGAATTAGAATAAACAAACTTATTTACATAACTTGAGCCGTAAGATTCATAATCCTCAATTAAAAATTAACAGACCGAGTGAAATCATATTCTATTGTTGGTATAACAGCCTGAAAACACAAAAATAAATCAGAAAGAAACTATACCAGCAAATACCTGAACAAATTTCAAGAAAAGCATCAAATATTCATGAACCCCAAGATCTCTTCCATTACTCGTATACTGGTCGATCAATCTTTTCATCATCTGAAGAAAAAATTTCTTTAATTTTTCTCCAATCAATTTCAAACCTCAGCGTGTTTACAAGGATGAATAGTCGCCATTTCACAATCTAAACTTTTATGAGCTTCGATGGTTATTGTTTTATTGGCGTGGTCCTAAAATGAGAAACCAATTTCAAAGTTTTAACTGCATCACTCACGGCAGAAAAATCTTCATATGTCTGTTCAATAGTCAAAGGTTTCCTATTTTCATCATAACCCACAAGATAAAGTCTCGGAACCTGGTAGTATTTGTCATAACATATGTGCAAATCATATGTTCTTGGCTTTTCAACTTCTGCTATCGGTTTCGATGTTTCGGCAACAAATCTGAAAAAAAACCACATTAGCAACAATGCACGAATGAAGTAATACCTGTTAGGATCGACTTGATCCAAACCCCCTGACTCAACAAAGTCATCCAAATCCATTGCAGGCTCATCGGCATCACCCGTTTCAGTATTAACCTAAAGGCTCGTCATGAAAGAATCACAAGCAGAAGACACTTGCATTGCTTCCAAGATCTATAGTTTCAGATTTGGTTGATTCACCGGCAAAATGATGAGTATCAACCCATCCACTATCCTCATCACCGGCAAAACCATCTTCAGCTCCAACTTCTTCGCTCGATAAAATCTAGACAGCTTATATGTACTATGAGCACATGACATTAATACCATCTCTTGATTTGAATCATATTCCATCTGCCTACACCTTTTCCTACAAGGAACGTTTCTGATTATGAGAAATTGTTTGTCTTCTGGCAGGAATGAACGAACCCTGCAAGTAATTATGAATAAGTTGATCAACATATGGCAACAGAACCTTGCAGGGTCACTAGCTTTCGCCCATTTCCAAGTGGAACAATGATGCACTAAATGATCACCTGCAGCCACAAACTCTTCGGGTGTTAACACACCAGTTTCCCGAAATTTACTTTCAGTTAATACTGGAGTGAAAGCTTCTCCAATTTGTAATGCTCCACTCTTGATTTTATTGAATAGATCTTCCATTTCTCTCCTTGAAACAAAATGATTCGATTTAGAAACAAGATCGAAGCGTGACGGTTCTATCAACGAATAAGGCAATATATCACAAAGAAATGAGAGGAATTAAGACACTAATTGGGCTTCCAAATCGAAGTATAAGTCCGAAAAACTGTTCGAATCAGCTGATTCCATAATATGACAGCGTTGTTGCATCCGTGCAGGACCATAGAATAAGGAGACCTTTAAATAAATGTCCATACCGAGACGAAGAAACGCTAATTAATTCAAATTTTGAAACACTTCATTGTTTTTATCAGATTATTGAGTCAGTTTAACATACTTCCTAAGTTTTCTTCAGTTCTTCACCAAGCATGACATCTCAAAGTAGACCCAAATTCGTTCAACTACATACCAGGTAATGAGCTAACACTTGAAAAAAATGGATGTTCTATGCAGCATGGGAAAAATCGCCATTGAACTGTATTGGGACCATGCTCCTAAAACATGCGCCAACTTCTCTGAATTAGCTCGTAGAGGATATTACAACAACACAATTTTCCATAGAATTATTGCTGATTTCATGATACAGGGGGGTGACCCCACGGGCACAGGTACGACTTGCCCAATAGTTTTCTCGTTATTAGCCCTCTTTAAGGACGTGGAGGAGCTTCTATTTATGGTGATAGGTTCGCAGACGAAATCGATGGTCGCCTGAAGCATACAGGAGCCGGTATAGTGTCTATGGCGAATGCTGGTATATTTTAAATAAAAATGGCTTTTCTTATTTGATCTTGCAGGACCAAATACGAATGGCTCTCAGTTTTTTATTACTTTAGCTCCTACTCAGCATTTAGATGGAAAGCATACAATATTCGGTAGAATTGCGGCTGGAATGACGGTTAGTTCTCCCTAACTGAAGCTTACCATATCATATCTTTAGGTGGTTCAAAACCTTGGAAAAGTTGACACAGACTCAAGTGATAGACCGAAAATGGAAATTAAAATACTGAAAGCAATGCCAACTGACGATTCTAGGATATCTTAAGTTAGTAATCTTTCTGATCTCAACTATGGTTGTTATCTTCCTTTGTTATAACTTATTGGTATTTGTAAATCTTTCGCATTGGTCTCTCTTGTCTTTTAAAAAAATCATTTTGATATCAATGAATCATTTAACGAACCTGTCTTTTACCTAATTCAACGGACAGAACTGTCCTTGGCCCGCCTTCTTAATATTCGCCGAATATTTTCTTCCCAACTCCCATAGGAATGCCTATATAATACGGGTGGGCTCCTAACTTTCGAAAAAAAAGATGAGGTGCTGGATTTATCTGATCGCTCTGGTAGGAGTGTGTTCCGCACAATGTAAGCTTATTTTGAAGTTTTTGAAAATTCGTTTTCTTTTATAGTTTTCAACTACTATAACCCATATGCATACTGCAGCAACCCTATCCGATTCCTCAATCCCCCACACTGCTTCAACCTGCCGAGTAAGTTTTTGTTATACCGGTTCTTATTTTGTTTATCCAATTTCAGATTACTACCGGCCGCCTTATGGTGGAGGAGGCAGCGGTTGGGGAAATGGTGGCGGAAGCCGTTGGGGAGGCGGTGGATGGGACCATCACGATCACGACCACGACCACCATGACCACGGTGGACGAGGAGGATCTGGTGGAGGCCGAGGAGGATTCGGCGGCGGAGGTCGCGGTGGTGGTGGCGGACGCGGCGGCGGTGGTGGCGGACGCGGCGGTGGCGGCGGTGGCGGACGCGGCGGTGGCAGAGGTGGAGGTCGCGGCGGCGGTGGCGGAGGCGGTGGCCGTGGCGGCGGTGGACGAGGCGGTGGCGGTGGTCGCGGAGGAAGAGGATAATAGTGTTCAAGAACTCAACTAAGAAACAGACGACGCCGAACTCACGGATTTTAACTGACTGATAGCTGTCTTGCATTCGATGAAATAAAACTATTTTTGAATCTTACTTGTTGCATGTTGTAAATTCTTTCTGTCTAGATAGTTTAAAGTGATTTCTATTGAAAACCTAACATATGATAAGAAGAAGGTGCGTATCAAGTGCAAGTCGTCATATGACTTCTATGGTCATAAGGTCGACTTTATAATGCTTAAGCGAAAATTAATATCAAGACAAGATAAAAACGTGGTAGCATTCTATCCGGTTGAAGAGGCAGAGCATTCAATGCTCAATCAATCAGCATTGTTTATCATGATTATCGCTGCGTACATCATTTGTGTTCGAACGCAGAATGTTTAACAGACTTCCTACTTGAAATAATCAGAAAATAACCGTCTCTATGTTCTTTGTGCCTTAATAAGTGACCTTTCTTTAGTATGTCAAATGTGTGGAGACAACCTTTGTCATGTCTTTTTTTTTCAGTTAAGAGGAATGGAAAAATGGAGAACTGCTTTACTTCATGTGACTAAATATGTGAAAGCTAATGATTTCAAAGACTTCTTCTCGACCAACCAACAGAAATCGAAAGCATACTTAGAAAAACTTAGGGAAAGTTTACAATCAAAGGTAATTTCCGGGAGATTCTTCCTTCTTCTGTCTTTTTCTTTGCCGTAGAACTGTCTGCTTATTTTTGCCTTATCAATTATGTTTCTCCTCCACTAAAAAAAACTTCAAAAAGAAGACTGAAAGGAAAGAATTTGATCAAAAAAATCAGTCAGGCAGTGAAAAATTGTTTGCAGCCTAAGAATGGCACGAGTAAAGAAATTTTGGAAACCAAGGATGATAACAAATTAACGACAACAAAAAATTTACTGTTGAAATTGAAAGAACAGGTTTTCTTCTTCAGTTAAACTTAAAAGTCTCTGTGTTAAGGGATCAGAGCGAGCCGGAGCTTTTCTCAAAAGTGATAATCTACAAGTTTTCAAGAGTAAAAAAAAAGATGTTGGTAATTTCCACATTCATATAATCATCTGCTGACTTTTTAGCTATCATTCAGGCGTATGAAGCGTCAGGCGATACTTACTCTGTTAGGAATGAGTATAGGATCTGGTCTGTTAGCTCTTAAAATCGAATTTTTTATCTTTCGCTTTATAGCTTTATATCGTTATGTTAAAGCTCCCTTTCGTTTCGTAAAAAATAGTTTGATACTTGCAATGCTGGGGACATGTAAGTTCGAAAACTTCTTTCTTGCACAAACTCTTGCTCTTCAGTTTTCCTGCAGGTTAAGTACTACAAAAATAATTTGAAATTCTTAAGAAAAACTTCGAAATCAAAGAAATCTGAGAATCTAGAGAAGACAACCAATTATCTCAAAGAAAGAGCTGAGGAAGTCAGAAAGCGTCTGAGAGAGATGAAGAAATAGTTGAGTTATATTGTTACTGTTGCATTCACCTCGTTCCGATCCCTTAACACATAACTGTCTAGCCCTCAAGACGGGTCATCTGTATATATAAGCGTACACTCACTTTTTTACGTACCCAAAATTCTTCATAATATTTATTTCATGTAAACTATTCATTATAAACGTTCATATCATATCTTTCTTTGAGCAAATATATCTGATAATGTGGGTTCATGCGGCAGAGCATTTCGCCGCGGATAAAATCTGTGATTGATGCCATACTTCATTAAGTTTGGTACCCGGCTTGTATAAATATCTGAGAGCCTATTCAATCTTCTTGAAAAGTATGTCATATTCGTATACGTTCTGAAGAGAGATCCAAACTGTGGATTAAACATATTCTTCACGTTCTCTCTGAAACTATTCGTTTTTACTACACACGTAAAATGCTCACCTTATTTTACATCGCTCTTTCATCCATTCTTGCAATATCTCTTTGCACAGCGGATCTTCTCTGGTAAAGCTTTGATATTTTTCTATCAGTTGCGTCAAACTCTCCAACCAAATGATTTCAAACCTGAGAAGTAATACAATCAAGTAGGAAAACATGGTAGTTTGAGCTAACCTATATTCATTACTGTTTTGAATGCGAATTTCTCTTGCTAGTTCCGGAACAATAGCAGCAGTGTGCCAGCCAAGTCTAAACGGGAAAAAAATTAAATTGTCCCCAAGCTCATTGGATACCTGAGCATGGGATCTGCCAGATCGGTGTAAATATGATCTCCAAAATAGAGAACACCTTTCCCTTCGAAGCCTGCCCTCTCTGATAACTCTTTGATATTTCCGTTCGAATAAATGTTCCCTGTTTCTAATGTCTTAACTTTTCCAAAATGTAAAGCGTTCGACTTAACATCGTATAACCTGAGAAACAAAAAGATTCTTCAAAAAACACTTCACTTACCTGAACGGTTCACTACGATAGAAAAATGTCGGCTTCTTAGCAGAAACTACTATATAATTGAAATATTTCCTCCAATCATTTCCAAGCATGTAAGTCATTCCCGTGTTTCTAAAACATTACATACAATCCTCCAGTATTATATTGATAATATCCCACATGAAGTTGAAGGGGCTGTTAGTGACGACGAATAGTTCTTTCTTGCTGCTACATAAGAAATCCAGATAGTCTTTCAAGCCAACATTAGGATGGACGAATGTTGTCAATTCTTTGCCTACATGTTCATACATTTGTCCCGAGATATGAACTTGCCTCACACATTCCTAAACGTTTCGTGAAACTATCATTTGTTTAAAAAGAGAAAGAAGTACGAACCGCTAAATCATCGTACAGACATTTTGGATCAAAGCTTATCTTATTATTATCGAAATATTCTATAACTGTAGACAACAGGCCAGCCCAAGGCAATGAGAATAAATCCATCAACTGTGGTAAATCTCTGCCTGAAACAAATACTTCACACATAGGAACAACACGCTAGAGAAAAACCCTTGACATCCGGCAATCCGAAACCTTTGTATATCTTCACGACATCATCATCCGTTAGCTTCTTAGTTCCTCGGAATACGGTCCCTCTCTGTATTTGCGAGAACGCATCCACTTTAAGAAAACAACAGTTCTGAATGTCGAAATGCAATCCTCGTATAGCAAAAGACATGTCGTACGGTATGCTCTTTATGCCTTCAGGGTACTTAAACAGGACGTTATACGGTCCTATTTACAGATTACCTTAAACTGAGTGATCAACCTCTCGGCTGCCAGGTTATAAATCAATGTGTTCAACTCCCGCTTATATACAGCCAAAGTGTAATCATAGTCAAAACCATAAACCTAAATAAGCAACAAAATTTTTGAGATAATCCTCTCTTGTTCACATCAATGTTCTGTAATGAGAGTTCGTTATTTACGAAAACTCCTCGGGCATTAATTTCTTGGGCATTTTCAATCTCTGAAGATCTCTGAAATATAATTTACCCTCGAATGACCCCTCAATAGACTTACTGCTTTAGCTTCCTCATACACTTTACATAGAAAACTGCTGTTAGATGATGAGTAGGATCTCCGGAACAATGTAAGCACGGCTCGGTTAAACACAAACATTCTCCTCCTGATTCTTTTGTAGTAAAGAAATCAACTTGCATTATATAGGAAAAATACTACGCTTAAGACAAGGTGATTGCAAAAAGGAAGCTTAAAATCAAATCTTTCATAGTATTTTCAAAAATCAACAATAATGAACAACGAAAACGATTAGAGTGGGTGAAGAATTATAACATTTCAAGGCTTAACATCAGCATCTTCTTGTTTTATATCAGATGATTCGACAGTCTCCATTTTGACTGGAGCATATTCTGCATGTGTTACTCGAGATTTCTTTGTGACATGAGGATAGTATCCTAATCCACCAGCAGCTTCAGACTCTTTGACAGTATAAGGAACTTCTTTCAACGTTTTTACCCTATTCTTGTGTGGCTGCAGATAAATGGATTATTTACTGGTAAAAAGAAAGAAGCAACTTTTGATTTTTTGTGAGCAGTTATGGTTTTCTCATCAGTAAAATGTCTCGCACATTCTATACAGTAAAATTGACCATCTCCGGGTAGGTCCAAGTCGATCTGAACAGGAGAAGTCATGTGATTTTCTAACAAACGATCGATAAACCTCTTGATTCATAAGTTTAGCGGCTTTTTCGGGTTTTAAATCTTCATGAATTTGATCAAGATCCTTACCAGGCCTCTTACGGACTTTATTAGAGATGGTATGTTTGCGAACACTGCTGCTTGGCATCTACGAGAAAGAAAAAAATGTCAAAAATACAAAATATGTTCAACATAAAGTGACATATAGGGAATTGTTTCGAACAACATTTGTAGCACTAACGATTGGGCTGCTCAATTTAAAACATTTATATACAAAAATAAATCACGAAAAAAGAGATCAATTCGCACCAACAGCTTCTTTTTCTTTACCGGCTTCATTCAATCTGTGAGCCGAGTGTGACAGAGATAAAGATGTCCCCAGGCCGAATAAATGTCCCTGAACAACGCTTGACACCTTAAGAAGTACAATTAGCACCAGTGCAAGATATGACCACTAACCTTTTCCCAGCTGTCGGAAAAGAACTGTTGCTTGATTTTAAAAAAGGTTTTTGCGGTCAAGAGAGCGTCCGATCCGGCCTGATGTCTTACACCGTGTCTTTTTACGTCTAATTGGTCGGCTACCTTACAAGGAAGAGATGAGAGATAATGATGAAAATTAAAAAGAAACCTCCTGTAGTCCACCTTTGAGTTTCGCATTAACACACCCAGGCATTTTTAATAAAAGCTTTATGTCATAACATCGTGGGAATAATGCCCTGTGGAAGTAGAAAAACTGATTTTCCTGAAAACATCAGTTTTATTCACATAAGTAGAAGTTAAGTTACTTCTTTCGGCAACTCTCCGAGAGTGATGGATTTCAACAGATATCCAAAATCGTATCCGGAGGAAAATGTTAGCCACGTAATTCTTTCATCAACAATTAATCCAGAAGTTGTTAGTAATTCTCCGAAATCATCCATGGTGATACCATCACTCTAAAAACAAATAATTATGCTATATAAGGAAGACAATAACTAACTTGAAGTTTATTAAAGTCGATACCAGCAGCCCGAAGCATATCAACACTTTCTTGAGAGTACATGTCATCATTAAGAGAGAAGTTGAAATTAAACTGCCATACATCTCCAGTAGAAGGAAGTTCCCCCTTTTCGTTGACTAAAGCAAATCCGACCTTGAATGAAACTACTATGAACCATATAACGGGACAAAAAATACTTGTATAAGCTTCAACATATTAACATTGCATGATACTTGTTGGTAGTTAAAATCTTCTTTACTTTTAAAAGTACCTAGTGGTGTGGCAACAACTCCAGGAAACTCTGTGTCCATAGCCACAAATGGATAGTCCTGAATATTAATAATAACACTTTCTTTTATTTATAAAAACGAAACCTCAATTAGAACTCTCATTTTTGCAAATTCCTCTTCCATGTTATGCTTCCAAACATCGTGAATTCGAACTTCAGGAGATCCCATTAGTGATTTTTCAGAAGCTTAATATCACCCTATCTAATAGAAGAGAATTATTAAGGTACGATTACAGTCAGGATATGATCAATGCGCTCGCGACTGGAGTCACTGCGTGCAAACGAGATTTATTGGTCTCGTGCCGATTGTTCAGTCGCACTGCAAATTTTTTGGCACATTGCCCAAATATAACCTGTCTAGGTTTAGTTGACATCTGCGCGTATCTCTAGGTCATATTGTAGTTGACCAGTACAGTTGTGCCTGCATCATCTGTAGAGTATAGTCTAATTCCTTCTTCCGCTCTCTTCTGTTCTTGTTTATATGCAAAGTAGTTCCGATCATTTCCAGTATTTACAGAGTTTAACATGATGCGGTATTTGGTCTTCTCAGCTCTCGTTGCTGTTGCTCTTGGTTAGTACTTTTACTGAACCTTTTCGGCTCTACTGTCTTAGTTGCCATCCCTATGCTAATTTTAGCCCCATTTTCATTTTAGTTAAGAATTGTACCGGTGTACTCGGTCGTATTTTGAGCTGATTTTTGAAGGATCAGGCTTCTTAGGCTCAAGCTTAAGCCTCTAGGGAGGGTTGCAACCAAGACAAAAGTGCCACGTTTTCAAACCTAAACTTGCCTTTTTCCCTCCTTCTATTTTTATTTATTTCTTCTTTAGCTGGAAAGTGCGAATCTCCAAAGCACTCTGCTTCTTTCTATTCCACAACTGATGGGTTCTTCCACTTCCACACCACCTTCATTACTGAGTTCACTCTTCAATGCAGCAATAACGCTAAGGTTTTAATTTTTTTTTTTTAATTTTTCAACCACTCATACTTGCAGAACCTTCCATTCTACGCTGTTGTCAATGATAAAATTTTAAATGTAGCTGTCTCTGAGGAAACCGCCAAATATCAAGTAGAACTTTAGAAACGTTGTCCGAGAGTGTACTATTGGTTTTGTAGGTCTCATGGTCTCAAGAAAACGAGAAGTCTGGATCTCAAACTTTCAACGTCCACATTTATGATGAAGATGGAATTGCTGCTTACAAGAAGGCATAAACGCATATTTTTCTAAGTTTACTTACATTTATATCATTTAGAACTCTGCTGTCCAACCACTCTTCACCATCCCACTCAACCATCCAGTAAGTTTTCTGATTTCCAAACATTTATTGATGAATTCTTTAAAGGGACTCAACCGCAAGTCTCCAATATCATCCGAGACTGTCGCTCTTCTCATCGCTGTAGGAGCTCTCTACTACGCCATCAAGCAAAAGTCCGAAATCGTGCATTAAAACAATTTGCGATTTTTTTGTTATTTATTGTAGATCACACCCCACGGGAAAATAAACACAGTTTTGAGGCCAATTTGAGTATTTCTGATGAAGATGAAGTATGCTAATTTGTATAAATAAGGAAATTCATGTTAGTAACAGTGTATTTTCGGAATCCTTCTTTGTGAAGCATGAGAAGTGTAATATTTTTGAAAGTTTTTGAACATTTATCATTTTTTTTCTCACATGCTTTGAATATGGTAGTTGACGACACGTCTGGATACTGGTATAGTGGACAAGCATAAAGATACTACACTCGTACACTCAACATAACCTTTGGATGATAAAGAAGGATTTAGCTGCGCAGCTATCCTTGAGCTCTGCTCCGACCCAACTGAACTCTGGATGAACAAGTGTTAAGGCTTCAGGTGTTCTTTAGAACAAGTGTGTGGAGTTACAATGTATTAGCTAAACTGCGCTCTGGTCACATGGCATAATAAAGATACTTGTACTCTCAGGGAGCTATCTGAATGAAACGGTTTCTATCAGATTCAGTCATCAAATTGAAAAATGAATGCAGAAGATGAAACCAATCCGTACCTCGAGTCAGAAGAGGACTTAGAGGGAGATAACGAAGAAATAACAAACAAAGATGCAAGCCCACCGAAGACAAATCATCAACTTCAGAAAGCAACTTTCAATTCACGCAACGCAAGACTATCACAATCAAGATGTACTCGTTTTTACAAATGTTTATCACTTAGTTGAGGAGCCAGTTACGCGCGAAATCATTCTAGGAGAACGAGTAAGATATGCTACAACTGTAGACAGCATTTTATTTATCCTTGCTTCATTTCCACTCACAAAACTTGCAGTCGTATATAATATCTTCACATTCTAGCGTCCTTGGCATAACATATCAAAAACTATTCTAATAAACCATCAAATTAACAATAAGTTTGATATAATACTGATTTTTTTTGATTTAGTACGCAATGCGCGTGAAGTTGATTTTGAATGACTACACGAAAATGTTCAATGAGTACTCAATGAGTACACGCGGTCGCGAATGTGTTAAGTTCTTCTTTCTTTTTATAAAGTTTGGGAAATTATTCAATTTTGAAAGGTAATTTATTGTTTTTAGTTATTATCATTACTACAAGTGTTGTTTTAATATTTATACTCTGAATGTGATAAATAAAGTGTTCATTTTAGAAAAAAAATTAATTATTGGTTTGTAACCTGTAATGTCTGAAATTGTTCCTAATATAAATTATGAGATGGCCTTTTATCTTAGATGATGTCCTTGAGTCGAAGTGCCATATGTGGGTTTAGATCAGTAAACAGGCTGGGTAGCTCATTGACAAAGGCACCAATATTATCATCAGCTTATCCTAACTTGGCATTTGATCATTATTCTCAATACCGATTGATAAACTCATCTGTGCCGCAACTATGTAATGATAAGCCCGACAATGACAAGGTTTTGATTACAACAAACTGAGAAAAGATCAATGTGGCTTTCAGAAATCCTTATGGCCCTTTCGGATGACCATGACCGATGAACAAAAAAAGCAAAAAGAACAGAAAATAAAAGAAATGAAGGAGGTTAGATATACATAGATGTTCTCATTACCACGCTTTCTCTTCCTAAGGAAGAAGCTCCGAAGACTCTATTCGCCAAAGTTAAATATTACTTCAAAAGATATTGGTATATAGCTGTACCTGCACATGCGGTATCTTGTACTGCGTGGTTCACAGCTTTTTATCTGGCAGTTCGAAGGTAAAGAATAATTTAAAATTAGTCCGAGATATTATATTCAGTGGAGTGGATGTCATTTCCCTATTGGAAACTCTCCATATCCCAACAGCTTTAATTGAAAAAATAAAAGATACACCTCCAAGTGCCGGCGCTGCAGTCATTGCATTCCTCCTCTACAAGGTAAGGCTAATGACTTGCGCGTAAGTAGTTCTCTCATGTAATATTTAGATCGCAATGCCTTTGCGTTATGCAACTACCTTAGTATTGATACAATCAACGTTTTGGACGCTCAGAAGGATGGGAAAACTTAAGACTGCCAGAGAAGTCGAATATAAGGTTTGTCGTATGCAGTTTGTTGCTGTTTAATTTTAACTTCAGGTTCGTACCGAGTACGAGTTGAGAAAGAAGTATGGTAGAAAGATGTACAGGTACAACAAATTCCTCCTTCTTCACAATAGCCTTTCTTTCAGATATCGTAATCTTGGAGTTCGAGATATCGAACGAAAACATTCATTACAAACTCAAGCCCGCAAAAACGGTTCCATTTCTCAGAACGAGCATTAGTTGATGATCATTCCCGCTAGAAAAATACAATAATAATAGATCCCTTAAATGGCGCGTATTAGGCGCTAGTGAACTCATATTGAGATGATTTCTGGTCAAGTTGGTTGTACTTCTTATTCTTTATCAACCAACCTTTTTGTTAAATTTGTTAGATTAGTAACTTGTTACCTCGTTCAGTGCTCAATCGTTTTTTCGTTTTGTACATAAATGGATCTGCCTTGTCTTTACCATAAAGGGAAACTTTAGTATTTCAAGCTTCATAATATCTTTCATTTTGTATTATTATGTATGAAATTATTTAATGAAAAACGATTATGTTTTTGAGACTTTTTATGGTTTCCCTCTTCAATTCTACAGCAAAACGAACAATGTCTACAATTCTTGGGAGAAAGTCCATGGTGTTTCTTCTCGTTTTCTTCGAACTTCTTAACTTCAAAACTTCAGATAGCCGTATGTCAAATGACTTCTGACAATAACTTGGAAGACAACTTCAAAACTTGTCGATCCATGATTTTGCGAGCGAAAGAACAAAACTGCAAAGTGGTGTTAGCTGTGCTTTCTCAGTACAAGTGATGTACTTTAGATGATTTTCTTTCCTGAATGTTTTGATTTCATCGGGAGAACAAAAGAGGAACAAATCAGCCTGTCGATGTCGGATGAATCTCCTTTCATACAGAAGTTTAGGTTTCGTGATTTGACCAGACACAACAAACACATTATGAGTTTCAGAAACGAAGCAATTGAAAACAACATTTGGCTCTCTTTGGGCGGCTTACACCACAAGGTTTTTGTCGAAAAGATCGTTTTTCATAATCTGAGTATTCCTCAAGGAGGACGAATCAATGCCTTGGAATACTCATTTGATCATCGATAACGAGGGAAAAACAAGGGTCAAATATCACAAATTACACCTTTTCGATTTGGAGATCCCTGGAAAAGTTTGCCCTTTTCTGTAAATAAATACTATAGTTCATGCTTAGGTGAAACTTCTTGAAAGTGAGTTCAGTAAAGCAGGTGTCAAGGTTGCTACTGTTGTTTATGTTTTTCCTCTCACACTTATTGTAGATGGTGCCTCCGGTGGAAACACCAATTGGGAATTTGGGGTTATCAATCTGTTACGATCTTCGCTTTGCCGAGTTGGGTATTTGGAATCGTAAGAAAGGTGCTCAAATACTTTCATACCCTTCTGCTTTCACGCTCAATACGGGTTTGGCTCATTGGGAAGTATGTTTTCGAATGTTTTCTGAGCAATTTTCACAATATTCTAGGCACTTTTAAGAGCTAGAGCTATTGAAACCCAATGTTATGTTGTGGCTGCCGCTCAAACAGGAAAACACAATGATAAAAGAATGTCTTACGGCCATGCTATGGTTGTAGATCCGTGGGGTGCTGTTGTTGCCCAATGCTCTGAACGAATTGGTAATACAATTATATTAAAGTCAAAAGTATAATTATTATTTGAGGAATGTGTTTTGCTGAAGTCGATTTGGAATACGTCGACGAATTACGCAAAATGCAGCCAGTGTTTGACCACAGAAGGAAAGACCTCTACACTCTTCATGTAAATGAGATAGACGAAGGTGTGTATGCACATCAAATTAACAAAATGAGGAAGTTTGTTCAAATGCAACCGTTCAGTGAGGTGAAAACTATTAAATGAATGCGCGATAGTACTTATGCATGTCACGTTAGAGAATTTTCTTAGAAATTAGAATTCCACGTGAGAATACCACGTATGATTCTACGAATCAGAAATTCTGTTTTATATGAAATTACACTTCACGTCTCACGTGATTTGGATATTAATTGCTCTTCATGTATTCGTGTTTATATATATATATATTTTTTTTTTACAGAAAGTTCAACTTTGATGTTTTCAACTTTCCCTATAGCCCCAGAGTGCATTTTCTTCAGATCTGCCCACAGCTTCGCATTTGTAAATTTGAAACCGATAGTTGAAGGACGTAATGAATCATATACAATGTATTCTAATATTCATACCTTTTTCAGATATTTTGGTTTCTCCTAAAAAGGCCCACAAGAACCTGACTGATCTGAGTGATGAAGAGACAGCAGATCTTTATATAACAGCGAAAAAAGTTCAAAAAATGCTTCAAAAGGTTGTGCAGCTATCGGGTTGAAAACATATGGATTGAGTTTTAGGTGTATGGGAATGATTCAACCACTGTTTGCGTTCAAGACGGTACTGAAGCTGGACAAACAGTACAGGTTTGAAAATATTTCTAATATATGAATCAAGCTTCCTTCTCTTAAGCACGTGCATGTTCATGTTGTCCCTCGCCGCAAAGGAGACTTTGAACCTTCACAGAATGATTTTTATGAGAAACTGCTAAGTCATGACAAGTATGTTTAGTTCCTTATTTTGTAATCAAATTTCCTATTGTGTTTTTGTTTTTTTTTACTTGCTTTGTTTAAAAGAAGAAGAAGACCATGTTTAGGGAACCGGAAAGAGCTGCGCGCAGTTTGGAGGAAATGAGTGTGGAAGCCAATACATTCCGTCTCAAAATGAAAGAAGTTTTGTAAATGTTAATTTATTAGAAATGAGATTACAGGCGAGTTTATGATAAACATTAGTTTCATTTTATCTCACTTTTTCTGTCAAAGTTCATGTAGTTGCTCAAACGCAACAGCTTCATCTCCAAAATATGAGAAAACTATTTTTGAATGTAAGTTTTATACTAAAGAGAGAGGGTAAAAGAACACTGGCAGGGTGGAAGGAGGTTGAAGATATCTGCAACTCTCACGCTAATGTGTAGAATATGTGAAGCTTTGCTGATATCACGACCCCCTTTTTTAAATTTAGATTAGAATTCACAGAATTGAAAATTCATTCCAGCATATATCATAGGTTGTTTCTTATTTTCAGTGCTTTCTCTTTTTCTCGTATGAAATAAATATATATTACGAGTTTAAACTTCTATTACTTCTATAATCCCGGACCCCATTGGAGTTGTGTCATATTCTTACTTTGGACAAAAACGAATCCTGCTTCGAAGACGTTTTTTTCTGGCACTTTGCTGAAAGTTCAAGACTGGGTTTACTTTTATTTCGTTTCAAAGACTACAATTCGATGAGGAACTAACTATATTCGAGGATATCCCTTAACTTGTTCGTTATGAAAGGAACGATAGTTCTAGAGATTATTGAAGAGATTTAGAGAGTGAATGATGGAGAGAAGTTTGAGAGAATGAAAATGAGAGATCTGAGAGAGAAAGAGAGAGAGAGTGATCAAGTGATTGCCCAGATTTTCAAATGACATCCTCATGTTGAGTAAAATGCAGTAGAAGAAAGGGAAATGTGATATAGTATGCTGTCGTATTTCACAAATTGGCTGAGAATGAGTTAAAGCAGAACTTCTTTAAGAAAATTGAAGAACTGGCGATTAAGGGCAAAGGAAGTCCTGTGTGCGTCGGGCATGGCACCTCATCTAAAATCTCTCCATAAGTCATTACATTATGCTCTCCGTCTTCTTTCTCTCTCATACTCTCTCTCAATCTCTCTATCATTTTCTCATTACGTTTTCAGATAGGATATTCTGTTCTTTTATGTTCCAAATACGGCAATTCTTTTGTTCGGATATTATCTGATTTACGAGAATGCTTATTTGAGAAAAAGAGAGCCTATTTCGTCAATACAAATGATCTACTTGATTTTGGCCAACAAGAAACTTACTTGCTTGCATCATTTGAGCCTTCAACATAAAGTTCATAAAACTTTTTTTTTCTCCCAAAATGGTCTCAAATTGCTTGAACTTGTTCAAAAATATGAAATTTCGATGTTTTCGGAAACAAAATAAAATAATTTCATCCAATTATCTCTACAACACTCAAAAAAGGAATGGAGAAATAGAACACAATGATGTTGTTCATACTCGAAACCATCACTTCAATCGAACTTGTAGTTTGAGCGATAATTTTGAAAAAAAAACCTTTTTATCCGAAAAAAGGAGTAGATGAGTTGTTTTTGACTTATTTTGAAGGAAGTGATTCATTTCATTGAAATTAGATGATTATGATGGATGTGTGTGTTATACTTGATGAGACAACTGACTAGCACGTAAAGCTCAGAGCGTGATCTTCATGAATGAGCCTCGAATGAAAATATATTTTTGCATAAGTTCCCATTTTTTTTGTCTTCTTCCACATACATCCTCTTTGAGCTTTTCTTTATCAGCGATAGGCTTTGTAGAGATTGGAAAGCTGAGTGGATGCGTATGAGAGAGATAGCACACGCTCTTCCAATTTACAATTCATATTTGATAGAAAATAATTTAATTAAAATGCAACCGCTTAGTGTGTTCTCAATTTTTGAAAATGAAGAAGATGACGGCGGAAGGGAATTGTCACGTGATCTTCCCGGCCACCTCAGTCTAATTAGAACTTAAACTTTGATATGCTAATGTACTTTTGAATAAAATTAATTTAATTCTCGGTTATCCTCTCATTAATTATAATATTTATATCTTTAACATTCTGCTTGAAAGATTATTTCTTTATTTAATTGTTTCAAGGTTGAATAAGTTATTAATTGGAGTAGACAAGAGTTCATTCATACGGTATAAACGATTTTTTCTGTCCTTACTTCGCTCCTTTCCCTCTTCCCATTCTTCCTCTCTCTCTCTCTCCCTCTCTCTCTCTCTCTGTGCATACCTCGCTTTCATAGTTTCACTCCCTCTCTTTGAGTTTTATTTGGATGAAATTATATAAAAAATATATTTCATCTTACTATATGTGGATTATAAAATATTATATGTTTGGATGTTTTGTTCCTCTCTTTCTCTCACCCTCTCACTTCTCTACTCTCGAAATTATTTAATGTTTTTCACATAATTTTGACTTATTCCAATTTTGGAAATCCAATTCATTGTCATTTCTCCGAGCTTTTCTTATCTGTGCTCGCCATATCCGATCATCGAAATGCTGAATATTTTTCGGTTAAAAGAGAAAGAATGATTGTGAGAGAGAAGGCGAGAAAAAGAAACAGAGAGGTAGAGAGAGAAAGAGAGTAAAAGCCTAGAAATATTCTCTTGGAAGTGTGGGAGAGAGAGAAAGAGAGAGAGAGGCAAAATGGGAGAATAGTTAAGAAGGAAAAGGAGGGAAAGTGAGAGAGAGAGATAAGAGACTACATCTGCATATACAAATGGATATGCATAATGTACAATCTATAAGCTTTTACTTCTGTTCCGATATCATAACAAAGCTTTTTTTCCCTAAGAATCTTCCCATCGTTTTGCATCGGAGAAAAGGAAAAAAACTTTTTTTTTTTAACTCATTTCCTCTCCATTCTTATCATATCCTCATCATTGCGAATCATTCTGTAAGCTGAAAACAACCAATTTACGAAACTTCAAAACATTATTAAAGCTTTCACTTCAAATATAGTTTTGGAGGGAAAGTTGTCATTAAAAGCAAAATTGACTTATATAATTGCCATAAGAAATAGTATTTTTATGCTAATTATAATTTTTCTTTTGTTGTTTTATCATGTGCCCGCCCTTCAATCTGCTCTTCCCCTTTCGTCATTTGCTTCTTGCCTCTGTATCCCTCCCTCTCTCTCTCTCTCTCTCTCTCTCCCTCTTTCTCTCTCGCTCTCCTATTTTCTCTTCATACCTTTTTGGCTCTTTTTTTAATATAATAAAATTAATACATGTCGTTCTAAAGCCAAGCTTTATCAGAAGATAAGATAATCGACGTCGCCATTGGTAACGAGTCTCATATCTCACTCTTTCACGACCTGCTTGGTTGGCTTTTGCCAGAAACAGCATTTAAGTCAATTGCTATCAGCTTTAAGTACTCGATAACCTTTCATTGCATTGCCCTTTCATTTAATGTCATCATGTATTTTACATAATTTTTAAAAATCAGTTGAGTTTGATGATGTATAAGCTATCAGTGAGGTAGTTGATCGTTTGAAGTTGAAGTCCCTCACCAAACGACTTCCTCTATTTCCTTTTGATCAGTCAAGAAACGTTCATCTTTTTTTTCTGTTTCCGTTGAAATTCCAATTAAAGTTGTCTTCCTTTTATGGAAATTAGCTGATTATCAGATGAACTTTCGCTTTCTGCATCTGCTTTAACGAAACTTTTCAAATTGTTTTGTTGGCATTTTCAGTGATTGTTTTTCTTAGCAAAAAATTTGATATGTTTTTCTAAACTTTTCTTTTATTCATCTTCTTTTTTTTCTTTTGTGATTGCTGGAGGTGGACAAAAGCATTTCGGACAGACAGATGGATTGAGTCGTCAGTGGTTAGGATATCAAGTTACGATAAGAAAAGCCATAGAAATAGAGAAAACGACAGACAGATAGAGAGAGAATCAGTTGGAGAGTTATAAGAGAGAGAGAAAGAGAAAGAGAGAGAGAGTAAGATGTCGGCAGAAAGGAAAAGCTGGATTTTTGAAGATTTTATGACACTTTCTTCAGCTTTTTTTTTGTTAGTAGTTTGGAATTTTGAATTAGAGAACATAGGTTTAGCTTGTGTTTTGTCAACTGCGGGCTACAAGTCTGGTTGAGTTTTCAAAGTTTTTTTTTGCTTCTTTCACCAGAGAGAATAAAAAAAATCTTTTTTTCGCTTTGGGAATTCAATTGATTTTTTAATCAATTTTTGATGTTTTTGCTCCTTTTTCTGCTCCAAATTTAGTCATTTTGACTAATTGACGTTTTTCGTTCAGTTTTTATATCATTTAAATGAATTAAGTTGATTAAAGCATCTTGGACAGCAGTCGAGTTCAGATATCATTCTGAATTACATTAAGAGACGAAGAAAGCATGATAATGGGCTTATCTCTCTCATGACCACCTTCTCATTGTTATTGAACGATGTATAGAAGACGCATAGCGCATTTGACTAATTCATTTGTAGAAGATAAAAAAAATGTAACCAAAAATTGAGAAAAGACCATTACAATCAATCATTTTCGTTCGAATTCCGCTGAGACCGTGCCGATGAGCGCTTTTACCCGATGCTGAAAAAAAAGTTTTATTTTCTCCTTTACTCTGTCTCTCTCAATCCTTTTATGAATAGACTTTGGAGAACTCTAGACGAAGATGAAGTTCGAAGTTTAAATTATCTTCAAAGAACGTTTTTAATAACTTTTCTTTTTTGTGTAATTGAAGAGAAACTCAGACAATGAGGTTGACAAGCTATGAAAGGGGCGTGGTCTTGAGGGCTAAAATGGGCGGAGTTTGGGAAGCTAAGCTTTGGCGCGGCGTAGGGAGGACCGGTTCAGTCACCCCCTCCTCGCAAGCCTTCAACACACGCAAGACCCTCGTGGTTGATGATTTGGATGAAAGAAGAGAAAGAGAAGAGAGTGAGAAAGATAGATAGAGAGAGAATATTGTTTTGATTGCATATTTGTGCTGATTTTGTAATATATTTTTTTTTGAGATCTGTTGCTGTTTTAAATTAAAATATATTTCGTTTTCGCTATTGTGTGTGTGCGTGTGTGTCGATGTCATTTGCCGTATGTCCTTGTATGGCAGGAATTAGCGATGTGTACGATCTAAGACGATGAGGAATTAATGTAATGATGTTCTTGGGATTTATATTGTTTTTGTCTATTCATTTTGGCTTCTGAAATAAGAGAGAAAAACAAGAGATTCAGTGACGAGGTACGAACGTTCAGAATCCACTCGTTGTCATCGTTGTCATCATCGTCGTTCTCTTTTACGTCGTCTTCTCTTCTACATTGTCGTGTAAAATTACATTTGGTTGTCTTTTCTCTCAAATTCTCTTTTCCATATTCTCATCATCATTATTATTATTATTATTTATTATTATTATTTAGAATAACAACAGTAGCTTCGAAAAAAAACGGATTGTGTGTCCATCTGATTCTTTCACAGCTTACTTCCAATTGTCATATTAGATTATTCTACTAACTATATTTGTGTCTTTTAACTATGCGCCGCCTGTTATGCTTCTCCTCATCTTTTTCATCTTCATTCGTCTACAACACGATTTTTCTATTCTGTCTAAACATGGTTGTTAGACCGGTAGAATCAATTGTGTGTCAAGCGCCGGCACCGGTAGGAGGTCAGTTTCATATTTTATTTTATTTTTCCTAAAAAATTATTCGTTTTATATTTCATTTTTAATTATATTCTGCTTTAAATTAACTTCCACAGACACATAACCATATATTGACTTCTGCATAACTTTGTCAAAAAGTGAAAAGAGAGAGAGAGAGAGAGAGAGAGAGAGAAATGCCGTTGTGTCATCAGACTCCTTCTTCTCATTGTTCGTCTGAATTGTGGTCGTCAAACCGGCCAATATCTCTTTCTCTCTCTCTTTTTACATGCTCTCACATGTTCGCATTATCTCTAGTTGTTTCCCCCCTCTCTCTATCCTCTTGAGTAGAAGTGAAAAAGAAAACTTTTTTTATTTTCTCTCTCTTTTTCTTTTTCTGCTATTGATTATCAAAGCATTTACCTGTAGAGGGCTACCTTTGGTCTTCTCTCAACATTCTCATGTAGACCGACCCTTCGTTCAACCTCGTTCAATCGCCGTCTGTTTTTAATCAAAAATTGACAGAAACAGGCGGAAGAACTGACAATTTTATTGAATTTCTTGTTGAGAACAGGGCAATAAATAGCGGTAAAGAAGGTCAATTAATTTTAAAAAATTAAAAGAAAAAAGAAAAGAAAAACGTTCGGAAAGAGAGAGAGAGAGAGAGGGTGAGAGAGCATAAGAGAGAGAGGGAGATACCCCAATCATCATTTTATTTGTTGAAAAACGAAAAGAAAAAAAAAGAAACGGGGCACAGAGGAGATGAAAGTTGAGGAGCAGCTGAGCTTATCGTCTAAATGATTTTCATTTCTTTTTGTCATCACAACTGTTCACATTTGGCAAATGTTTTGTTCTTTTCAATTAAGACAAAATTTTCTTCTAAGAACCTCCTCTGATAATTATTCGTGAGAAGAGCACATTAAGCCAACATTTTTATAATGAGAACAGCGTTGGCGTGGAAAGCTTCAAAAAAAAATTTTTTTCTGCCTCCTTCATGGCTTCCTCCCTCTCTTCCTCCCTCTCTCTCATACTTCTTCTTTTTCTCTTTTTTGCTACTTTTTTCTTTCCCGTCAGCACACAAAAAATAACATATTAAAGTTTTTTTTGGCGCCGCACAAGAAATTTTCTTTTCACAGGGACCTCCGTGAATTAAAAATGAATGAAAAAGGCATGTTTAATCGGGCTATTCGACGCCGGTCAATGTTATGACCTTATTTGGCCTTCTTGAAGAATTTAAGTGAGGACGTTAAGCTCAAAGACTGAATACATCAGTCGTCTGCTTCTTCTTCTTCTTCTTCTTCTTTTTCTGTTTCATCGTTATTTCGAGCTTTAGCTTGAACGTTTCTTCCTTCTCTCTCCCTTTTCAACTTACAAGAGTAGATTGAGAGAGAGAGGGAGAGGGGTGAAAGTAGAAAGTGAAAAAGATTAAAGGAAAAGCTAGAAAGGGAGATGTCTGCTTTCTTCACTTATCAGACCATTTTTATAAGCTTAAAATAGCTTTACAACTCTCAATAACTTAAAAAGATGTCGGCAATGACAAAGGCCAACAAAAAATGTGAAGAGAAAACACATTTTTACAGCAGAATAGGTAGAAAATACTTTTATTTGAAGAAAATAAAATTAGGAGCAAAAGGTGAAGAAGAGAAGATAGTTTTGTGTGAAAAAAGAAGAGGGAAAGGAACTCTGATTGGCTTCAGAGAAACAAGAAACAGAGAGAGAGACAGACAGAGAGAAAGAGAGAAGCTTTCAAATGATACGACGTAAAGCTGCTAGAAAATGCACATACAATAAAGTTTAAAAAAACATTGAAAAAACAGTGTGAATGAGGTGAAAGAGAAAAAAACCATTTTAAATATGTCTGAAGCCCTGTTCTTCTGAATTTCAAATTTGGCAATGTTGTGCGTGAAGACGTGCGAACATATGGACGAGATGTTGCCGTTGGCACTTTCGTTTAAGCCATTCAATCGCCTACTTCCCTTCATCTACCCCTCTCTCAATCTTTTTCTCTCTTCTCTCTCTCTATCTGCTTGTAAAATACCCTCCATCTTCTTTCTCTTTTTCAACTTGTGAGCAAAGCTGTATTTTCTCGTTTTGCATGTTTTCCAATATAAATATGTTCAAATAAACTTTCTCTGGCATATTCCCCTCTCTGTCTGTGTGTCTCTCTTTCTATCTTAAAGATAATAATGTAAAAAAGATTGAGATAGAGAAAGAGAGAGAGCAAAGTATTCAAGCATCCGCATCAGCTGCTATTTCCATTTATGTCATTGGAAGACAAGCTTCTCTTCCATTTTATTCTCTTCACTTATGAATAATCTTAGTGTGTCCTTTTCTCTTTTTTTGCTGTTAAAGCTCACAAAATTCTGAATCACCTATCTCTCTCTCTCTCTCTCTCTCTATCTATCTCTCTCTATCTCCCTCTCTCTGCCAAAATGGCTTCTGTTTTCTCAGAGTAAACAGAGAACTCAACAAGCTGACGAAGGCAGAAAATGAAATTTAGATGAATCACATCATCAAAAATGATCTTTTGAACCAACACATTATCAAATCAAAAAAGAAATTTGAATTTTATGATTTTCCATTTCATCTTCCCATCCATTCATCTCATTCATCCTCTTCCTTCAATCTCTCTCAACCCCGCTTTCTCCCTCTCTGTCTAGCATTCTCTTATTCTCACATTCATTTCATGTGAATTCCTTATTAGCCTTTTAATAATCTTAAAAGTATCGAAGATAGAGAAGTTTCTCGGAAGGAATGTCCTTAAACGATTCTATGCCACATCTCATCATTCTTCTTTTCTTTGAGTTTTTTTATGTTTTTGGAACATTTTTGGCCATTTAATTTCATTATAAATGAAGGCAATGGCCATCATTATTCAAGACGACGCCGTTCTCAGCTTGCTTCCTTTACATCTCCAACTCAGCTTCTTCTTTTTCTTTTTTTGTCGATTTTCTTTTCTTTTTTTATCATATTTCCGACCAACATCTTCTACCACGCGATCTGAGAAGCTGAAAAACTAAAGCATGCAGCTGGAACAGATAGGAAATATTATGCAAATGAGAGAGAAAAGCAAAAAGCTGGCAGAACAGAATACTCTCATATTCACGCTTTACCCGTGTTTTTGTGGAAAAAGAAAGAAAAAGAAAAAAGAATGGAAAAGCAGCATAGTAGAACTGTTACGGCCTGTAATGCTGCTTTGCCTTCATACTTCGACAGCTTTGAACGACTTTAGACATCTTCTTTTCCTGTGTTTCACATGTTTTGCTCATTTCTTTTCTTCTCTCATTCCGAGATACATGTACACATATCCTCTCTTTCTCTCTATCTCTCCCCCTCTCTCTCTTTCTATCCCACCTCCCTACCCCTGCCTTCACCAACTAAACAATCATTAGAAGACAAAGTTAGAATATGAGCTGGAAAGCAAAAGTAAAAAAGAGAAAAGGAAAAGAATCAAACATAAAAAAGCACTTAGATCCAAAGACAATCTTTTTTCAAGCTTAACAATGAAGCTTAATTAGAATGAATGCAAAATGACAAAAAAAGAGAAACTTAATGAGAGTCCTCATTAAATCGGCGAAGAATTTCTATATATATAAATGATGTTTCAGGTATTATGAGAAATAAAACGTGTCCAGACTTCAAAGCTGATCCAACGTTCACATATTGTTGTACATCCAAGCTTCCAATCACTAACATAGTTTATAAAGGTAATGAACCCATTTGAATATGACGGAACGTGGAAATGACGTGAAACATTCCGTCCAAACAGCAAATCATTCCGAGCATTAGCAGAACGGTTGTACGGATGTGTTGTCAGATTTAACGTTCCTGTGCATTGACATTCCTTACTTGCTCCTTCATCATAAGCATATTGAATATAGCTCTTACAGATCGTCACGGGGTATTCTGTTGCTCAGAACAAGATTTCTTACAGGAACAACAAGAAATAGCAGATGCTGAACTTCGACGTTTCATCAAAAAGTACGTTTTAACTTTACTTTTATTTTGTTTTCCTGCAATTTGAATCGAAACATCGTTGCGGGTTATTCATTCGTACAATATGTTATGGGAATCAAACAGTCAATTGTTCATCTTCTTCTCAAATATCCTTTTTGAAAATCGCTTACTAATACCAGTTATGATACACAGTTATCATGTTATTCAAAACTGTTCTCCCCGTATCCCAGTGGAGTTAGTTACGTGAAACTGCTTGAGGTCATTTGGGATAGTTCTGTGTATGTTGCACCTCCTCATTCGATTATTGAATGTTCGATTTGCATTTCGATTTACTGTGTAAGCTTATTTCTTTTATATTTTTTGTCTTTCTTTCTTTCACATAACTGTTTTTCCTTTGCATTTCTTCCATTTTCTTATGAAAGACGGAACTCATATTCTCTTTCTCACATTTTGAATTCAATTAAGATTTCAAAAATTGAGAGAAGAATAAGAGAAAAAAAAAAAGATTTTTTCTGATTTTGGAAAAAAAAAACAAAAAAACTTTGTTCTCTGCTCAATACGAATGATAGCGTTTGGTAGCAATGGCTTACAAAGTGAAAAAAAGATTTTGTGTTTCTATCCATGACTGAAATGCTTCATCGTCAGTTTGCACACATTTATCTTTTGATGTCTGAAGTCTCTGCTATTCGGACATTTCTCTCATTTTGTTCCCTCTTCCTCACTTCGTTTTTTTTTCTTCTGTTCAAACATTTTTGGGGCCAAATAAGCATTGTCGCTTTTTCCATATATATATTTTTTTCCATTTTTGGTTGTACAAAAGAGTTGTTGTCTTGCAATATGGCAGTAGCTGCAAGAGAAGCATTATCTTACATTCGTTACGGCCAATGAAGCTGGAACATTCTAATCATCTAATTGATTTTAATGTTTCAACCAACTTCCCATATCTTTCTTTCCACTCATAGGTCCTTCTGTTTGATTGGAAGACGAAGAATTAGGAAAAGGAAGAAGAGAAACACTAGTAAGGAAGCAATGAGTTGTTTCTTCTCTGTAAGGATTAGTGACTGGAGCTTATCAAACATGTCCAGAATGTAAAGTACTCAGAGAATTAGAAAAAGACAAACCCGACAAGTACACGAATGACAGCTGCTCTACAAATCCATCTCGGCACAAAAACTATTTTTTTTATATTTTCTTTCAAACAAAAATATATTGAAACGTTCGAAATAGGGAATGAGGTAAATGAAAGCAACTCAATTGCATCAACTCCTTCCTCCTTCTCTCTACAACAGGAGTTCTTTTGCAAAAAGGCTGATGATCAAGCATAAGCTTATTGAAGATGCATACTTGAATTGGCTGGCTTGTCGGCCAACAAAATTGGTGATAGTTTGTTTTCTTTTTTTTTCTTTCATGAAAGCTTTTCCATTTTGGCAATCTTATTTCTCAAAAAAATTTAAACTCCCTTCTTCCTATCACCCTCTCTCTCACTCTCTCTTTCACTCTCTCCTTCTTCCCTCCTCTGTTTTTCCTTTTTGACTATCTCTCTCTCTCTCTCTAATTTTTTTTCTAAGAGTTCTACCAAGTGTATGTGTGGGCTGTGCTGCTTTCTCTTTTCTCTTTCTTACTCCATATGTGTATATGTATGTTCTCCAGCGACATAATGATCCACAGAAAGCAGTAGAGCACAAGAGAGACTTGTCGTAGCAGCAGCTGATTCTGTGGAGAAGCTGTGAAGGGACTTTCCTGAATTTGTTGAGCCAGAGGAGAAAAAATAAAGCAAATTTACATCTTTGCTCACACACAGAAGGATATTGCCTTTAATTGAATAAGAGAAGGAGGCAAGAGCAAGAAGTTGAGAATAAAAAAAGCGGAAGATAACATTTCGATTGACCTTCTGAATGCCATAGTAGCAAACACAGCTTGAATGTGTATCGTGATAACGGATTCTATGTACAAGGAAGATGTGTCAATTCATTTATTTTGTGATAATGTGAATGAAAACTGAAAATGTCATGGAATGATGAGAAGAAAAAGCCGGAAAAAACGTCGTCATGAATTTCCTGTTATTCTGACACGAAAATACTTTGGCAACAAACAAATTACTTCTATTTCACCGTTGAATACATTGAGAGGGAGAGAGAGAGAGAGGGAGAGAGAGACATAGAGAGACTTAGAGAGAGAGCAACAGTATGTAAGGTGATGAAGAAAATACATTTTTTTCTTATATTTTTCTATATTTATTTATATAATATGTATATAATATATATAAAGCTCTTATATGGCTAAAGTTGTTTCGGCTGATTGAGCATTGTTGAGCTGAAATGAAGCGTTTTTCAACATATACACACAGGCGAAACACAAAAAGTTTAAGAAGAAAAAATATTTTTTTCTTCATCTCTTCACTCGTCTCTCTGTAAAGCAATTGGCTGACACAGAAAGAGAAAGAGAGAGAGATTATGTTGAAATTCATCAAACGCATAGCTCATTTTGACGAATTTACTTTATGAGGGCTGAGATTATTGAGCTATGAATGGCCCTGTTTGAGTTGCAAACTTGGAGAAGTTTTTCACTTCATTGAACAGATTGTTGAACAGAACGATGTAGAAAGCAGAGATTAGATGAGAAGCAGATGAACATTCAAAAGATGAAGAAAATATGACTTTTTGTCTTCTCTTTGTTATTTTTATCATTTCTATTTATAATTGAAGGTAATTCTGAATGAGAGAATCAAGCTAATGCTCTAGCTGATGCTCAATGAATCAGAACTTTCATGTCCTCAGTTAGCCTATCAATCCCTCTCAGCTTCATCAAATTCATCCTTTCAATCGCACATTACTTCATTTGTTTCCATAAAACTTCATTGAACTACCAATAAATGCTAAATTCAATCGTGAGAAGATGTAGCCGACGGATGGAAAAGTCGAATCCGACGACTACATCTTCTCTCATGGGAATTTTCTGAGGTTTCGTTAACGTTTTGATCGACCAACTTGGCAGTTGAAATGTTAAATTAAATTTTAAACGTATTTTGGATGAATCTAAAGATGATTCTGAGGAAATTTGTGACCTGCTTGACTAATTTACTCAAAGAAGAGGAAGAGAGGAAGAGAAAGAAGAACAGAAGGCATTTCGTAGCTTCTCGATCTCTCTCTCTCTTACTCTGTCAAGCTGTTGAAAGAAACCCAAATAGACTATATATGGAAAGTATAATGTAAAAGTCATTGAGTAATTGAATTGAGGCTGTTTGCCCTTTTTGCCTTGGAGATGAGGAGACTTGTGACTTTCTTACTGAAGATGAGGAGCATTGGAGTCTTTCATTTGGTTTTAACGAAGACCAAAAATTTTAAAACTCATTTTTCCGTATATGGACAGCCAATTTCTTTTTTCCATTCACGGCTCATCTCTTTTACAAATTTCTTTTGACATTTTCATCTCATTTCAAACATCTTAAAGTATTCAAACGAAGAATAAGAGGAAGAAACTAATGTCCATTTTTGGGTTCACGTGGACTAATGTTATAAAAGGAGCATTTCATATGCATGAAGCTGAACTCATGTGGTCGAAATGTCAACCGGTTTTCTAACTTAAATCGCCCCATTTTCTTCCACAAAAGGGTAGAATCCAGATGAGGGAATTATCCTTTACTTGTTCATTCACCAAATTCACAAATGTTTTCTCGATGTTCCTTTTCTAGCAAAAAGAAAACAACAAAAAGAGTCGTTAATGATTTTCGCATTATCCCACGTGCTCATTACTTGCTGGCCCCATTACTCTCCTTCCACAGATGGCAACAAACTATGAGAAGAAAAAATGGAAAAAAACAAAAGCAAAGAGATTTTCTTGAGACGAAGCACCTCATATGAGCAACAGATAGCATTTTCAAGCATTTTTATCAAAGCCACAGCATTTTGTACAGAAGAACGCTTGTAACCAGTGTAGTCTGTGAAAGACTTCTTCACAAGTGTATCCGGTCGTGTCAGTTTCCATTTGAAGCTTCATTATGTGAATCATGCTGATGATCATTATGTTGTTTATTTGGCCAAAAATAAAAGGAATAAAAAGGGAAAAAATAATCATTTTTTTGGATGTTGAAGACACGAAAAGTAAATAAAAATATTTATTAAAGTAAAACTATCATTGGAATCACTCTTGCACGGCTGGCATAATAGCCTCTGGGGTGTATGTGTGTGTGTGTGTGTGTGTGTGTATGCATATCTCACCGTATACGATACTAATAGAGACAAACTATTACTATTTGACATACTTTTTATAGAATACTAAAGTCAGCTATCTTTTGCAAACGACTTAGTAATATCATATTCAATGAAATAACTTTAATAACTCATTTTTCTCCATAATTTCTTGTTGGCATGGCTGCCTTATTTTCCATGATCTTGAAAATTCATTGAAAAAAGAAAAAAAAAGGCAATTTGTTCATCGTTCTATAGCCTGGAACGATAATGACATGATCACCTTCATGTGTAGCTTTTTTTTAGTTTCTTCTACAAGTTATATTCAATTAGAAAATGTGTTTGTTTGGCAGTCACCATTCAATCTCCAACCACTGTGGCTCACTTGCTTTACTACATCTCTTTCTTCATCGTATTCCCTCTCTCTCTTTGTCTCTGTTTGGGGTTCTTACAAGCACAAATCCAATACGGCTAGAAAAATATTCTCTTATAGAAATCTTATTTAATTGCCTGCATTACAATTGCCGAAGTAAAGGATTCTGATCTGATCGTTCATCACCCAAAATTCATTCATCAATGAAATTCATTACTCTCCGGCACACTTTTCTTTCAGCTTTTTCCTCTCATCCTCTCTCCCTCTCTTCTTGTCCTTATCTCTTTCTGTATGAAAAATTATCTTTGGTTCATCAACAGCCTCAACAGGCGCTTATTTGATGAGCTCAAGTTGCAGAAGGTTGCAACTAATTCTCTTTGAAGAAAGATCGTAGAGGGAATGTTTTTGGAGAGAAAATTCATGCGAAACTCTCGAAAGGTCATTAACGCCTTTGACAAAGATCCATTTCTATTAAGCTTCTCATAACTTTCATTTCCGTTGTACTCACAAAACGTTAATGAGCTTGTGCTTTTGACATTTGAGGCTTCTTCTGCTTCATGTTCTTCTATGCAGACTTTCTTAGCAAATTAACTCAAAAGCATGCCAAGGGAGCGTCTTCCAAATCTAACTAATCAAAGCGAATGCGGACAAATTTGAGGTTCAAGTTGAATAGAAAGTGGGTCTGCTTTTGACACGAAAAGCTTTCATTTTTTCAATTTTGGAAATTGTGTTAGCCTCAAGGAACTTATCGGCAAGTGCTCGATTTCCAGAAGCTATTAATTTGCTCGTTTCCACTCATGTAAACTTGACTAACGAGAATGAAAGTTTGTCTTTCAATCACTTCAGAGTTCTCATTCTTCTCTTTCTCTCTCTCTCTCTCACTTCATATCTCCTTTACAAACTTTTTTTAGTGGTAACTCGTAAGCAAAGCAATAAAGCCTTTTTGGCTTTATTTAATTAGATGAAGCTGAGAGCAATGAGTAACTGACTCTCCCAGCGGGAAACACTTTGAGTGTCATCTGAAGATCTCGGGGTACGATAGGCTTCACACTGGAATATGCTTTAATCACTTAAAGTGAAGGAGTTTCTCTGAAAATAAACTTTGATGTATTTGGGAGTTTACTGAAAGCAAAAAGAAGTTTTCCGAACATTCTGTAGTGAAACATAGCTCTAAGCTCAAAAACCTTTCATCACATCCAAGGGCATTCCCAGAAAACGAACGACAAGCAAATACCATTCGGCACACAGTTATCAGCTATCCATGTTTTTCTATCGAACATTGAAAACAAATTGAACATCTGAACCAAATGTTCCGCAACACAACCGTTCCCCGTGAGACATTCATATACAAATTGAAACTCACGCTGTTTTCCACGTGGAATATCTTGGGAAAAGCTTTGCACGTGTGATTGCACGTGAGTTCGGTTGAGAAAACACAACTCGGATGGAAATAACAACGTAGAGCAGCGATAGATTGGAATCTATCAAATAGAGGCCTTATTAAGAATAATTTTGACAAAAACTAAAAAACTAAGATTTCTATAGTTATCGCCTGAATGATTCTTTTGTGATTTTACAAAAGACTGACTTATCCTCCGTCAATATGATGTCGTTGGTAATAATATCGTCGTCATAGACCGGAAGACTTTGAACAAAAGATTTCAATTTTTGTTTTTTTTCTTAATAATAAGCTCTGAAGGGATAGTGTATATCTTCAAAGCTTCTGACGCCATGAGGCTCCTTTGAAAGCTGGAGATTCCATGATCTGATTCTGAGCGAAAAAGATGATTTCATGTTTCCGGATTGGAAATATTTTTTTTAAAGACATAAGCCAATTTCGATGATTTGTTTGAAATACTTGGAAGGATTAAGAGGCCGACGTTGCATATGATTTTCTTCATCGGTTTGGTCGAAGGCAATATTGCTGTCAATCAAACATCGAAGGGACAGCTTAAGACTCACAAATTTGGTTTTAAAAGAGAGAATGAGACAAAAAATAGTATTAATAGAGAGAGGGGGAGATGAGCATTGTTTGAGATAAATATTTAATAAAAATAATAATTTGAATAGTAAATGACTTTAATTATGCTAATTTGTCTTTTCAGTTATATGGTTTTAATAATTCTCTCAACGCTCATTGGCATATGTATTGTGGTCATCATAGCTTCTGTTGTATGCAAAAAGTTCCGAAAATGTCCCTTATATAGAGATCCAACAGGTATTAAATTTGAATATTCTTTTATTATTAATAAAGGCATTCATCTATATGCTTTTATATTTATTTATTCTTGTTTTTTCAGTTCTTTCACACACACTACCAACGACGTCTATGTACCGACCCGTTGATACAATCCCTCCTAAGATTTATGAAGGTTCGTTATAAGGTTTTTTGAATATTTAATAGAAATTCATGTAGTTTCCTGGGTGAAAAAAGTCATTTCTGACATAAACATGAGAAGTTTATGATTTTTTTCCTCATTTTCGACATCGTATGTTCATATTTGGACATGATGTGATTGTTTCCCAAAACATTTCCTGTATGACTGAAGGGCACAAGAGGGAAAGAATGAAAAAGACTGAGAGAGAGAAGGATTGAAGGGAAGAGTGAAGAAATCTCTCTCTCTCTCTATGAAAGCTTAAGAGGGAGACGAACGATTGATGTAAAGCTGGGTGTTTATGTGAGGATTAAAAGTAATTTTACCAAAGTTTTAATATAAAAGAGAAATACAAATGAGTATAAGCAAGCTCATATTCTCTCTCTTTTTCTCTCTCTCTCTAGCTGCCTCTCTCTTTGTACCTCTCATACAGCCTCTGTCTCTTTCTAACTTCCCTCTATTGAAGTAAAAAAGGCTATAAAGCTATGAAATAGAGATTTAATGGTTGTAGTTTAGTTACAACAATTACAATTAACTTCCATTTTTGGAAAATAAGTGACTACTAGCCAATAACTATTAAAAACTTTCCGAATGAAATACTTTATGAAAGAGAGAGAAAAATGAGTTTTTTCGTCTTTCAACAGAGTCAAATGAGCATTTTGTCGAGAAATATTATCTTTTCTAAAGAGGGTGTTCAAACTTAGGCTTATCACCAATTGTACGGAATACGGAGTACGTAGCTTTTCCTCTCCGTATTCCTTTGAATTCCCAATTTTATTGATGTTTTTTAATATTTAAAGAAAATGTCCTGACGAATTAATGTTTTCAACTTAAAAAGTCTTTAACCGCTTAATATTGCCAGAAGCTATTGCCGAACGAATTACAAAGTTCAATTGAAGGATAAAGTAGAAGAGAGAGAGAGAGAGAACCAGAGGTGAAAAGCTAGAGAGAAACAGAGGGAAAAGGCCCTTGGCAAAAAGGGTCAATAGATAAGACAAGTAAAGAACTTAAAGTTACAATTACTGAGGAAAAAGGGGGAACATAACCTTCTATTCAAAGAATACATTTGATTCTGTTTTCAGCCCCACCACCATATGAATGCTTTGTTCCACCGCCGGATCAGCTTCGAACGGATTGGAATACTTTTTTGGACCATGGCAATCATCATTCAGCTCCTCCGATGAATTGAAGCAAGGAGAAGCTTAGATAATCCTTCTGCGACGCAAAGAAGAAAGAAGAGACATCCATATTTTTTTAACAATATTATTCATTTGATGCTTATGACGTTTGTTATAATTTTTCTTAAAAAGAAAACTCTCAAGGCACACACGTACGGGTTTGACAACGATATTTGTTGTTTTACGGTAGTTTGTATCATGTTCAGAACTTGGCAGTGATATCTCATATGGAAAGCTTTCTTTGTACGTTTCTGAAATACCTGCTAGATGAATTTTCAATTTTCTTTCTGTGTGAGAATAGAATACAAACTTTATCCCAAGTAATGTACATAACAGTCAATAATTCGGCTCTTGTTCCTTTTCCCAACATTCTTGTAGACGTCACCTTCTGGCTTTCTGTTTCCCTCACTCTCCTCTTACTTCTTCAAATGCCTTATTGCTGTGATATCTCTATGAGCGAAAAGAATAAATGTTTTATTTCAAATGTTCCTTCCATCCGAAAATAAGAAAAACTATTATTATGAACATTATGTTAAGGACATTTGGTTTAATATACAGAGTACGCAGAATACAGCTGGCTCTCATGAAGCATATAACGAAAATATTGTTTTAGAACATCATTTTCTCATAAAATCATGATGTTTGAGTTCAAAACTCGATAGTTTTCTGACCTTGTAAGGACTTTCAATAGTTTAGAAGGGAGCCCACGAGCTCGTTTACAAATTTCCTCTGAGTTTACATGAATTAAGGAAGAAGTGAACTTTCAGCGTCTCTTCTTCGGAATCATCTCTGACTTCATGGTTCCAATAGTTCTCCATGTACGGACTCGAAACAATAAATTACAAAATTCTAAATTTAAACTATTAAATCAACGGGCAAAGAATCAAAGAAAGTTTTGCCGTCAGGGCACTTTCCTTAGGGACCATATTGAAATATATTTCATGAAAAAGTGCCAAGAAAATCTGATGGATGAGATGTCAGACAATGAATTTCGAACAATCCCAATAGATAAAACCCTTTTGAAGACAAAAGTACAAAACGAATGAATGGAGGGGCTTTCTGCTTGAAGTTTTAATTAAAAGTCACGGACAAAAATTTGCATAGAAAAGCCGAGTTTCCACGCAAAAAATTCAAATAACGTGATTACGTGATGGGATAAATGACGCAGATCGATGAACGAGGCGGTTGCCAAAGCTGTGTTTTCTATTTTAATATTCTTCTGCTTTTTTTTATAACATTTACAACTACTTCCTAACATTTCCATCATACCATTTGCGTCAAAACAGAACAATTCTTTTCAATAGTGTTGTTTGATCCATCACATCTGAAGTGAGAGCATCCCACTATAAATTGTCAGCTCATTCGAATTTTGTATGATTTCTTCGCACACAAATTCAATTACGCTAATTATCGAACGAGCTCTTCAACATTATTGGAACCGGGACGCGAGTCTGGTCGCAGTGTCGACGGTTTAATTTGTTACTAATAATCCGCAACAATGCACATCTTAGATTTAATTCTAATTGACTTTCTTATGATTTTAACACTTATTTAAATAGTTATGAAGTTTCGATTTGAACAAAAATATCTTTTAGAAGTTTCTCACTCGTGAAATTTTTTTATTCACTGATTCTTGTTGCTATATCGAGCTATACTCATTTGGCGTCTAAATATAGAAACGCGTTGCTTGCAAGAATTTTATGCAAATTGATATTCTTAATTAGGCATGCTCCGCTTGACTGTTTTACCAAAACTCGCACGCGGCTACGCTTCAGCTGCTCCAAAATTCTCAACCGGAATTGAACATGCTGAAACGATGAAGAAAGCAGGAGGTTTGTGATAATACTTGATTGTTAAAAATGTTAAATTATTGTGTTCAGGAGGAAAGCCTGATTGGGCCCTTTACAAGTGTGACGATTATCTTAAGATGAACAAATATTCTTATTATGACTCTGAAGTAAGTTGTTTGAACGTCGTGCCTTTGAACGAATCCCTTTCACAGATTACCATGGCTAAGGATCGTGTCCCACAGCCCACAAATAAGAAGCCCGATGTTCTGCCCAAGACCAATGTTTAGAAATGTGATCGGCTAGGGTTTATATAGTCTATAGAAATTAAATTTTTTTTCTTTTCTTGTTTCCTATCATGTGTGAGGTTATATCCTCAAACTTATCTTTCGTTTGTTGCTAAGGCAACGCGCTTTCTTTGATTTATCAAGTATTTCGTTTCCACGGGAACGGTCTTTGTCTTTAAAAGCTGTTTGTAATCCACTTTTTCAGTATTCTACAATGAGCTTGGAGGAGGAATCGAGTATCCGTCAGTTATTTTCCGCTAATGACGAAACTATCATAAGCGTTTTTAAAAGCTTTGTGTCCAAGCATAGCGACGAAAAGGATTTCAGTCATTTGGATTATTTTGCTCGAAAAGTTTGTTATTTCCCCAATCCACTGATAAATGTTATTTATAGGCTTTGTCTGATCTCATCCAGTTTCTCTATGAAACTAGAAGAGGAAACGCTGTTGTTGCTGCTGAAATTCTGAATGCTCTTCGGCTGATTGCGAGGGACAAAAATCATCTCGAAGTTATATTCTCGCATGATGGTGTTGGAGATTTTGTAGTTTTTTGGACATTCGATCATCCTTTACCCAGTCCTCTACCCAACGAAATACCCGGTAAGACAGCTTTTGAGTCGCTCAAACAGTATTCGTTTTCTAGTTGGTTTGATTGAAGCCTTGTCTTGTTTGGTGAATGCAAGTTTTCACAGTCAGACTATGCTGCAATTACTGAGGTACTGTTTGATAAGTTTCAATGTCCTCTTGATTATGCAGTTTTTAGTGCTTATCCTCAAGAAAGAATTTTCAAAAGGTTCAATGAATTGGCAACTGCAGTTGAAACGAAAGCAGTTTACCGTAAACCTCTGATTATGATGATCAGAATTTTGTTTTTGATAACTGCTCAATCTCAATCTATACGGAAAACATGGTGTACGCAAGAGTTCCATTCGGGCTCTGTCGAACATGTCCTTCAATATTTCAAGAAGACAAAGCTGCAGAAATTTGATAAGGTTTTCTATTCTCGTTCACTGAATATTCTGAATGATTCGATTGTAGGAAGATGGAGATCTCTTCGTAGAATATTCGAAGTTCCTTTTTAATCTGATAAGCAAAACGCCGACGACGAAAGAAGTATAACAGATTATAACCTTAAAAGCTAATCTCGTGGTTTCAGAAAGAAGCTGAGTTAATCGACACCTTCCGCACAATCGTTTGCTCTGCAGCCGGAAACGATCACGAAGTCGTACAGCAAATGTGCAATTTGTGTACCGTCCTTGGGGTGTTTGAGAACAATTTAACGATTCCACAAGAGGAGTCATCGTTAATTAAGAAAGAAGTGTTTGGTGGCTTCGAAATGACACCGATTAAGAGAGCTATTCAATTGCTTGAACAACAAATTGATTCGGTTTGTTCGATGTTCGTCTTCAATCATGAACTTGACTCTTGTTTCAGTCTGATTTCGATCAAGCTGGAGTTGTCATAACTTTCCTGCTCCTCTACTGTGTCGCTTCAGCTAACATTAGGCGATATGCTCGTTTACAGGTAGTAGAACCCCTTAAGTATGTGACGAACAACAACTTATTCAGATACTTCCACCTCTACGAGAAATTGATGTCACACGAAGACCCGAAGAAGGTGAAACGATGAGAAATAAATTAGTTCGATTGATGATGAACGTTCACAACATTAATCAACTCGCTAGCGAATTAATGTTTGTGTTGTGTAAACGATCAGGTATTTACCCTTGACAGTTTGTTCGAAGTTTTCTTTCAACATCTTCAGTGCCTCGAATGATTAAATACACAGGCTTCGGGCATTCTGCTGGGCTTCTGGCCAATTCGGGACTTTTGGGACTTATTAATAGCAAACAGAGTGATGAGAATAGCGAAGATTCAGAAACAGAAGACTATGCTGCTGTTGAAGACAAGTAGAAGAAGCTGTAATGAATTTTCAAAACTGATTGTTTTTCAGAATCAATCCCGTAACTGGACACATAAAGGAAGACATCCCACTTGTGTTTGATGACATGACTGAAGAACAGAAAGAATACGAGTCTATGAAACTTGTGGAAGCTATGAACAAGCTGATGGATGCAGGTAATTTGATTATCTGGACGAATTATTTCGAGTTTCTCATGTTTGCAGGAGTCATCAAACCAGGGACTGTTGGTGACGATGGTAAAGTTCGAGCAGTAAATCATATACTCGAATTGACTAAGAATATAAAATTAGACAACTCAGGAACAGACTCAGATTCCGATTGATACTCTTTCTCTCAACTAAAATATCATTGAAAACTGGTAGAAATGGATCTGGACAAGGCTTTTATCATTAACTCGTATGGACGATAAGATAGTACTTGTCATTTGTATAATATAACTCTTGTAAATGCAATATTTATTTTGTCATTTAAAATGATGCCTTGCTTTATTTTGCTTCATCTAGTCTTCATTTTTTATTTTATGATTTCATAAGTTCGTAATAAAATCTTAATGAAATTATTTTATTTTTTATCAATATCACAGTTGATGGTGAAGACAGCAGCATTGGTTTTAAGTATACAGAAATCGTACCCTTGAAGGGGAAAACAAATTAGAAATACAAGAGATACTCAATGTGAAATGATGTTCCATGAACATCAATGTTCCTGGCATTTCAACATTAAGCAAATGAGCAAATAGTTTTATATATATTTCTTTTTCAATGATATATATATATATATAAAACTTCAAAATTATATTGACGTGGTGACGAGTCAGGATATCAGACAGAAAACCAGGATTATGCTTTAACAGAATAAATATTATTGGATAAGATTGTCTGTCTGTGTTCATTTGAGCTTCTGATTCATACCATCATCAGCTTATGAATGTTTAATATATACAGGCTGGGTTTTTTGACTTGGGATAAGCCGAATAACACCAAAAAGAGACCCGAATGTGCTTAGTAGCGATTGGTATAGGGAGGTGAATGCATTGCATCTTTCTTGGATGAAGCACTTCGTATTACCGGAACGCCAGCCAACATCCTCATCTGAACAGTAACAGATTACTGTTATTGATTAGCTCGTGCTATTATACCTGATTATGTTGTAACTCGTGCTCACTCTGCGATCTTCTCACCTTGGCTTTTTTACGCATTACGGTATGGAAAATAGGAGACTAAAAAACGTCATAGATGGTATATGTTCCGTATAATCAACAAACTTGATCATCGCTGAATGTTGAAGCGTTAGATGGTGTCGCTTGACGACCATTTAAACTGCCCCCAGCGCTTCGGTGGCTAGAATCGGTACTGCTTGCTGGACTTACGGCACGCTGAGAGTATACATCTTCATCTGGAAAAGGCTTGATAAGAAATAAAATTTGCTTTTTTGTGTTTTTTTTTCAAATCTTTGAACTATTCTTCGACGACGCGAAACATCAAATGGTTTTCTGGTTATATTTCTACGATAGTTGGAATGCCACGGCGCCACGTGGGAAATCACATTACCCAATGATGGATCGCATCGGTTAAGGACAGTATTGCGTAAAAATAGAAGCTTTAAAACTACCTTTTTCGAAGAGATTCAAAGCATTAATATTAGACATATTCTCAGGCTTGTATTCGACAACAACAGGCTCATAGCTGAGAAGAATATAGATTTTGGGTCCAAATAAGAATCCCAATAGTACGGTAGCACAGGATAGAAGTTGGCATATGACTGTCAGCTGTTTATATTCGAAAGGAGCAATAAAGTAGCTGACAATCCACACACTCCAGATAATAATACAAATAATAGATGAGACGAAGAGCCATTTGGTCTCCTTATAGTTCCTCTTAATGTTTCGATTTTGACTATTGAGGAATAAAGCTAAGAATAACAGAATAACGACATAGATATTCGATAAAACGAATTCTTCGTCACTCAAACTGCATTGCATTCGTTGATGATCACCGAGCCCGGCAATGGTTGACATGAATGGTTCGGCCATCCATCTGAAGAGATTATTTATAAAATAGTTCAGTGTGAGCATATGAGGTGCAATAGAAATGTAGCCATGTAAGAAAGATTACTTACCTTGTGCTCAAAGCGATTTGAACTCCAATGATGAAGAAGAGAAGAAGCCAATAATTCCAAAAACTGATATGAACAGTAGTTCCAAATCCTAATGTTTCTGCGTTTCTCAACTGAGTGGCTTTGGCTATCATAACACCAAAACAGATGGTGTACCCGATTCCATGAAGGATTACACGGAATCGACAAACCTTCAAATAATGATATTATGAGTTTGAATAATTAAATATTATACCGTATCAGTTGGATCAAAAATGAAGAAGTAAGCTGTTACATACAGTAATAGAATACCAACAAGTAGAGATATTCCAAGAGATTGATTTCCTTTCACAACCCGCAGATATAATTTGATTAAAACTTGAATGAGCAATTTGTTATAATTAAGAAGATCTATTTTCCGAATTACCTAAGACTAATACAGCTACAGTAACTATTGTCATGGCTGTGACAACTGCCAACATAATGAAATTATGAGGATAGTTACGCCATTCTCCAGATGATAAATGTTCGAAAACCTTCAATATTATGGGGTAAGGTGATATCTATGAGTGCCAAAACGTACAGTAGCATAGGCAACTGATGATTCAGTTCCAAAAGCGGGTTGTTTACGAACATATGATCCACTACCTATTCGTTCGTATGGCTCTTCAGATGACACAAAATTGTCCAATGGGCGCTAAACATCACATCAAATAATATAAGCTAATAGTTGTTGTTATCATACTTGAAGGAAATCTCCATCTAAGAAGCACTTGCACATAGGAGGATGACAATGAGATACTGGAGTTGGCTGTCCACTGGGGAATGCTTGATAAACCGCGCGCATTCGAAGTCCGGATGTTAATGACCAATTTCCAAATGGTACATAATCGAACTCTCCTTCAATATTGAATAGTTGTTGATTGTCTATTGAGAAACAAGATACCTGGCTTGCTAAGTGGCAAATATTCATAGATTTCAATATCATCCTCGACGGCTGTTTTCATCAGAAGTTCCAATGTTTGGCGACGTCCATTCTCAAAGAAATCCAAGCAGACTCCTTGTTGAAGAGGACAAAGCTTCTTGTAGACAGAATCCATGGCGAAAAGGAATCTCTCGATTCCTCGAGCCAAGTATCCAGATTTAGTCATACGACCTGCAAAGAATGCAGAGTACAAAATATTTGCGCTCAGTTCCCAAACCTAGACGTCCTACATCCAGCACTTCGTCTCCTGTACACATGCGACCGTAAACTACTTTACTTTTTTGGGTTAAAGCACATTGCCATTTTTCTTCGATGAAGTCCCAGAACCACATCTCTGGGAGAGTGAGAGGAGTGGTAGTTTCAATCCATTCACGGAAATCTCCATATAAGATATCCTGAATGATATACCATGTACAGGATTTAAGCCCCTCATAAGCACTCACCTTTGGCTGCACTGATAAAGTTCCTAAGAAAGCCTCTCGGTTAGTGTCTTCATGAAGATACCAGTCGTGAGCATCTCCCATCATAATATGAACAGATCTATGAGATGACCGCAATGTGAGGGATAAGTAAGCAGCAGCATCACGTGCGGTAGCAAAAACCTTTAAAATTAAAAAGTATTTAGTGTATATAACTCAGAATTCTTACCACAGTTACGTTGGTGTTTGTTGAGATCGGTAAGTTATCAACTCTTGTTCCTCCGATGTTCACAACTTCAGCTAAGCAGACTCCACGATCTAGAGCTAATCGTTCGAAATGGCGGAAAGCTGCCAAAGACTCGGGATCCTGTAAAATACAGAGATGAGATTTTTCGTATTGTTAGATGAAGCTACGTAATCAAATTGATTGAAATAACTAACCTGCTCAGATAAAGCCACTGTTACGAATTGCCATTGCATCCTATTAAGAAGTCTCAAGAGAGCTATGGCCTGACTTCTTCCAGATGGTGTTGAAGTAAAGATTCGACGATCATCTGAAGGCTCGGCAGTAACCGAAACGAATGGAACTTGAGTTTCAGTTGATGAGAAAAAGCCAAGTAATGCTTGTTCGGATTCACCCCTTAGACCAGAAATGTATCCTGAAAGGTGATATAATAACGCAACGGAAAAGAAAAAAAGTAAGTACCTGATATGGATCCAGGAACGATTGTGATGTTTCGCCCTGCTTGATTGAATCGGAAACATTGTGATTCCGCTCGTACAACTGATTCAATGGATTTTCTTCCAGAAGCACATGAATCCACAAGTAGAGCACCGAAGTCCAAGTTTTTTAATAAAGAGAGTTGTGGAAAACGCTGCTTGAAAGTCCAAACAGTGTGAATGAATGCCATGGGAAGAGAGATATCAGTATTGACCATGCTGTTACAAGTATTTCCCGAATGTAAATCGAACAATCCAAATAAGTACAATGGATAATGCTTTGGAATCGACAGATAGTGTCTCTGTAACTAATTAATAACAAGAATAAAATCATAGTAGATACTCACGTTACTGTTAACAGTTTGCACCGTTGGGCACTGTCCACAGAATGGTCGATATGGACTACAGATGGATCGCAGTCTAGAATAGGAAAGTTGATGAAGCGAATTTCAGGAAAACAATTATTATTTGAGATCAACCGCTTTTAATGAAATTAACTTGAAAATGGTTTTCTTTTGCGCCCAGCTTTCACGTCACGTATTAAATTAGAATATCTGACTATTTTTACCTTTGGTCAGCTGGACGAATGCTGGAAACTACAACAGTTGGTTGGGATCCAGTAGTATACGTTAAGAGCTGATAGACATTCGACTTTCCATCAGGTCCAATGAAGACTTCAATAGCATCCACGGTCATACCATGAGCCAACAGAACTTGTTCACGTCCTTCAAAAGAAAAATTTAGCTTTAACTTCATCATCGATACCAACCTCGATAAAAACGAAGACGTTCACCAGCCAACTCAGGTGGATCGTTGATTCCGAACTCGTAATCAAGTTTTATGAGCTCATTCATGATTAGAGTTGTGCACTCCGGTGAGGGATGAGAACTTAAATTCAAGAGGTGACATGGTTTCCAAACTGTATTTTACCAGATGCGCTCCTTGATTGCGTCACCTCCGATAGCTTTACCGACAGCAGCGAAAGCATAAGTCATTAGGATGACCGATTCAGTCGTTCTTGATTGAATGTACTTCTTTGTCATTTTCTCTTTATCCATGTTGCATGTATCATCAGTACAGTTGTAGACCTTAATAAGGAAGTTATAACGATAAACATTGTTTGAGATAAAATGAATGGATATAAGAATGCTCACTTGTTGCACGAACGAAGTAAGCAGTTGATAACTTTGGAAGTTATTTTTCAAAACTCTGATGAAGTAGTCTCGGAACTGTGGTAATTCTTTGGTTCGAGGTTGAAGAGAGATGAGCTTAAATGAAAAGAACGTTTAGTTACTCTTTTCGACAAGATATGAACCTCTAATTTTGATTTTGGATTCAGTACTGTTTGTTGTTCGGCAGCATCAAGAGCTTCCCCTTCAAGTGGTACGGAAACCCAAAGTTTCTCCAAATCATAAACAACTTTTCGTCGGATGACATTAAATAGCTGAATGATATCATATGATTAAGCTTGAAGAAGCACTGAACAAACCTGTTCTTTGGTTAGGATTGAAACAACAATATCGCTATCAGAATCTTCTAAAGCTTGTGGTAAATGAGGATGATCCATTGGAATCACTTCAGCCACAAAGATATCGCTAGATCTCAACTGAGAAACAATTCTGAGAAAACAAACATATGATTAATACAGTTAGGAGTCTAGCGTTTCAAACCTTTTGACAACTTCTGAATTTGATCCGTCATCTACTACAGTTACCAAGTTTGATCTTAAAGCTCCCATAAGTCTAATGAGGGCTTCTACATAAACGCCGATGGTCGGAGTTGTGGCAACTAAGTTTTGAGCTTCAAGCTCGACCAAAGCATTGACGGATTCACTAGAATAAGCCATTACTGGTACTTCAGAAACAGTCAGCAGTGTTCCTAGACTGAGTGAAGATGTATAGTCTTTTGGAGCAATGATTCCTGGAGAATAAACATGTTATGACACAGAAATGATTGTAGATGATTTACCTAAGAGCTTTGCTCCTGGTAGCTCAGATCGGCATTCCTTTGGTTCATGGTATCCAACAGAATCAAGGAATCGGAGAGATTGAGATAAAGATTCGCGGGATCTTGAGCAAGTATCGCCAGCATAAAGTCCTGAAGGTAAACCGGCATGAAACGATTTGAAGGAAGATAAAGCTCACCAAGTTTTGCGTTGAAGTTTGATGGATTTTGATTCCAATGAGTTAAAGCCCATTGGATGGCAACGATTTCTTGGACAGTATCAGGACGTAGACGTTCACAATCATCTTCGTGTAATGGGAAGGAACCTCCAATTTGGAACTGAAAAGGGTTCAGATTAGCATAAGGTAGAGGTGAAGCTCGAATAAAAAATGAGAACGCAGGAAAGAAAATGACTAACCTTGTTATTATCCGGTAAAACCCTGAACGGATCGAAGACAGAGCAAAGTGATGATGAATTTGTGGTGTTGTGAACGGCTTGTATTGATAATATAAGACAACCCAATATGGGCAGGAGAAGCTTAAACCTCCTCATGACGACATTGAACTAAAAATTAAACAAATTGTTCAAAAATTCAAGCAAAACATTCGAAAAAAAGATGAAAGCGCCAATAAAATGGGTCAAAAGACGAACTAACGTAGACAATTTGGACATCGACGAGTCGATTCTGATCGAACGATAACGGTTTTGAACGAAGGGAAAATTTTTTTTTTTCAAAACTTCTGAATCTGTGAACAGCGATGACGAAGACTTGGATGATTATACGAATGATAAGATAATTGATTAACTATACAAAATATAATAATAACAACAATAATAGTGAAGAGAGAAAGTGATTGATGGACTCAGAAGCTGGATTTGATGAGATGGAAATGGGATGGAAAAACCTTTTTATTATACTAACTCGGCTACTCACAGTATGCTTAGAGATTACTTACTCCCTTACGCAGCTTACAGTACCACATACAAGAATTTCTACTCTATTTTTGCCCAGAAGGTTTGATGATGTTGACTATGAACTGTAACCTCCAGAGTATTACTAGAATCATGCTTTTTCTTTGAAACTACTAAGTTGACACAAAAGGTTTGGAAAGTGAAACTGTTACGGACAAGCAGAAAATTCTTTGGAAGTGGACGGTAATTGATAAGTGTAAACATCAATAGGAACAGAGATATATTAAAAGTGTGTGTATGCATGTGAGAGAGAGGGACAAAGATAGAGAAAGAGAGAGAAGTACGATAGTCTTCAGAGAGGATGATGAACTCTCTCACAAGTTGTCAAACTTGTCTTCTTTTTCCTTATCTGCTTGTATATTCTGGCATGTTCAAAGGCAAAATCTCAGGGACACCCAACAAGAGATGGACAGAGAGAGAAGAAGCAAGCGCAAGAGAGAGAGAAAGAAAAAATGATACAGAGAGAGTGAGAGATAGAGAGAGAGACAAAAAAGTCATTAAGAGGAGAAAAATTAGAAGAGAAAGAGGGAGAACTGTGTCTTTTACTTCATTCATTTTGATCATCATGTTATCATCATGAAAACTGAAATTCGAACTGGAAGAAAGCTTGATTGCTAATCATCAGATGATTTTATTTAATTGAGCTTTGAAATCATAATGGAAGACGTCTCATCATACAACATGTCAAATTCATTTTTTGCCGCTATTGTTTGAAATATTTTTTTGATTTCTAATTCGAAGTGTCATTTGAATAAAGGGGGACGGGTCCAATGAAGGGATAATGGGAAAGGTACAGAAATGGGGAGAGAGAGAGAGAAAGAGATGTCTCTCTCTCTCTCTCTTGCTTCGAGAGTATCATCTTAAAAATATTTTTTTTGAAGACTTCCCAATTTGTTGATGGAGAATAAGTCTATTACTACAGCAAATGGGAAAAGCAGCAAAACTGAGAGAGAAAAAATGAGTAAAGTAGGAAACGGTTGGAGAACAAGCTGTCGTAGCTTTTGACTGGTCGTCCATCTTTTTTTTTTGAGATATAGCATTTAAGCCGGTATTAGGGACTAGTTGAATGACTTCAAATAAGGAAAAGGCGTAGTAATTGAGGAAGAAAAATTAACTCAGTTGTTGTTCATTGAAATTTACAAATTTTCTTGAATCATTTTGCATTTGTTAAGTGATAAGAGAGAATTGAAAAAAGACAAAAAAAGATTTCAATGATTGCAGACGAAAATTAAAAGAGAGAAATAAGAGATATTTATTGAAAAAGGAAATCATTTTCATCGAAAATCACTAATTCAATCAGACAGTTAGTTCTTCCATTTTTTGTCTTTCAAAAACATTTTAAAAGAAACGATTTATGTGACAAAATTAATATTTTTTTCTTTTTTACTCTTCATATAGCATGAAGCTGACGAAGCAGAACGTCATTGTTCTTCCTTCAACCATCATGTCTCAGTTGTATTGGTCAACAAGTTTAAAGATTCTATTCCTCTATTGGAATGGACACTGGTCGTACCTTCTTCTCTCCTAATCTCCCTCTCTCTCTCTTTCTCTCTTTATGCATATGTTTCTTTGAAAGCAGACCGATATTGCAAAAAAAGGTTGTTTACGAGGGACGGAAGAGCTGAAAGAGAGAATTCTGGAAAGCCGTAACAGAGAGAGAGAAAGAGAAGAAAAGACAAAAATCATTGACGCTTCCGCTAACATAAGAATAAAGAGTTGAATAGAGAGAGAGAGAAGAAAGAAGAGAGAGAGAGAGAGAGAGAGAAATCAACCATATTAGTCCAACATTTAAAATGATAAAGTTCTCTCGTGAATTTCTTATCAACTCGAATATTTGGAGAAGCGGACAAGTGGATAAAGGGAGATTTTCTGTTCTTGAAAGACATCTTGTTAGTCCATTCTGATCATAGAGTAGATCGAGAAGAAAGTTTAAGAATTAACAAGAGAGGATTGAACATAGTAGGCTAATGAGAACAGTGGAATTTGAAGAGATCGAGAATCGAGTATGAGGAAAGAAAATGGAAAATCAGATCAACCGTTCACAAGTTTGGAAATATAAGGATAACAAGATCAGACGAACATGCAGCTCACGTTAATCCTTGAGAGAGTCTCTGATTATAGTATTACGACTCATTTCGCGCAATACTATATGAGAATGAAATAGAGTGATAGCATGTAATTTCTGAATGTGAAGCGATGAATGTCCTCGAACATCTATAGACAGTTCTCAATCGTGTCTCACATCAACCTTTTTTTCCTTAAAAGGTCAGCAAAAGTTAATTAGATTTCAAAAAAATAAAATGAAGTTGGAGAAGAAGCAAAAAAACAAATTTCAATAAGAATACGAAAATACGATCAGACAGTTTTGGTTTGTGATGAGACCAGCGAACGTAGCCGATGAAATAGGGTGCTGAAGGAGATGGGTCGGAACGATAGAATGAAAAAAATGGTTTTTCGTGTATGTTTCACAAAACACTAAATGTATTCATCGATTATCACTGCATAACTGAGAATCTATCAAATCAAAAGTTTTGTTCGAAATGATTAACGAGCTGTTAAAGGATAATAAAACTTTTTTTTTTGATTTAATAAGTATCACTCAGAGAGAATGAGAGAGACAGAGAGTGAGAGAGGTGAAGAGATAAATCGACAATTAAGGAGAAGGAAGATGAGGAAGATGATTGAGAAGGTGAAGGTGACAAATTCTAAGCAAAAGCAGATCATAAACTTCCGCATCCATAAAGAGTCAAATTTCGGACGACGGAATGCGCTTCCTTCTATGTTATTTTGGTTTTTGAAAGAAACTGTCAATTCAACAAGCGATTTTCAATTGTCCATTCTTCTCAGAACGTAATTCTACCTCTCGGAACATATAAAAAAGAATAATTAGCTTATGTTTTTTCGGTCTTAAGAGGTCAAAAGGACATTTATGGCATTCGTAAGAAAACCTCAAAAGTCTTCGAGACTTTAAGTGGATTGAATGACTTTCAGTTCATTTTATCTGACCCTGACATGAATTTTGTTAAGAAAAAAGTTAAATTCAAACAAAAATATATAAAAATAAAAGATATAATCTATACGTATAGTTAAGTGAATCTTAGAATTATCAACAATTAGAATGAGATAGAGAAGAAGAAAAACACCTTCCAGACACAAGAATCTGGAAAGATAATGAAGCGAATAAACGAAATGTCGAAAAGAACAGTACCAAAAACAAGAAATTAATGAGTGAAAAGATTCGTTATTCAGATGGAAGATTGAGATTACTGTTGATGCCCTGAGGCAAATTACAAATTAAATGACGATGATGACCAAATTTAAAGAAGATAACGAGCGAGCGTATTTGGTTCATCAAAAGCCTAGATGACATAACACGTACGATATTTCAACAGTTACGTCATCCATCTCGAAGTTGACGCTTTTGTTTATTAAAAGGCCGGATTCATAACAAGTAGATAGATCCTTCTTCCCCACATCTAACTAACCCAATCAAATAAAGAAAAATGCTAGACAGAGAGGCAAAGAAAGAAAGAGAGAGAAAGTGAACACAGCAGTCTAAGAGAGAAAACTAATGTATCCTATTAGAGATGAGAAAAAAAGCTGCAAAATCGAGGATACAGCACCTGCATGAAGCATATAAGCATGCAGCGAGAAAAGAAAATATTTCTTCTGGAGATAAACTACAGGATAGCTTTGTGAAGAATAGAGGAACACAAAACGATTCTCCGAATTAGAAGAAGAGAACCATCGTTATGAGAGGGGGAGGAAATGGTTCTTGAGAGAATCAAAATAAAGATTACCGTAATCGGTGTGTAGACGTATAAAGAAAACATTTATATTCCTTGTTCCTTTGATAAAGTTTTGGAAAATACAACCGTTCAACAACCATCTGCTACTATCAAAATGAGTTTATGACATTCATTTACAACTTTCGACATGAACTTTCACGGTTTGACGTGGCGATTGTATACGTGAAACTGCCACGCATGTCAGAAGTTTATTCTAATTGCCGATGATGATGTAGATGTTGTGAAATAGAAATATATGAGAGAAATGAAGGAGAAGCTGATAGTTTTCCTGCTATGGAACATGTTTAAAGACAAGTTTTGATAATCAAATAAACACCCCACCAATAGCTTCATGAGATTCACAAGAGATGAATTGTCTCTTTTTTTTTTCTATTTTTTTAACAAATGAATCATTCAGATGTTAAAAACCTACAAGTCACTCTTTAATAGCTTCATCAAAACAATTATGGGTGATAGATGAAGCTTGAAACCAGCTTCATCTCGCTATTCTCGCAAACAATCGTTCGTGACGATAAAGTTCAAACAGGAATATTTCATGACAAAAACATTTTTTTTTAGTTAAAACACATAGATATTTAGGGAAACTACATGAACACATCTAAATGAGGTGAAAACAGCCGGAGGCAATGAAACCGACAGTTACAAGTGTTTAAAGAATATTTTAAGAGCTAAGTTTTCTATTCAAAACGAACATGACGATAAAATAGGACAAAAAAATTGAAGAAAGATTGTATGGAAGAGAGAGAGTGAGAAACTATCAAGAGAGCTATA